TTACAACAAAATTATTGGACGAACGTACTACCATTGTCAGCAGGTTGTCAGCGGGTGTTCCAGTAAGTACGGAGACTTCTATAAGCACAACCCAAACCCCGATTACTCCTCATAAGTACGAAGAACCCTTAGAAATATCACCAACTGAGCGAACAAACACAGATTTTACAATTTCCTCTACTGAAATAACGGAAACAGTTGATGGGATAATAACCAAAGCAACAGAAGAAGCACCTTACTCTGGAACAGTAACACAAGCCATCTTTAAGGCCAAAAACGGATACGAAGTGTTTACAAATGATTCAACGAACCTACCTTTGTCTACTGATCGTACTACTCCACAACAAGACACAACGCTCGAAGGCGAAACCGAGGCATCAACTATAGAACCTACTAAACAAGAAATAGAAACAACAACAGTTTCAGTTAGTGAAGCTATCACAGCATCGCAGAAAGAACTAACAACTGAAATTGAAACAATTCACCAATCTACGCTTTTCCAAATACCCACATTTATAATGACCCCAACGGATCATACTACTCAACAAGTGAAAGAATATCGAGAGCTTTCAACTGATGCAACTGTCACATCATCCATGCCAACATCGAGTTCCACCACTATACAATATGGATCAATAGACAAACGTAAAAAGTTAACCGAAATAACAACGTTCACCTCCGGAACAACTGTAGGAGGTTTAGAGGAACCAATTAGTGAAACAGAAGCAGAAATAATTGAAATTTCTACACTTCCCGCTTATTCGTCTTTAATGACTCTTGCTTCTAGTCCAAAAATTATAGAAGAAAACTTCACCACAAATGTGGCAGATTCAGTAACCACTACCACTCCAAGTACAAGACCTGCAGTGATTGCACTGGTAACAGAACCCAGAAAATCGGATGTTCTCGAGATCACGAGCTCTCCCCTTGTAAGTTTAAAGATTACTACTGATCTTCCAAAGGTTGCATCAAGGGAAATGGAGGAGCCGATGACTGCTGAAAGTCAGCGTTCTACAATTCCTCCCACGTCGACAGAACTCCGCCAAACAACGGAGGAGATCATAAAGCAATTTACGGATATTTCTAAATTAATGGATTACGAAACATCAACGCGATCAACCCAAATCATTTCCGAAAAGCGAACAACTGTAAAAGATGCAACGGACGAGGGTACAACTCGAATATTTGAAGCTTCAACACAATTCCAACAACCAACAATTGTGCAATTCGATAAAAAATCTTATACCACATTTGCAACAAAGTTTTTTGGAAGAACAACTGGTATTCCATATGTAGCTGTCACTCCCTTCATGAAAGAAATGACTGATTACATAACAACAGAACACTCGAAAAAAGAAGAAAGCTCTTCAACCTATCCTAGTGCAGAAGAAACCGCAAAAATTTCTCCGAACACGTCTACTTTTTTCAATTCATATGGAAAAGATACACACAAACCTGAAGAAAGTACTTCTGAAATCCCTCAAAACGGGAAAGAAGAAGAACAAACAACAAATATAAAAATTCAAAAGCTCACTACCCTAAAACCAACAGCTACAAAAACTATTTTCCCGGACAAGGAAATTGCAACTTTGACCATTGAAGAATTGGAAGATACTTCAAAACTTTTTACTACGCCAAAATCTCTAACCGAAATCATGTCGACATCATCAGAAATAGAGACGAAAACTCCGCCGTCCACAGGTTCCTTCGTTACCACTGAATTCATTGCCAGAACTGGGGATATAACCAAAGTTCCCGAAAGTTTGCCGTTATCAAACCCACAAAATACTGCATTATTAGAGAAACAAACAACTGAGATGCAAACTGAGTTAGGCGATATTGTCGAAAGCACCAGTAATACACCTAGTGTTTTCTCCACAGCACAAGGACCAACTGAAGAGACAGACACCGAACGAACTACTAAAGTAACAACCAGAACAAAAGTCATCGCCACGGAATTTCCTACCACTGCTCTTCTTTCAGAAACCACCCAGAAAGCTTCAAGTTTTAGCGACGCAGCCGTTCTCTACAGCTCTGTTGCTTTTGCAACGGAGAAGGAAACTTCTACGATGGAATCTTCTGTAACGGATGTTACATTTCCGAAAGAGGAAAAAACAACATTAACTGAAATCACGGAATCCTTTACTCCAGCAGGAGAATTAACAGAAGCAGAAGGTACGATCTTTTCTACCACGACACCGTACAAAGTAGCAAGAACAACGGAAACTCCAAAAGAAGTTACTAAATTTTCATCTGTAACCGAATCATCAAAAGAAACCTATATACCAAGTGAACTATCTAAAACAGAAATAACATCAATGTTTCCTCCAGAAGAGAAATCAACCGAATTTCCAGAAAAACGGAAAACTACTTTGCCTTCCCCAAAAAGGGAACAACTTCATGAAACAAGCGAAACTCTTGAAGGCGAAATGTCAACCATAACTCTCCGTGAAACTCTAGGCACTGTAGAAAGTACTACTGCACAAATTCCGTCACCATCAAATGAATCTTTCAAGGAAAAAAATGTTACAACTACTTCTCCCAAGGGTATAACTAATTTACCTATGATTACAGCTCAATCCACAACTGAATCAGATAATCTTAATGCAACAATCCCAGCGAATGAAAATAAAAAAGAGTCATCGACTCTTTCAACGCCCAAATATCCTGAAGTTGCGGCACCTTCAATTACAACAACAGAAATGCAACCGTTTTACACAACAAGAACAACTTCTCAAAAGAAGAATGTAACTTTTCCAGCTACTAGATATACTTCAATCTCAGACGCAATTACTTTGCGAGCTGAAACTTCCTCAAGTATGACAGATTTCCCAGCCGCTGCGACCATTAAAAAATGGAAAACAACTTCCCCTCGTACAGAATTTGTGACCTTAAGACCAGCTGCAATTCTTCCGAGCGTTAATTACACTGAAACTAAACCGACTATTTTACCGAAAGCGACCACTAGACGTTTCGACTTAACAACGCTAATGACTATGATGACTGAAAAGCCTATGATGTTTGCTACAACCACACAATTAACGGCAAGAACAGACCTATGCTGTATCGATAATAATGACTGTCAGGATGACGAGACATGCATTGGCCGGCATTGTAGACGACCCTGCGATCACTATGATAAGCTTTGTAACCGCCATAAACCTAAATATACACTGTGTCATACCGTGAACCACACGGCCATGTGTTACTGCCATAATACGCAACAAAAAAATCTAACAACAAACGTTTGCCGTGTAATAGCAGGTAACTGATAATATTTTTTACATGTAAATCAACGTATACTCAGAGCCGTATATGTATGGAATGGAATGGAATGCAAAAAGATATAAAAGCAACAGAAAAATATAATTCAACTTATGATGTGTTATGTGAGGTTAAGGATTCCGCAAAAAAAAAAAAACGGCCTCATGAAACACCCTACGAGTAGGTGCCATTTGGGCCAAAAAAAGAGAACAAACACATTTGCTACTACATCATCAGGATATTTCTTCTGACCATTACGGGTTTTCTGCCATATTTATTTGTTTATTTGCTCTCAATTACACTGAAATGATATTCCACACCATTTACAAATCATTACCGCTAGTTATACCACAAATTGAATGTATTTTCGTTGTCGTTTTATCTCTCATTCTCTCTACTCTACTCTATAAGTTATTGTTATACGTACATTTTTTTTTTTTTTTGGCATTTTTTGTAAAAGTAAATGAGTTGAAGTATATATATCCTATACTTCTCCATTTGTTGACCTTGCATGAAGAAAAAATGAATGAAGAGTGTGAGCTGAATCTTAGTTTCCCTTTGGCTGCTTCTTTTTCTCACTGTGTTGCAATGTTTCTCTGTATTTTATTTTGTGCAAGAGTATGGTTTCTTTGAATAAATTTTTAATGTTTCTTAGATATAGAAGCCTTTGTAGCAATTGCTAAACCATTTCTATGGGTAAGAAAGTAAAAAAAAATATTATTAACTGCATGTCTTCTTCTACGACGTGTAACTTTGAAAATTATTTGCATATAATTAAAATTTTAAGTTATTTTGATATTTTTTACAAGGCTGTTGTTCGAATTTTATCGCACGATAACGTAGTAAAAATAAAAAAAACTTGAATCGCATTAATTAACGCACATCACGTAACATCATGGTACGCGTCTCGTGTTACAGCCATTCGGCGACATACTATGTCGTTTATACTTGAAACGGTGTATAAACAAAAGGAACCAAGTCGGAAAAAGATCTAATGGAATTCTCAATTATTTCATTTCACGACAACGAACTCAAGTAAAAAAGTAATTTTCTGAGCAAAAATCCTTTAGAATAAAGTGACATTATAATTTGTTTTATTGGTTTCCTTCGTTTTTACCTTTTCACGTAGTAAATCTTACAAAATGTATTTTCATATGCAACTATGCAAACGGGGACGCAGTTAAAAAATTACGTTTTTATTTATTTTAATTTAATTTAATTATGCTTCGATTGCTCGTAACGTATCAATTTTTATCATACGAATCAGATGAAAACATTTCGCGTAATGTCATGTGATAAAAGTTTTCTTACATCTTCGTAACTACAGCCTGAAAGAAATGTTTAACTAACCTGGTAAGAGTAGAAAGGTAAACAGGTGCTGGTGTATGCGTTTTGTTTTTATTTACTTGTATATGTTATATTTGCTTGCTCTTATTTTAATTACTAAGCGACTTTCTCTTAAATATCATTTAAAGAGAATTCTTAAAATTTAACGAATTAGTAATTTGACAACTCAAGATGAGTACTTGACAAACACTTTTTTTCTACACACAACGTAATTCGTACTTTAAGAAGAATGCTACTCTGAACATTCTATTTAAGGCCAATGAGAAGCTTATACGACAGGCAAAGCTAATTGGTCTCTTTTCTTTTTTTCTTTGTGCTTTTTTCTTTCTTTTTTTTTCTTCGTTTTTTGTTTTGAAATGGACATTATATTTGAATTGATGAACGTATAGAAATCGGTTGTTCTGCAAACCATGACTGCCCCAGTCAAAAATCTTGCATAAATGCAGTTTGCACTGATCCTTGCACACTGGCTAACCCGTGTGGATATCAACAAGAATGCAAGGTTATCGATCATCAGCCTGTATGCTCACAAGGTAAATGCATCTTTCACAAAAACAAAGTGGTATTGAACTTAGAAAATACTAGGAAACTGAGAACTAGGACAGAGTAGCCGCTTTCCTTTTCTTTTACCTCTCTTCTCTTTTTTATAGTCTATGCTACTTATTGTACAAGGGTATATTAATCTATTACGAATAAATACAATATCCAGAAGGATTTGAGACAAACATACATATCATTATACCGATCTAATCGTATGTGCCCGTCTTGGAATCTTGTCTTTGCACTTTTTGAGATATTTTGAGGGAATTTGGTATACCGACGCATTTTGGCCCAAGGACGAACACTATCAAAAATGGTCCGAATCGAACCACTTTTTTAGCCATATCCAATATAACACCTTATATTGAATTTTATATGAACAACTTTATTGAGTGATTGTTAAAAACGAGTAATGTTTTAAAAGAGGAATTAAATGAACTTTCATTTTTATCTCCTCTTATGTCAAGCATTACACTAGTGTTCGCAGAATTAAGTAATTATTGCAAGTTTCGATGTCATTATAATCACCAGCTTTAATCCTTAAATGCATGACATTTAATTTTTGATAAGTAAAATTTGAAATCAAACGGGAAATGTGTGTAGTTAGTGCAGAGAATACAAAAACAACAACTGTATAAGGATTGTTCTTTAATTTTCAAAAGGATATTAATTATTTCTACATCATCGTGAACAATGGCTCCTCGAGTTGTACAAATCTACTGCGTACAATAATACTTCAAAGATGAATAATGTATTCATTGTGCTACAATACACAAAAATCCACAAAAAAAAGATATTTTTGGCGTTTAAATGTGAAGGAACATTGCCTTCCTTGTTTTATTCGACGCTTTTACCTTGTTCCTGTTCGAAAACAATTTTTCCGGTTTGATTTAATACCCTTTGTCATATAAATAATCGTAATTCGTAACACCCACCGAAACGAGATTGTACAGCGAGATAGCACGCCGCATGTTACAAATAAAGGAGAAAAGTGTCAAGATTCCCGTAACGTTCGGAAAGGATAAAATAACATGGTAAAATTAAAACTAGAAAAAACGCTATGCTGCTACATAATATAATACAAGGTTTTAAATATACGATGGAGATCTGCATCGCCAAGGGTTAGATAATATGTAGCATCTGACTTTTCAAATACATTTGTTTTTCTGCACTTTGTACTAAGCTCTTCCACATTTCGACGAATGTTCTATTTTATCACAGTAGTGTACTGATATAGTCTCTAAGAAAATCTACTAAATTAAAAAATTATTAAAAATTAATTTTGCTTTGTCACATTAGTCACTGGCCGTACACCCGGCTGCGAGCATTGCCCGCCCGGTACTACTTGTGATCCCTCCACGGGCGCCTGCATCAAGGGTAAGTCGATAACTTTATAAATAATTTTTCACTTGCATTTTTAATTTGGCTTTTAACAAATTGTTCATATAATAAATAACTGGAAGGAAAATGTATAATGAAAAAAAAATTCATTGCAAAACATCAAACAAAACTACTACTAACAATATTTGTAAATATGTGAATATATGATTTTCTAAAATTTTAAATGTGTATATATGTTTTTCTTCAATACCTATCATTTCCGCACTACCCTAAACACTCCATAATCCATGAAAAATCCTCTACATATGCGAAAAACATTCCTTGTGTATATATTAAATGTTTTTAGATAAGAGAATCATAACCGCAAACACTAGCACAAGTGAAATAACTACTAGAACTCCTATCACTACCATTACCAATACTACTAGTACTACTTCCAAAAATACCACTGCCATTAATACCACATTTGAGTCTACCATAAGACCCAACGTAGAAATTGAGGATGGCACTCAAATTAGTACGAGTAGTACGACAATGCCGCACAAACCAAAAACTACTAAAAAGGAAGATGAAGGAAGATTTATAACTGTTACAACCGAAAAAGCAAAAACTACCCGAAAAGAAGATGATTCTTTTGATTTAGCAACGACAACAACAGAAAAAATGAGCATCACAACAGCAGCAAAAGATGAAGACATAAAAACGACTACGTTGCCTAGCCGAACAACCACTTATGCTGCTGGTCTCACCGCAACGTCGAAATCTGGACCACCCAAAGGCTATCGTGATGGTGAAAATAACATAACTGACACTACGGCCTTTGAAATGGCTTCCACTCAAGCAGCTAACACATCAACAACTCTTGCAACAAGCAGCATCACCCCTTATGCTAGGGGTGAAGATGTGAAAGGTATATTTAACGTGCGCACGAGTACTACCCCTAAAATGAAAACTACAAGAATTGACACTTCTAACGAGTTTGATGATTACAATATAACGACCATGTTTACTACAACGCCACGCTATGATGGTATCACCTTTCCTGTAATAATGGTTACAGATGATTTGGAAAATGAATCATCTGCAAATAAGAGTTTTATATCAAAATCTTCAGATATTGAGAAAATGTTAACAATGTTTCCGGTTATAACACCTGAATCGACTACGCCAACCGATCATCCACGTACTATGCCAGCCATCGTCAAGCAAACACAATCTGATTTGGTAGAACCCATTGTAAACACAGCCACCGGTATTATAACTAATATCATAACCCAAACCAGAGACATTGCCAGCACCACTAACAAATCCGTTATGGATTCGAACACAATGAGCACTATAAAATCGAAAATTATAGAAGACTCCTCCTCCACCATATTTCCAGTAATCACAGAGAAAATAACTGAAATATCTGAAATACCCGGGACGACGGCCACTATGCCCGGTGTAGTACTAGAGCCAATGATATCCGTCACAACAAATGCAAATCCTCTTATGACAATAGACAATAGTATATACAATAATGTAAACGTAACCATTACCACCACAACTCCAACAGTTGTCACAGTGATTAACACTACTTGTACAGTTCATACTAATTGTGGCCTTAACCAATTGTGTATTATGGGACAATGTCGTCTTAAGTGTCGCGGTGATGGACACAATGAATACGATTGTGTAAAAGGTATATTTTTAGTTTAAACGTAAGACTATTGGGCAAGACAAATAATATTCAGTTTAAAACGAATTTGTCAAAACCCATCATCATAAAATGTTTTAAATAAAAGAGGTAAAATCAGCTTAGCACAGAACTTGGATGCATCTAAAACGTTGTTAGATAGATTTTCGCAAAATTCTGAATGCGTCGGCTTTTGAGCTTTTTATGCGCTCGATATTAGACTAATTGAACATTTTCTAGAGAAAATAATACAATAAAGTTATAGTCGAAGAATGACTTTATTCTTCGTTTTTAACGAACGAACGCGTGTAAGATTACGTTACAGTTTACTATAATACATTCACCATTTCACAATGAATTTCCATTGCTTTTAAATCTATTGAAATTTCAAAAACGCCCGTTCACATGGGCGTTGGAATTTGAAGGAATAATAAGTAAATATATTTGAGTAAATTCTCAATCAACTTACCATTGCAGTTGATCGAAAAGGTATTTGCGAATATATATGCGCCCACTTCAAGTGATATTCCTTGGAGAAAAAAATCTAACGTTTGATGATGGTGGGTACAGAAAGAAATTCTTTTTTTATTTAAATTTACAGAATGAAAATTTATTTATTTCTAAGTGCCATAGGCAAAATTCGTAAAACAAAAATATACAAAAGTTTTATATTAGTTAAATCCGCCTGAGTGGCCGAATAGGCAAGAGTCTCAACTCAATGGTCGTGGGTTCAAATCTCAAGTGCGGTAGTATTTGTATTAAAGCTGAGAGCCTTAGAATGCTAGTACTTTAGGACTTTAGTTTTAGAATTTATTCTCTGGCTAAATTTATAATAATAATATTAATAGGTTAGCTGAGACAACTGTCTGTATAGGCCCCAAAGGATATCCATAGATCAAATTATATAACATAATCCAAATTTCTTTTCGAAAGCAGTTAATAACATAAATATATTCAAAATTTTCGTCAAAAAATTTGATCAATTTTCGTTCTCATAAAAAATCGTGCACTGCGGAAATAAGAATTCCTGTGAGGAGAGGAATATAGCGTTCCTTACATATCAAAATGAAGGAAAAAGGTACCACATTTGTAAAACACATTTGCCGGTGGTTGAATCTGTCATATCTTCAAAAAAACTGCAATTTTCTAACTACTCTCTTAGATCAACTTTAAGGATAATCAATAGCTAAATCGTTACTACAAAAAATCAAAATTCGAAGTTTATTTTAAATATGCATCAATGTTCTGTAAACCTACAAGACGAAAACAGTTATGTCGATGTAATATTTTATTAATACCTGGAATAAAACTCCGACCGGAATTAAGTTTTGAATTAATTAGCGTAACATCCAAAAGAATTTTACGCACACCTGTATATAAAATCTTTGAGCACACGTTTGTTATACATACACATTTTTCTTATACTCAACTGTACATAAAACATTCTACCCATTGAGACTTTTATGTATTTCCTTTAGCAATAGATATGTACATATTATTTCTTAAAAAAAAAATAGAATACTAATTTTTATTAATAATTAATAGTTAATAACATTTAACCTTTAACATTTCTAACCTGAATTAAACTCGAACGTGTAGAATCGCCTGGTACACCCAAAACTCCCGAGCCCTGTCAATCAAATAACGATTGCATAGAAAGTGAAGCATGTTATATGGGCTTGTGTCAAGATCCTTGTGAGTTTGCGAACGCTTGTGCCGCCTCAGCAAAATGTAAGGCAAAAATGCATCGACCTATTTGCTCGTGTCCACCCGGACATCTTGGCAATCCCACCATTAAGTGCATGCCCACAGAAAAAGCAAGTAAGCAATACCTAACAATTAACAATTAACTGGAAATTAATCATGCAATCTTTGTTGGGATAAATGATCAACTTGATTCATCATCTTTAGTTACCATTTTTAAATTTTGTTTTGCTTTACCCATTGAAGCTATTTTATGTTTATATCTCTCGTTTAGTTGAATGTTTCGAAGATTCAGACTGCTCCATCACTGAGGCGTGCATTAATCAACGATGTCAACATCCCTGCGATGTTCATGACCCTTGCGCACAAAACGCCATCTGTGTGAATACAAACCATGCAGCTGATTGCAACTGCAGTTATGGCTACGAGGGTAATGGCTATATAGGCTGCCAGCCAGGTTTGTGTTGTCTGTTTCCCTTTTACATTTATTGCCCGGCACTCAATTCAACTTATCTTAAATTTCTTTTGTTTCAATTACTGCAACACTGTATATTATGGCAAACAAACTGTTTTGCACGTGTATAAAATACACTGAAAACACACACAAACCCAACTGATACATCTTAATCCCCTTGTACATATGAATTCGTTACCATTCCCAATAATTCCGCTTCTCCACAAATAAATTGAATACAACTAAATAGCACCGAAATATTCGCCTGTATGTCAATACAATGAGGATTGCCCGCCAAGCAAGCTATGCGATCGTCTGAATCGCCGTTGTATCAACCCTTGCCAAGAAGATTCGTGTGGAGAAAATGCTGAATGTATACCGGTCAATCACGGTATTGAATGCAGATGTTTGCCGGGCTTTGTCGGCAATGCTTACTTAGATTGTACTGTTTTGCAAAGCTGCCGGTCAGATTCAGAATGTGATGTACATCACGCTTGTATGAACGGAAAGTGTTCCTCGCCCTGTAGCTGCGGTTCGAATGCATTGTGCGATGTAGTAAATCATCGTGGTATTTGTAAATGCCCACCAGGTTATGCGGGTAATCCAAATATAACGTGTAGTCCACCGAACAATCTATGCGAACCTAATCCTTGCGGTCTTAATGCTTTGTGTGAATTAGATAACGGCAATCCGATTTGTTATTGCCCTAAAGGATTAACCGGTAATCCTTTCAAAAACTGCAGTAAGTATAAATTTTGAAATATTTTGTAATCACGCATACTATGCGTCGCTATCTTCAATATTTTCAGTTCCAGAAGGCGGCGAATGTGCACCAAATCCTTGCGGACCGAATTCGGGGTGTCGTCTTGTGGAGAATAGACCTATCTGTTTTTGTTTACCGGAATATGAAGGTCAACCTCCACAAATACCTTGTGATTTACCCAGCAATCCTTGTGATCCTTCACCTTGCGGTCCGAATACACAGTGCTCTGTTCTTGCGAACGGCTTTTCCAAATGCACCTGTTTGCCTGGTTATGTTGAAAGTCCTAATACGATACGCGGATGCATTGAACCTGTCAATCCTTGTGATCCTAACTCATGTGGGATTGGTGCAATATGTGATTCAACCCGTAATCCGGTTTGCTTCTGCCCTGACAATAAAATCGGCAATCCATTTCGCTTGTGCGAAAATCCTTCATTGTCGGTTGAATTATGTAGACCTAATCCTTGCGGACGTAATGCTGATTGCTACGTAGCGGCTAATCGTGAAGAATGTTATTGCCGCGCGGGTTACGTTGGAGACCCATACCTAGGTTGCCGGGATGCACCGCGTTCAGCTTGTGTAACAAACCCCTGTGGACCACATGCACAATGTGTAATATCTGGAAATGGACAAAATACTTGCGTATGTCCTGATGGACTATCCGGCGATCCTACGTCCCTGTCGGGTTGTCGTTCTTACGAATGCGAAGTTGACGACGATTGCTCTGTAGACAAAGCATGCATTGGATTTAAATGCCATGATCCTTGCCCCGGAGCTTGTGGACACGGTACCAATTGTCTTGTGGAGCATCATCATCCCGTTTGCACTTGCACCGCTGGTCTGACGGGAAACCCAGGGATCTTTTGTTACGCACTTGATATACCTAAGCAGCAAAAGAATCCCTGCATTCCAAGCCCTTGCGGCTTAAATAGCGAATGCAAAGTTCTTAACAACCGAGCCCTCTGTTCCTGTTTGCAAGATTACTTGGGAGATCCCCAAAGTGGCTGTCACCCTGAATGTGAAATAAACTCAGATTGCGATCCAGCACAAGCTTGCATCAATCGAAAATGTGTAGACCCATGCGCCGGTACCGTGTGTGGCATAAATGCTTTGTGTGGAGTACAACAGCATACTCCGATATGCCGTTGTCTTGACGGCTTCACTGGTAATGCTTTCCATCAATGCATTACAATTGGCGCTCTAAAAAATGTTTCGCGCGATCCCTGCAATCCTTCACCATGCGGTCCTAATGATGTTTGCTCTGTTCACGGAGATGGAGTTGCTCTTTGCGATCCATGCTTTGGTCATGATGCTGAATATGACCCTCGGTGTAGACCGGAATGTATATTTAATTCGGATTGTCCTTTCGACAAGGCTTGCTTAGGCCGAAAATGTTTGGATCCATGCTCGGGCTCGTGCGGTCGTGGAGCTCTATGTTACGTTTACGAACACAATCCTATTTGTCAATGTCCATCTGGATTTTACGGGAACCCCTACGAACACTGTTCTATACCCTTAGTTGATAAGCCTGCCTTGTCGCAAACTTGCGCCAAACGGCAATGCGGTTCCAATTCGGAATGCAAAAGGCAAGGTAACACTTTAATCTGTGTTTGTCGTCAAGGCTACTTTGGTAACCCATACATAGGATGTCGACCAGAATGTGTCTTGAATTCGGATTGCCCTGCCGATAAAGCTTGTGTGAATACTAAGTGTTTGCACGTCTGCAACGGCATATGCGGTGTAAATGCTCTTTGTCGTGTAGTTAATCATGCTCCTATGTGCATATGCTCACAAGGGTACACAGGAGACCCTTTCAAATCATGCAGTCCTCAACCACAAATTTCTCTAACATATCTTCCGGTAGGCGTACCCCCAAATCCGTGCGAGCCTTCGCCTTGTGGACCTAACTCGAGATGTTTGATTTCGCCTGAAGGTTATGCGGCTTGTTCCTGTTTGCCTGGCTTTAAGGGCTCTCCACCTGTTTGTCAACCAGAATGCGTAGTGAGTTCAGAATGTGCTTTGTATCAAGCTTGTATCAACCACCACTGTGCCGACCCCTGCCCCGGTACTTGCGGTGTAAATGCTCGTTGCCAGGTTCTTAATCATAATCCGATATGTTCATGTGATGTTGGCCACGAAGGAGATCCATTTATATATTGTGCTCTAGCGAAAGAAAAACCAAAAGAAGCAGATCCAAAACCAATCAACCCCTGTGCACCTTCACCCTGTGGGCCAAACTCAATATGTCAAGTGAAACAAAATAGACCAGTATGTTCGTGCGTAGCCAATTATATTGGAAGTCCACCATTCTGTCGACCCGAATGTACTCTTAATAATGAATGTCCAGCCGATAAAGCTTGTATACGTGAGAAATGTGAAAATCCTTGCACTAATACTTGCGGATATAATGCTCGATGTTCCGTAATTGCTCACTCAGCTTATTGTAGCTGTGAAGACGGATACGAAGGCGACGCCTTTGTGGGGTGTTCTAAGATTATAAGTAAGTAAATCGATGTAATCAACTAAAGAAAAGTTTTTCCATACTGTTTTCTATTATAGAGCCACAAGATCGTTTGGATCCTTGCTATGCTAACCCCTGTGCTGAAAATGCAGTTTGCTCTGAACGAAATGGTGTTGCTCGATGTGTATGCATTGAACCCTACATCGGTGATCCCTATACTACAGGTTGTCGTCCAGAATGTGTGTTTAATAGTGAATGTCCGTCGCAATTAGCTTGCATAAAGCAACATTGCCGAGATCCCTGCATCGGCACGTGCGGTCCCAATGCTGAATGCTCTGTAGTTAATCATGTGCCAACGTGTAATTGTCAGCAGGGCTACGTAGGAGATCCGTTCAATGGTTGTAAAAAGGACACACGTAAATTGAAAAAAAAAAAATTCATTATGCGTAGATGCGCACATTTGTCTTATTTAATCTATTTTTGGTTTAGAAATAAAACCTATCAGTCCATGTGAACCGAATGTATGTGGGCCCAATAGCATTTGTCGTGTAGTTGATGGTCGTCCTACCTGCTCCTGTCAAGTGAGTTATTTGGGAGCCCCTCCTAATTGCCGCCCAGAATGTGTAGTGAGCTCTGAATGCATTCAACATTTAACTTGCATCAATCAAAAATGCGTTGATCCCTGCATAGGCACATGTGGCTTTAATGCCAAATGTCACACCATCAATCATAATCCGATTTGTTCGTGTCCAGAAGACATGACTGGTGATCCTTTTCAACAATGTTTACCAAAGCGTTAGTATATTCGTCATATAAACTGTGATTGTTTTGCAAAAATTTAATTTTGTTTCATATTAGCTAAAACGCCTCCCCCAGAAATAAACGCATGTATACCGAGTCCTTGTGGACCTAATGCTGAATGTCAGCAGGTTGACAATCGCGCTGTTTGCTCTTGTTTGCCTGGGATATTCGGAGCGCCTCCAAATTGTCGGCCAGAATGTATTATCCATCAAGACTGCCCTTTGAATCGCGCATGTATTTCTCAACACTGCGAAGACCCATGCATTGGAGCTTGTGGATTTAATGCCATATGCACCGCTCAAAATCACAAACCCGTTTGTTCCTGCTTAGAGAGTCACGAAGGAGATCCTTACGCTGGCTGCAGTTTACGTGCAAGTAAGCAATACTTTCTTAGATCAGTATTATATTTGTTTTCTCTTCTTTTGTTCCCTCTAAGAGAGCGGTTATTAAATATTCTAATATTAAGCTTTAATTTTTCCAGTTCTTTTAAGGGTAATTGGTCTTTGTATATATGTATCTACGACAAATTGAAATCTATTTATATGTTATGCATGTATATATATATATTCCTTTTCACCATATGTTTTTGTACAAATGTTTGCTTTAACAGTAGACCTCCATATTACATACACTATCATTTTCCCAGTTCTTACTTTTTCTATCGTGTAAAACATTACAGTCATTGTGCCAGATCTTCCAACTGATCCATGTAGTCCATCACCGTGCGGTTCGAACGCTATTTGTAGAGAACGCAATGGCGCTGGCTCTTGTACTTGCCAACCTGATTATTTCGGCGATCCCTACATCAATTGCCGTCCTGAATGCGTGCAAAGCAGTGATTGCTCACATACAAAATCTTGTTTAAATATGAAATGTGTAGACCCTTGCAAGGATTTATGCGGCTTTAACGCTATCTGCCGAGTCGCTAACCATATTCCTCTATGCTCTTGCAATATAGGCTACACCGGTAATCCTTTACGTTTATGCCACAAAATACCTCCAAGTAGGTTAAAGGAGTTTATGACGAAAAGAAACAATATATTTACTATATGTCCCGTTCATAGCTACATATTTGCCCGCCAAAACCCAAGATCCTTGTCGCCCTTCGCCATGTGGGTTGTACAGCACTTGTCGTGCACTAGACGGTCGTGCAATTTGTTCTTGTTTGTCTAATTATATTGGCAGACCGCCCAGTTGCAGACCGGAATGTGTTATAAGTGCTGAATGTCCATCAGACAGGGCTTGCATTAATCAACGTTGCGAGGACCCTTGTCCAGGCACTTGCGGAAACAATGCCAAATGTCGTGTGACCAATCATTCTCCGATTTGTAGTTGCTCTCCTGGTTACGTTGGCGATCCATTTCATCAGTGCGTACCGCGCAGAAGTATGCTCAACAACCTTAATCTCTAAATAAAATACTACTGACTCTTATTTCTGTAGTAGCTTTCGAAGAACCTAAGGATGCCATAGCTCGACCAAATCCTTGTATACCCTCTCCTTGCGGTCCTAATTCGCATTGCCTGGTCGCAGCGACAGGAGCCGTGTGTTCGTGTATAACTAACTATATAGGTAGACCTCCCAGTTGTCGCCCAGAGTGTACAATCAGTTCGGAGTGTCCCGCGCATATGGCATGTATTAATTCTAGGTGTTCAGATCCTTGTATAGGTTCGTGTGGGAACTACGCTCATTGTCATGTTAGTTCCCACTCACCCGTCTGTATGTGCGAACCTGGCTTTACAGGAGATCCATTCACGAACTGCTTCAAAATGGTTAAAAGTAGGTTTCACTAAATTAGCAATTGTTGCAAATTTCTAACGAATATCATCATTTGATTAGTTCCCGATCATCCTGCACGTCCTTGTCAACCTAATCCTTGTGGTGTAAATGCTTTGTGTGAAGAAAGAAACCAGGCTGCCGCCTGTAAATGCATAAGAGAATATTTCGGTGATCCGTACATTGAATGTAGACCCCAATGCATTTTAAATGCAGATTGCCCCAAATCAACAGCTTGCATCAACAATAAATGTATCGATCCGTGCCCAGGAACCTGTGGTTATAACGCAGAATGTATTACTTTAAATCACATTCCAAACTGTCAATGTCTTACTGGATACACAGGAAACGCTGCTTCGGGCTGTTATCTTTTACCAGAATTACCGAAATGTAAGATTTCGCATGAATTGGTCATCCAAAACTTTCGATAAAACTTAAGAAGTTTCAATCTAGAGTTTTGTTCTATTGCTGCTTCGGCAAAAACTTAACATTTTTTTCCATTGTCTTGAATTTCTCAGTTGACATTACTGAATCCATTAATCCCTGCGTACCTTCACCTTGCGGTCCATACAGCAACTGTCGGTCGCAAAACGGTCATGCTGTATGTTCATGCCAGATTAGCTATGTAGGAGCGCCACCCAACTGTAGACCAGAATGTATGGGAAGTTCCGATTGTCCACAAGATAAATCATGCCTTAATGAACATTGTAAAGATTCTTGCCCAGGCACTTGTGGTGCCAATGCTAACTGCCGAGTGGTCAATCATAATCCTATTTGTTATTGCATGAGTGGTTTCACTGGCGATCCGTTTATTCGCTGCGTATACGAAGAAAGTAAGCATTCCAAACTCGCTTCTCATTATCATTACTTTGGAAGATTAAATTTAAAATATCATGTACATTCATTTTGCATTTCGCTTTGAGTTGCTTATATTTATTTTACTTTATTTTCACTCTCTTTTCTATCATTACTTCGTTTTCCGCAATTTGCTGCATGTGCTTCCTTTCAAAATTCATCTTTGTACATAATTGCACACTGTCATGTCTACATAAAGGACGACCGATTGTAAAGGATTCAGTTAATTCTTGTATTCCATCACCATGCGGACCTAATTCGCAATGTCGTGTTTCAAATAAAAATGAACAACCAGTTTGCTCTTGCTTGCCCAATTACATTGGCAGAGCGCCAAACTGTCGTCCTGAATGCACTTCAAATTCAGAATGTCGCAGTAATCAGGCCTGCGTAAATCGACGGTGTAAAGACTCTTGCCAAGGCTCTTGCGGTTCATTTACTACTTGCATTGTAAATAATCATAGACCTATATGTCGTTGCTTGCCCGGTTATACGGGCGATCCATTTGCCGAATGTAGTCCACAAAGTAAGAATATCTTTAATGTATAAATTAAGCCCTTTCACGCGACTGCTTATTTTCCAAAATGATTTAATTTCATCTAAAATCTAATCCCTTTAGTTATAATAACTCCTGAAAAATCGGAACCTTGTAATCCTAGTCCTTGTGGTACTAATGCTGTTTGCAAAGAACGCAACGGTGTTGGTTCTTGCACTTGCTTGCCTGAATATAGCGGAGATCCGTATACAGAATGTCGACCAGAATGTGTTCTAAACTCGGATTGTGCAAAAAATCGAGCTTGCGTCAACAACAAATGTCGTGATCCATGTCCAGGAGTGTGTGGTGTCGGTGCTGAATGTCACGTCATCAATCACTCTCCTAGTTGTAGTTGTTCCGCAGGTTTCACTGGCAATCCTTCAGAATACTGCCGTAAAGAAGTCAAAAGTAATGAAACCTTTTTTTATGTTCGTTGTAATACACAGTTTTGATCTGATTTTAAATCTTTAGCAATTGAAGCAACTCAACTTTGTAGACCTTCTCCATGTGGTCCTTACAGCAAGTGCCATGAAGTTAATGGTCATGCCGTATGCTCCTGTTTAACAAATTATATTGGTACTCCCCCCGCATGTCGGCCTGAGTGCTCAATTAGTTCAGAATGCTCTCAGGATAGAGCATGCGTGAATTTACGTTGTATAGATCCTTGCCCGGGAACTTGTGGTGTTGAAGCTTTTTGTAAAGTTACGAACCATAATCCTATATGCTCTTGCCCACCTGACTACACCGGAGATCCCTTTATAAGCTGCCTAAGAGTCGATAAAAGAAAAAAAGACGACTTTCCAGCTAATCCCTGCATACCATCTCCTTGTGGACCTAACTCTCAATGCAGAGTGGTTGGTGAAACTCCAGCATGCTCTTGTTTGCCAAATTTTGTGGGTCGTGCTCCCAACTGTAGACCCGAATGCAGCATTAATTCAGAATGTCCAGCAAATCTGGCCTGTATTAATGAAGTTTGCAAAGACCCATGCCCTGGTTCATGCGGTTTCAACGCCATTTGCAATGTTGTTAATCATTCGCCTCTTTGTACTTGTGACGCTGGTTATTCAGGAGATCCATTTGCCGGTTGTGCTCCTGCTAGTAAGACTTTCGAAAATGAGTGTAAAATCGAAAATCAAAATGATCATTTTGTTTATTTGTATGCAAACGGTCAGTTCCTCCCGAAGAAAATTTGACCCCTTGCAACCCCTCGCCATGTGGCGCCAATGCTGAATGCAGAGAACGCAATAGTGCTGGTTCTTGCACTTGTATTGAAGGCTACTCCGGAGACCCATATAGCGGTTGTCGTCCTGAATGTGTAGTTAATTCTGATTGCCAGCGCGATAAGTCGTGCAACAATAACAAATGTACAGATCCATGTCCCGGAGTGTGTGGCATTAATGCGGAATGTCGTATAAGCAATCATGTACCCACTTGCCATTGCTCAAATGGTTATACGGGAAATCCTCTCAGTTCTTGTCGTGTTATACCCGAACCTGAACCAACACCAAGTATGTTTTGATTTTTAATGCTTATCCTGATGTGATAAATAGAAAGTTAAAATGCCTTCTTCGATTAGTTTCTAAAGACGTCAATCCATGTATTCCTTCACCGTGTGGGCCTTACAGTCAGTGCCGCGAAGTAAACGGTCATGCAGTGTGTTCTTGTTTAACAACTTTTATAGGGTCTCCACCAAACTGCCGTCCAGAATGTATTATTAGCTCAGATTGCGCGCAAAACATGGCTTGCCAAAACCAAAAATGTATAGATCCGTGCCCGGGCACTTGTGGCACTCTTGCACGTTGTCAAGTAATAAATCATTATGCAGCATGTTCCTGCCCACCTGGTTATACAGGTGATCCTTTTAATAGATGTTCCAAAATTAAATGTAAGCATTCCTTTCTTCAATGTGTACACATTGAAGTTAGAAAAGTGTATCGAGAAAATGTGACAAAACTTTAAATATTCGTGCATCAACCTTTCTAACTTCAAATCCACCTACCTATAAATCGTTCTTCAAACTAATTTGTAGTATTCTACTTCCATGTGTAATCTATCTATACTGTGTAAAAAATCTTCAAACTATCCAACTACTATCGTACTCCTATCTACACTATCATCCTGTAATACAAATGCAAACAAATGCAAACAACCATCTCTCGACAACCTACCACACTACCTATATCAACTATTTCTATGTGCCTGCCAAAGTAGTGGATGTTATTTCGGTAGAAAACACGGGTGATCCGTGCGTACCTTCACCATGTGGACCCAACTCGAAGTGTATCGATGTTGGTGGTTCCCCTGCATGTTCCTGTCTATCCAGTTATATGGGACGGCCACCTAATTGCCGTCCCGAATGCATGAGTAGCTCTGACTGTCCAGCCAATCTAGCCTGCATGAATCAAAAATGTTCTAATCCTTGTGTGGGCACTTGTGGTGTTCACACATTGTGTACAGTAATCAAACACAACCCTACTTGTCAATGTGAATTGGGCTATACTGGAGATCCGTTCTCTGGTTGCGCCGTTATAAACATAAGTATATACTTTTCTTTCCTTTTCTGGGGGATGTAAACTGAAGGGTATTGAACTCTTTGAAAATATTTATACAATCAAGAGAGAAATATCCATTACTACCCCTGGCGTTACATCAGAAATCGCAACGACTATTTATTTTACACCGTGTAAATTTTTAGTTTCTTCCACGGAACGCCCTCGAGATCCCTGTAATCCGAGCCCCTGTGGTGCGAATGCAGTATGCCGTGAACGCAATGGAGTTGGTTCGTGTTCATGTCTTACTGAGTATTTTGGCGATCCCTACAGTGGATGCCGTCCTGAATGTGTACAAAATACGGATTGCGACCGTTCTAAAGCCTGCTTAAATAACAAATGCCAAGATCCTTGCCCTGGTGTATGCGGAATCAATGCCGAATGTCGGGTTTTAAACCATGCCCCAAATTGCTATTGCTTTGAGGGTTATACCGGAGATCCTCATCGCTCTTGTTCCGTTATGGAAGTCACTACAATAACCCCTCTTAATCCATGTCAACCGTCGCCGTGTGGTCCTTATAGTGAATGCCGAGAGACAAATGGACACGCTGTTTGCTCTTGTTTGGGCAATTATATCGGTGCACCTCCTTCGTGTCGACCGGAATGTGTCGTTAGTTCTGAATGTCCCCAAAACCGTGCTTGTATACAGCAAAAATGCGGAGATCCTTGCAAGGGAGCTTGTGGTTCAAAAGCCAAATGCCAAGTTGTCAATCACAACCCTATTTGCACCTGTCCTCTTGGTATGACAGGGGATCCCTTCGCAGAGTGCATAGTTGCCAAATCCATATCGCGTGATTCAGATAACCCCTGTGTGCCATCTCCATGTGGACCAAATTCTTTGTGCAGAGAAATCGCTGGGCAAGCTGCATGTTCTTGTCAGGCAAATTATATTGGAAGACCTCCGAATTGTCGGCCTGAGTGCACAAACAATGACGAATGTCAAAATTATTTATCTTGCCAAAATGATAAATGTGTGGATCCATGCCCAGGTTCTTGTGGTTCTAATGCTGTTTGCAAGGTTATACAACATAATGCTGTTTGTTCTTGTGCTGATGGTTATGAAGGAGATCCAGTATCTGGTTGCTCACTTATTCCTCCAGTATTGCCCAAACAGCCACCTAGTTCTCCTTGTGAACCTTCGCCTTGTGGGCCACATTCAGAATGTCGCGAACGTAATGGAGCGGGAGCCTGCTACTGCCATGAAGGATATGATGGCAATCCTTATGATACTGAGCGGGGATGTCGACGCGAATGCGAATCAAACGAAGATTGCTCGCCTGCACAATCTTGCGTTCATTTCAAATGCGTTGATCCATGCGTCAACATTTGCGGGGAACTCGCGATGTGTTCCGTTGAAAACCATGTTCCCACTTGCATGTGTCCTCCGGCTTACACAGGAGATCCATTCTTTCAATGTAAACAAATTCCCATTACACCGGCACCTATATTAAACCCGTGCGTTCCTTCACCATGTGGGCCCAATAGCATTTGTCGTAACATCAACGATCAAGCAGTTTGCTCTTGTCAATCCGGTTTCATAAACCAACCACCCAACTGCAAGCCGGAATGTATTGTTAGTTCGGAATGCGCCACTGAAAGGGCTTGTATCAAAAATAAATGTATGGACCCATGCTTGCATACTTGCGGCCATATGGCAATGTGCATTACTAAAAATCACAGTCCTATCTGTACTTGTCCCAAAGGCATGACTGGTGATCCCTTCGTTCGATGCTCAAAAATACGTAAGTTCACACTTCTGTTAATATTTTTTGCAACCCGAATTTATTGTTCAATTGTTTTAGCGCACACTATTCAACCAGAACCAACTGAGCGTCCTCCATCATGTGTGCCTTCCCCCTGTGGTCCTAATTCGAAATGCCAAATTATTGGTGGCAGCCCAGCATGTTCTTGCTTGCCAGACTTTATCGGGGCTCCCCCTAGCTGCAGGCCGGAATGTGTTCTTAATTCCGAATGTGGGCCTACTGAAGCCTGCATTAATCAGAAATGTAGAGATCCATGTCCCGGATCTTGCGGATTTGAGGCTAAGTGTCATGTTCTTAATCATTTACCAATATGTAATTGCCTTGAAGGTTACACCGGGGATCCGTTTATACGGTGCAGCCCGGTGCCAGTTATAGAATCTCCTAAAATACCTAATGACCCTTGTGATCCAAATCCTTGCGGAGCGAATGCCGATTGCTATAATGGAGAGTGCCGATGTCACAACAATTACCAAGGCAATCCATACGACGGCTGCCGTCCTGAATGTACTTTATCAGCTGACTGTGCGCAAGACAAAGCCTGCATTCGCAATAAATGCGTAAATCCTTGTCCAGGAACTTGTGGACTTAATGCCATTTGTGAAGTTTTAAACCATATTCCTGTATGCTCGTGCATCAAGGACTATGAAGGTGACCCGTTCACAAACTGTCGCTTAAAGGAACAAGAACCTGAGAAACCAGTCCAACTCTGCTCTCCGTCGCCTTGCGGACCCAACAGCCAATGCAAAAATGTTAATGATCATGCGGTATGCTCATGTTTAGATGGTTTCATGGGAACTCCACCACAGTGTAGGCCCGAATGTGTGGTGTCAAGCGAATGTAATGCTCTGCAGGCTTGCGTCAATAAAAAATGTGTCGATCCTTGCTCTGGCGCCTGCGGTATTAATGCTCGTTGTGAGGTTATAAATCATAGCCCTATTTGTGGTTGTCCTCTCGGGAAAACGGGAGATCCCTTTAAAAGGTGCTTGGACTTACCAACTCCACCAAAGACAAAACAATCAGAAAAACCTCAGGACCCGTGTTTGCCTTCCCCATGTGGGCCAAACTCAATATGTAAAACGAGTGCTAGTGGTCCTTCATGCCAGTGTTTACCCGAATTTTTCGGATCTCCACCCAACTGTCGTCCTGAATGTATCATCAACCCTGATTGTCCATCGACACAAGCTTGCATCAACAATAAATGCCGTGATCCTTGTCCAGGATCGTGTGGCACGAATGCAGAATGTCGTATTATTAGTCATAGCGTATCTTGCTCTTGCCCTAATGGATTTGCTGGCAACGCTTTCGTGCAGTGCGTGCAGCAAAAAGAGGAGCCTATTAAACCATGTGAACCATCTCCTTGTGGTCCCAACGCGGAGTGTATAGAACGTAGTGGAGCTGCCTCTTGTAGATGTATCGATGAATACCAAGGAAATCCCTATGAAGGCTGCAGGCCAGAATGTGTACTCAGTTCCGATTGTCCAACAGACCAAGCGTGTATACGCAACAAATGCAAAGATCCATGTCCTGGAATTTGTGGTTCCAATGCTCTATGCTATGCAGTTAACCATGTACCTAACTGCGTATGTGACGATGGCTACACGGGAGATCCTTTCACAACTTGTCAGCCCGAGCCCAAATTACCGCTGCCAAAACCAGGTAATCCCTGCCAACCATCACCATGTGGGCCAAATAGCAAATGCCGTCAAGCAAACAGTTTGGCCGTATGCTCCTGCTTAGATGCCTTTATAGGAACTCCTCCTAATTGCAAGCCGGAGTGTACAGTCAATGCTGAATGCTCCCAGACCAAAGCATGCCACAAATTCAAATGTGCCAATCCATGCGCTGGAACATGTGGTATCGATGCCAAATGCGAAGTTATTAACCACAATCCAATATGCAGTTGTTCTTTAGGTATGATGGGAGATCCTTTCACTAGTTGTTATCCAGCACCACATATACCTGTGGGTAAAGATAAGCCTATTGAACCAAGAAATCCATGCCTTCCCTCACCTTGTGGTTTATATTCTGAATGCCGAGTTAATGGTGACCAAGCTTCATGCTCCTGCTTACCAAACTATATAGGAGCTCCACCTAATTGCCGCCCTGAATGTGTGGTAAACACTGACTGCTCTTCTGATCGTTCTTGCATCGCGGAAAAATGTAGAAATCCATGCGATGGTTCGTGTGGTATTAATTCGGAATGTCGCATACAAAATCATTTGGCGATATGCACTTGCCGCGCTGGTTTCACTGGAGATCCATTCAGCCAGTGTGTAGAAATCACTGAAGAGAAGACACAGACACCAATTTACTTTGATCCTTGTGGTCTGCAACCTTGTGGTGCAAATGCTGAATGTCAACCTGACGGAACATGCATCTGCTTCAAAGATTATCAAGGAGATCCTTATTTGGGTTGTCGTCCCGAATGTACTCTGAGCACTGACTGTTCACCACATAAAGCTTGCTTAAATAAAAAATGTGTTGATCCCTGCCCGGGAACTTGCGGTCAGAGCGCACAATGTAGTGTCTCGAATCATATTCCCATATGTAGTTGCCCAAAAGGTTACACGGGCGATCCTTTCATAAACTGTCGACAAATGGTTCGAAACGAGCTTGTTCCTGTTGACCCCTGCCAACCCAATCCATGTGGACCAAACAGTTTATGTCATGTGTCAGCTCAAGGAGCTGTTTGTGCATGCCAACCTGGTATGTTGGGTTCACCGCCAACTTGTAAGCCGGAATGCATTGTGAGCTCAGAATGCTCTTTGCAAACTGCATGCATTAGTAAGAAATGTGTGGATCCATGTCCGGGAGCTTGCGGTCAGTTTGCAAAATGTCAAATTGTCAATCATAACCCCATTTGCACTTGCAATGATGGCTATACGGGAGACCCATTTACACGCTGCTACCAGGAAACCAAAAGCACTGAACCTGTAGTGCCAATCGAGCCTTGTATACCCTCGCCATGTGGACCTAATTCAGAATGTCGGGTAATGGGTGATAGCCCAGCTTGCTCTTGTGCGCATTCATTCATTGGCACTCCTCCAAACTGTAGACCGGAATGCACCATTAATCCTGAGTGCCACTCAACTAAAGCTTGTATACGACAAAAATGTGAAGATCCTTGCGTAGGTTCATGCGGCTTCAACGCTCATTGCACAGTAGCCAATCACATGCCAATATGTACCTGTGAAACTGGCTATACAGGAGATCCTTTCAGCAGTTGTCAACCTATACCAGGTAGGAATTTGCATATACTTTCATTGTTACTCTCTAGGCATAACCAAAGACAGGGAATGGTTTCGGGTATAACTTGAATATTATTAGCGGCTTATAATGACAAGCTAATGGAGCAAGCTTTTTCTTGAATAATTTACGCAAAACATGGTTATGCCTAAAAGTAAAGCAAGAAAACGAGGAAACTGTACGGGAAAAAGAATGATGAAACGGACAAAATTTAATTTAATAAAATATTAATTTTTGATCTAGTTTTAATGAAGTTTCACAAATGTAACAAATGCTTCGCATTTTCTTTTAATGCAGTCGTTTTTATTACTATACCGCACAGTTTTCTCCTGCCCCTTGTAATGCACACAAATTAGAACAATCACGAAGGTGTACTTGCACCAGCAACGCAATTACGCTAAAGCACAACTGCTTTACGTACACTAGTGTGTTGTGGCTTTGTGTTGACGTTAATTAATTTGTTCTTTGTAAGCACCAAAAACACCATTATTTTGAAACGTCAAAAGAAGAAGTGTTCTAATTTGTTGTTTTTTAAATGTATTGTAATTGTAAAAGAAAAATTGAAATTTTATCATCTACGGAACACGATGCTTCGCATAAAGAATTGCGATGAAAGCGAAGCATATAGAAGAATGAAATATTCATCAGCAGTAAAAAGCAGCAGTGTTAGCTTCAATGTATACAGATTTATACTCTTCCTTTTCAAATGTAACTTTCCATTTAAGAGAGATCTAGGTGTACAATATAATAAGAAATTCTCCACTGCAGCAATAGAAGCATGTACTTTCGCGGATAAATTATCTTAGTATCAAAATTTCAATTGGTTTTCCATTACATTGGGAGGATTTTTGCTTCATGCATTGTCACGATGCATAATGAATACGATAAACTGCTGATATTGGCAAAAAATTTATTTAATTTTTTCCGACAACCCTGGCAAATGCAGAATTGAACTTGAATCGCTAAAGATTCATGTTCTTTTAAGATATTTTCAATTTACGATTTCTTACGTGTTTCAAACCGAAAAGCAATTTCATATTTATTTTCTTAATAATAATTTGATTGCAATTGAGAGCATGTTGTTTAAAATCTTCTGAAAGTGTTTCGTAGAATATTGGATAAAATTAATGTTTTTCTCATTTTGATTTTCTTATTTTATTTGTTTTTATATATACTTATTTACAATTTCGTATGCATTCACACATTTCTACACTTAATTATGAAATAAAAATTATTTAAACATATACATAAAGCAAAACATGCCTTTTGCCTTTGCCTTGCCTTAATACTACGCCTTTATGCCTTTGATTTAACTCCCGACTGAAACTTCGAGTGCTTTTTTTATTTGACCCAAATAGTTATATCAGGCAATTACTTAATACCTATGTAGTAAATCTGACATTATCAACGAAATCTGAATGCTTTAGGCCTTAATAACTTAGAAAATTAACTGAGGTTGAACGTTATTAATATACAACGCTGTTGCATTTTTGGAATCCTTAGCTTTTTTCTTGTACCATCGGCCACTTAAAGCCTTTGGCACAATAATATATTGCGAATATTCGGTATAATATAAAAATAATTTTGCAAAGTTAAAAAGTAAAAAGTAAGGTGATGGCCACCTTATGTTCAACGCTGGATTTTGCCGTTTCTCTAATTGTATATTCTAATGCTTCGACTTATACAATATTTTTTTTTAATTAAATACTAAGCGTAGTCTAATAATTAATTTAGTAGTTTAATAATAATCAAAACTTATATGAAAAAGTAAAACTGATTAATAAAGAAATTTTAATAAACTAAAAATTTGCGAGCGTTTTATTAAACGTTAATAACGCCAGCCTGCCATATATAAAATATTGTACGCGGTATGCATAACTGTTAACAATACTCATACACTTACACAATAATTATCATTTTAATCCACCTCTGTTAAACGTTGATACACCGTAATAATATGTGCACTATTTTGCTAACCGCCAAGTAGTGTTTAATTTAGAGAATTGGAAATCTTAAGACAATAATTTTCTCATCTTTATTAAATGGGAGTACGTAGTGTCATCTGGGTATGTACGTTGCTTACGTTGGTACTAATCCTGATCTTATTCGTTAAGGTAATAATTAATAATTACCTCTCTTCCTTTTCTTCTTAAACGCTTAACGGAACAGAACGTATTGTTAATGAACGTATTACGCCCTGTGAACCAAATCCTTGCGGTTCGAATGCTGAATGTCGCGAACAAAACGGCATTGGTTCATGCCAATGTCTACCTGAATATTACGGCGATCCATACCAATCTTGCCGTCCTGAATGTCTTCACAATTCTGATTGTCCAAGAACCAAAGCTTGCATTCAGAATAAATGTGCCGATCCCTGCCCCGGTACCTGCGGTACAAACGCTGATTGCTCAGTAACCAATCACCTACCAACTTGTACTTGTCGCGCCGGTTTTATAGGTGATCCGTACCGGTATTGTCACTTAGAACCAAAACAACGTAAGAAAACGCTATCACATTCTACTAAGAGCTGCAATCACCCCTTTACCTCTTTAGCGAATGGTCGACCAGAATTCATAAATCTTTGTTCTCCATCTCCTTGTGGCCCGAATTCTCAATGCAAAATATTCGAGGGTCAAGCTATCTGCTCGTGTCTGGAAAATTACCTAGGTTTGCCGCCGAACTGTAGGCCAGAATGTATTTTAAGCACTGAATGCCCAACTGATAAGGCTTGCATAAAACAGCGCTGCCAAGATCCTTGCCTCGCGATTTGCGGCACCAACGCTCAATGCCATGTGCGTAATCACAGCCCAATTTGCAAATGCAGACCAGGATTTACCGGCGATGCATTTACCAGATGTTTTAACATACCACGTAATATTTCTTTAATCAGTACCGTTAGAAGAAAAAAACTTACAGTTTGTATATATCATAGTTGCCCCTCCAACTCTTAAAATAAACAGCGGTGACCCCTGTATTCCTTCGCCTTGCGGCCCGAATAGTCAATGTCGTAATAATGGCGGCATTCCTTCTTGTTCTTGCTTAACATCACACGTAGGAGCTCCACCTAATTGTCGGGCTGAATGCACTATTAGTGCAGAATGTTCTGAGGACAAAGCTTGCATACGTGAGAAATGTATAGACCCATGTCCAGGTTCGTGTGGTTACAATGCCATTTGTGAGATAGTAAACCACACTCCTATCTGCTCGTGTCTTCAAGGGTTCTCCGGAGATCCGTTCACCACTTGTAGTCTCATTCCACAAGAAGACGACATTAGTAAGTCTTTATTATCTGTGCTTGATTAAAAATGTCCAACTTCTTTTCCTTAAATAAAGTTAAAGACCCCTGCCATCCCTCGCCTTGCGGAACAAATGCCCAATGTCGTAATGGTACATGTTTCTGCCTTCCTGAATATCAAGGAGATCCTTATATTGGATGCCGACCTGAATGCGTTTTAAATTCTGACTGCATTCGGGAGAAAGCTTGTTCGCGTAATAAGTGTATAAATCCTTGCCTCGGGACATGTGGAGAGAACGCATTGTGTGATGTTGTTAATCACATACCAATGTGCCGATGTCCAGAAAACACAATAGGCAGCGCATTTATCAAATGTTCTCCACAAAGGAGTAAGCTTTTCTTAAGTCAAGCGCGTTACTTTTGAAATAAACATATTAAAAATTTTATAGAGATTATAACAGATAGAAATCCCTGCCAGCCTTCTCCATGTGGACCTAATTCAAAATGTCGCGTTATAAATCAGCAGCCTTTGTGCACTTGTATACAGGGTTTTATAGGGTCGCCTCCAACGTGCCGCCCAGAATGCACATCAAATTCTGATTGTACGCCCACACAATCTTGTCTTAATCAAAAATGTCGCGACCCCTGTCCCGGAACTTGTGGATTAAAAGCTGTATGTTCAGTGGTAAATCACAGTCCGTTCTGTACTTGCCATACTGGATTTACAGGCAATCCTTTCGTCAGCTGTCAACGAATTAGTAAGATGCTATAGCATTAAAATACTTGTTATAAAACTTATCATTGCGTTATCATTTTGTTATAGTTGAACCAATAGCTACTGCGGACATTAAAAAGCAGCCTTGTCAACCTTCACCTTGCGGTCCCTTTTCAAAATGTCGCTCCATTGGAGAAATTCCTTCATGTTCATGTTTAGAATTCTACATAGGAATACCGCCGAATTGTCGCCCTGAATGTGTTACCAGTTCTGATTGCAGTAAAAACTTTGCTTGTATCAATCAAAAATGTGTTGATCCTTGCCCTGGACGTTGTGGGTTAAACGCAGAATGCAATGTTGTCAGTCATGTCGTGCAGTGCATTTGTATTCTTGATTTCGTAGGTGATCCGTACTTACAATGCCATCCTACAAAAGAAAACGAAAAATTAGAAGCGTTAACGCCATGCCATCCCTCCCCTTGCGGGTCAAATGCCGAATGTCTTGAACGGAATGGGGCTGGTTCATGTAAATGTTTATCTAATTACTTTGGCAATCCTTATGAAGGTTGTCGTCCGGAATGTGTTATGAATTCAGACTGTCCACCCACCAAAGCATGTCAACAGCAAAAATGTTTTGATCCATGCCCAAGCACATGCGGCAAAAACTCGTATTGCCAAGTTATAAATCATGTACCCACTTGCAGTTGTCTTGCAGATTACACAGGTGATCCTTACCGCCTGTGTTCCAAAATAGCAGAACGTAAGCTTTATTTATGACCATCCGTCTTTTCATCTTATTTATATTGTATCGCTATTCAGCAATAGAGGAGAAATACATTAATACGTGCCACCCGTCACCTTGCGGTCCTAACTCACAGTGTCGGGAAATCAACGGACAAGCTGTGTGTTCTTGTCTACCACAATTTGTGGGCACACCACCAGCGTGCCGACCAGAATGCATATTGTCTTCAGAATGTTCAACGGGTGAAGCTTGTGTTAATCAAAAATGTGTAAATCCTTGTTTAAAATCTCCATGTGGGCAAAACGCGGGTTGCCGCGTTCGCAATCACAGTCCCATTTGTTCATGTAACAAAGGTTTCACAGGAGACGCTTTTACAAAGTGTTTTCTTCTTCCGCGTGAGTTAAAATATATTGGCATCAAAGCCAACCACTAATCAAAATTTTTTTATAAATTAGCGACTAGCCTTGAAATTCAGCGTGAAGACCTACGTGATCCTTGTTCACCCTCGCCTTGTGGCCCGAACTCTGAGTGTCGCAATAAAAATGGTTTGGCTTCTTGTTCATGCCTGCCCAACTTTATTGGCCAATCTCCAAATTGCCGTCCCGAATGTTCTATTAACTCTGAATGTCAAAGCCATCAAGCATGCGTCAATCAAAAATGTAGAGATCCCTGTCCCGGAGCTTGTGGTCTCAACACGTATTGTCGTATTATCAACCACACTCCTACATGTGCCTGCAGTGACGGCTTCATTGGAAATCCTTTTGTTAGCTGTTCCCCTATACCTCTGCCATGTAAGACGTCCATATCGTAGCTTGGTGAATCCTCCTATAACTATTCCTCTTTTATAGCACCATCAAAAATTTTATCAAAAGATCCATGCACACCGTCCCCATGCGGTGTAAATGCTGTTTGCATGGAAGGTGAATGCTCTTGCTTAAAGGAATATCAAGGTGACCCATATGACGAATGTCGCCCAGAATGCATATTAAATTCGGATTGTCCACGGAACAGAACTTGCATACGTAATAAATGTGCAGACCCTTGCCCTGGTACCTGTGCCATCAACGCCGTATGCGAAGTTTATAACCATATACCAATGTGCCATTGCCCTAAACTCATGACTGGAAATGCGTTTTTCAAATGTCATGCCATACAATGTAAATGACTTTCTTTTTGTTTTAAGAAATTTATTTCCTGCTGCTAATATTTATCTACACCTTATACTTTAGTTTCCTTGCCAAATAATCCTTGTCAACCTTCGCCATGTGGTCCCAACAGTCAATGCAAATTGGTAAAAGAAAGCGCCGTCTGTTCTTGCCTACCAAATTTTATCGGAAACCCCCCAAATTGCCGACCTGAATGTACTTCAAATTCTGATTGTCCTCCTGATGAAGCTTGTCAAAATATGAAATGTCGGGATCCTTGTCCGGGGACTTGTGGATTTAATGCGGATTGCAGCGTTGTCAAACACATACCATATTGCAAGTGTCGCTCCCTCACAACTGGAGATCCATTTGTTAGGTGTCACGAGATATTGACAGTTATGAAAGACGCACATAATCCTTGCCAACCCTCACCGTGCGGACCTAATTCGGAGTGCCGCCTTAAAGGAGACACTCCTTCCTGTTCATGCCTTCCGGATTACTCAGGATCACCTCCCCATTGCCGTCCCGAATGTGTCTCTAATTCGGAATGTGTCCCCACGCAAGCTTGCATTAATAAAAAGTGCCGCGATCCTTGTCCGGGCTTATGCGGGCAAAATACAATGTGTCGCGTTTTTAGTCATACAACAACGTGTTTGTGTTTGGAAGGCTTTTCAGGAGACCCATTTGTGTTTTGTAATCCGCTACCAGAGGAACCTACGGAACTTCTCCATCCCTGTGACCCAAATCCTTGCGGTCTAAACGCTAGATGTGAAGAGCGCTCAGGCGCTGGATCTTGTCAATGCATAGACGGCTATTCTGGAAATCCTTATGAACTCTGCAAGCCAGAATGCGTTTTAAACACAGATTGTGCATCTGATAAGGCTTGCCAAAATCAGAAATGTGCAGATCCCTGCCCTGGCACATGCGGAGATAACTCTGAATGTCAGGTTATCAATCATTTGCCGTCATGTAGTTGTTTACCAAATTACACCGGGGACCCGTATACATATTGCTTTGTTATAACTAAAGAATGTAAGAATACCACAATATTCTACATTCACCCACATTGTAAATTTTTCACATTTTAGTAGTACGTGAATACGTAAATCCCTGTCAACCATCGCCTTGTGGTCCGAATTCTCAATGTAAGGAAGTTAACGGTCAAGCTGTATGCTCATGTTTAACCGATTATGTTGGTAGTCCGCCTGCATGCAGGCCAGAGTGCACATCTAGTTCTGAATGCAATGCTAACGGAGCCTGTATTAATCGTAAATGCTCAGATCCCTGTCCGGGAGTTTGCGGTCAAAACTCCGACTGCCACGTACGAAATCATAGCCCCATTTGTACTTGTAAGAATGGATATACTGGCGACGCTTTCACACGTTGCTTCCAAATGCCTTCACAACAAAATGAGCCTTTACGTATTAAACTGGATCCATGTACTCCTTCGCCGTGCGGACCTAATTCACAATGCAGAGATATCAATGATAATCCCTCGTGTTCTTGCTTACCTGGTTATCTAGGTATACCACCACATTGCCGACCAGAATGCTCAATTAATTCGGAATGTGGTAGTCAGCTAGCATGTATTAATCAAAAATGCCGCGATCCTTGTCCTGGTTCCTGTGGTGTTAACACATTATGCCACGTTAGATCTCATGTACCCATATGCACATGCCGAAATGATTATACTGGCGATCCGTTTGCCATATGTAATCCGATTCAACTGGAAAGTAAGCGTTTTTATTTGTCGACTCCTAAAAGTCAAAATCAAATTAATTGCAAATTTTGTGTAGACCCAGTACCCATCAAAGATCCTTGTAACCCTTCGCCATGCGGAGCAAATGCACATTGTGCCAATGGAAAGTGCGTTTGTTTAGCACCCTTTATTGATGATCCTTACTTCGGCTGTCGGCCGGAGTGTATCCTACACACCGAATGCTCGCGAAATCTTGCTTGTATTAACCACAAATGTGTTGATCCTTGCCCTGGAACATGTGCTTCAAATGCTATTTGCGAAGTTATTAATCATATACCGAATTGCAGGTGTCCAGAAGGTATGCAAGGCAATGCATTTACCTTTTGTTTACCTGCACCAAGTAAGATTTTATCTCTCCACCAAATTCAACGTACCCCTCCTAATTTAAAAATCGTTTTTAAAGGAATAAATTTGCCATCGAATCCTTGTCAAGGAAATCCATGTGGTCCAAATAGTCAATGCCGTGAATTCAACGCCCAGGCTGTGTGCGCTTGCATAGAAGGCACTATCGGAAACCCACCACTATGCAGGCCGGAATGTACAACAAATACTGATTGTCCCTTAAATGAAGCATGCTTAAATCAAAAATGCCGAGATCCATGTCCCGGTGTTTGTGGCCGGAATGCTCTCTGTCATGTTAGCAATCACAACCCTTATTGTCGCTGCCCAGAAAAATACACTGGGAATTCTTTTATCAGCTGCCAACTTGCGACGGCACCTCCTATGCCGTTAATCCAACCTTGCCACCCATCTCCTTGCGGCCCTTTCTCCGAATGCCGGGAAATAGCAAGCACCCCATCATGTACTTGTTTACCGGATTATAAAGGGACTCCACCGAATTGCCGACCTGAATGCTTAACAAGTTCAGAATGTCCTTCAAATAAAGCATGCGTTAACCTGCAATGTAAAGATCCTTGCCCGAACTTGTGTGGATCGTCTGCTATGTGTCGTGTTATATCACATACACCCAGCTGCTTTTGCCCGGAAGGTTATGAAGGAGACCCGTTTGTTCACTGCGACAAAAAGCGCTCAGATCCTCTCTTAGATAATAATGACGCTTGCAATCCGAGTCCTTGTGGAATAAATGCCGTGTGTAAACAAAGGAAAGGAGCTGGCTCCTGTCAGTGTTTACCAGAATATTACGGAAACCCTTACGAAGGCTGCCGTCCAGAATGCTTATTGGACGCTGATTGCGCCAGCAACTTAGCTTGTCAGAGTACAAAATGTCAAGACCCTTGCCCAGGAACATGTGGCCAGAATGCCGCTTGTGTAGTTTTAGATCACAAAGCTACTTGCATTTGTTTAAACGGTTACAGCGGAGACCCATATCGCATTTGCCAGATTGAAAAAGAAAGTAAGTGACTAAAGTAAACACAAGATCGGGTTTATACATCGCCCTTTAAACGTTTACTCCTCGTAGCATTAAAAGAATACCTTAACCCTTGTCAGCCGTCTCCTTGCGGTCCAAATTCGAACTGTCGCCAAATAAATGAACAACCAGTTTGTTCTTGCTTGCCTGAATATGTAGGAAGCCCTCCATTATGCCGCCCGGAATGTACGAGGTCTTTGGAATGTCCTCATAACAAAGCTTGTATAAATCAAAAATGTTCGAATCCTTGTCCTGGGACATGTGGTACAAACGCAAATTGCAATGTACGGAATCATAGCCCTTTGTGTTCTTGCCGTAGCGGGTTTACAGGCGATCCCTTTTACATTTGTCAAGCTATACCAAGTAAGAAAGTTAATAGCATACCAGCACCCGTAAATGTTTTGTTTATGAAATATTTTGTTTATAACTAGCTGTTCAACCAGTGCAAGCTAAGAAAACTTCTACCGATCCTTGCATACCGTCTCCTTGCGGGCCGTTTTCTCAATGCAAGCGTGTGGGCGATTCCCCTTCTTGCTCTTGTTTACCAGGTTATATTAACTCTCCCCCAAACTGCAAACCTGAATGTCTCATAAATGCTGATTGTGTCAATAATCAAGCTTGCATTAAGGAAAAGTGTCGCGACCCATGCTTAGGAGCTTGCGGCTTAGGGGCCCTTTGTAACGTTAACAATCACACTCCGAATTGCGCATGTCCTTCAGAATACACTGGTGATCCATTCACATACTGTCAACCAGCCCTCGCAATGCCAAGTAAGCTACCTTCATCGTTGAATTTGCACATCATTGCTATAGTGCTATTTTTATCATTCTCTTAGCTACCCTTGAAAAAGACGATCCCTGTAATCCTTCCCCTTGCGGGCCAAACACCGCATGTAACGAGGGCACTTGTAGCTGCTTGCCAGATTATCAGGGAGATCCCTATGCAGGTTGTCGTCCCGAGTGTATCATAAGCGAAGATTGTCCGCGAGAACTAGCTTGTCTTAAGAATAAATGCGGCAATCCTTGCATCGGTACTTGCGCTGTTAATGCCATCTGTCACGTTTTTAACCATATACCCATATGCACTTGCCCACAAGGCATGGCAGGAAATGCTTTCGTTTTGTGCAATCATGTGCCACGTAAATATTCTAAAACTTTTGCAAATAAATTTGACCTCTAAATTTTGTATCCCTAACTATAGCGCCGACTAAAATTAACCCCTGTCAACCAGGTCCTTGCGGGCCCAATGCACAATGTCGTGTAGTAAATTCACAAGCGGTATGCTCGTGCATGCCCAATTATTTAGGTACTCCACCATTATGTCGGCCAGAATGTACTGGAAACCAAGAATGTCCCTCAAATATGGCTTGTATGAATCAGAGATGTATAGATCCTTGCCCAGGAGCATGCGGACGAAATACCCAATGTTCTGTCGTTAACCATAACCCGTTTTGCATTTGCTTACCCGGATTTACAGGCAATCCATTTGTTACTTGTGAACGTAAGATAGAATCTTCCCCAGCAAGTGATGTTAAAAAAGACCTCTGTAACCCTTCTCCCTGTGGGTCGAATTCGAAATGCCGAGTAATAGGAGAAACTCCTTCCTGCACTTGTTTAGATAACTTCATAGGTTCTCCTCCGAATTGTCGCCCACAATGTGTCTCCAACTCTGAATGTGCTTCTCATTTCGCCTGTATTAACCAACAGTGCAAAGATCCATGCGTGGATTTATGTGGAACTGCAGCCGTATGTCGTGTAGTCTCTCACACTCCAATGTGCACCTGTCCAGAAGGGTTTACGGGAGATCCATTTGCAAGCTGTATACCTAGACCTGTAAAAATTCAGGAAGAGCATCTCAGCCCTTGTAACCCTTCCCCGTGCGGTTCAAATTCCGAATGCTCAGAAAGAAACGGAGCTGGGGCGTGTCATTGCCTTCCGGGATATTTCGGTAATCCATATGAATCATGTAGACCGGAGTGCATCTTAAACTCAGATTGTCCCATGACCAAAGCCTGCCAGCAACAGAAGTGCCGCGATCCTTGTCCTGGCGCATGTGGAATAGGTGCGGACTGTATAGTAATTAATCATCTACCGACCTGTAACTGTCTTCTTGGTTACACGGGAGATCCTTATCGCTCGTGCAGTAAGCCAAAAGAACGTAAGCGCTTTCATTACCTTTATACGGATAATCGAAGCTAGAAGAATTACTAATTTTTTGCCCCACAACTTACTCCTTTTGTTTAGCTGAAAAAACAGACTATATTAACCCATGTCGACCATCGCCTTGTGGACCTAATTCTGTGTGCCGCGAAATTAACTCCCAAGCAGTGTGTTCTTGTTTGTCTGGATACATTGGCATTCCACCTACATGTCGACCGGAATGTACATCAAATGGGGAATGTAACTTAGAAAAAGCATGTGTAAATCAAAAATGTTCCGATCCGTGCTTAGGCGTGTGTGGAGAAAATGCACGCTGTCATGTCAAAAATCACAGTCCTTTATGTTCGTGTCATCCTAATATGACAGGCGACGCCTTTGTACGATGTCACTCCTTACCACGTAAGACATTACATATTCCTAGCCGTGCTTACAAATATAGCCATTATTCTTTTGTACTTAGCTTCGCCACCCATGAAGTCTGTCGATATTATCAATGATCCTTGCTTACCTTCACCATGCGGTCCATATTCTGTTTGCCAAAATCAAAATAATATGGCTTCGTGTTCATGCCAAATAAACTATTTTGGTAGTCCTCCAAATTGTCGACCAGAGTGTACTATTAATGCCGATTGTCCGCTCAGTCAAGCATGTATTAACGAGAAATGTCAAAATGCTTGCTCCGGAGCTTGTGGCCTTAATGCGGAATGCAATGTTATTAGTCACATACCAAATTGCAAATGTCAAGAAGGTTATATTGGGGATGCTTTTCTATCGTGTCAGCTTGCCCCAGCACCGAAACTTGATGAGCCAAAAGATCCTTGCCAATCTAATCCGTGTGGTACCAACGCTGTATGTAGTCGCGAAGGTGTATGCTCATGCTTGGCCGACTACCAGGGAGATCCGTATACAGCCTGCATGCCTGAATGCGTACTGAATTCAGAATGCTCTAAAGATCAGGCTTGTGTAAGCCAAAAATGTCGCGACCCTTGCCCAGGCACTTGTGGTGCAAATGCCATCTGTGAAGTCTTTAATCATATACCAATGTGCCATTGCCCACAACACATGAGCGGTAATGCATTTGTTAGCTGTGTACCAATGCAAAGTAAGTTCATTGCATCTATCGAAGGCTATTTTAATTATTGCCCATTCCCGCAGCTGAATTGTATAGCAATCCGTGCCTGCCAACTCCTTGTGGTCCTAATTCCCAATGTCGTGAAATTAATTCGCAAGCTATCTGTAGCTGCTTACCTAATTATTTAGGTAGTCCACCCAATTGTAGACCTGAATGTGCTTCAAATACAGAATGTACTGCAGATCGCGCTTGTCAGAATCAAAAATGTGTCGATCTATGTCCAGGAACTTGTGGCCGTTTTGCTAAATGTACAGTAATCAACCATAGTCCCTTCTGCACCTGTATAGCAGGATACACGGGCAATCCATTCAGACAATGTCAACGTATTAGTGAGTGTTAAGGACAGAGTACAAAATCCTTTTTATAATTTTACATATTTTAGTTAAACCAATACTAGACTTGGAGCCATCAAACCCTTGTTCGCCTTCACCTTGCGGTCCTAACAGTATATGCAAGCCGTTAGCTGGTACGCCCTCATGTGCTTGCCTTGATCAGTTTATAGGTCAACCACCAAATTGTCGTCCAGAATGTGTAACCAATTCTGAGTGTAAATCTACCGAAATATGTTCTGATCAAAAATGCTTAAATCCTTGTCTTAACCTATGCGGTGAAAATTCTCTGTGTCGCGTTGTAAGCCATACTCCGATGTGTTACTGTGAGCCAGATTACACTGGTGATCCTTTTTCCGTTTGCTCACCTACACACACAGAACATATGGAAATCACCAATCCTTGCAATCCCAATCCCTGTGGGCCAAACGCAGAATGTCGCCAACAAAATGGCGTGGGATCTTGTCAATGTATGCCTGAATATTTTGGCAACCCCTATGAGGGATGCAGACCAGAATGCTTAATTAATTCTGACTGCCCATCAAGTAAAGCTTGCATTAGCGAAAAGTGCCGCGATCCATGTCCTGGCACTTGCGGTGAGAATGCCGAATGCTTCGTTCAAAACCATTTACCTACTTGCAATTGCTTAGACCGTTATGTTGGTAATCCATACCATCTTTGTACTAAAGCAGAAAAACGTAAGCACATAAATGTGATTCGAAATACCGTTAATAACCACTAGTTATACTTTAATTAGCTGTTACAAAGGAATACGTGAATCCCTGTGACCCCTCTCCTTGTGGTCCCAATAGTCAGTGCCACGTAGTTAATGAACAAGCCGCTTGTTCTTGCTTAGCTGAGTTTGTTGGAGCTCCCCCAGTATGTCGACCAGAGTGTGCGATAAGTTCAGAATGTTCATTTGACAAAGCATGTGTAAAGCAGAATTGTGTTGATCCTTGTCCAGGAGTGTGTGGTCACAATGCCATATGTCGAGTTCGCAACCACGCTCCCACATGTTCGTGTGAAGATGGCTTAACGGGAGATCCATTCACTCACTGCTATCACATGCCTCGTAAGTCTGTGTTTAAACAGAAGGATCGAAAATTCAATTAATAAAATTTTAGCATCTCCTCCCTCTACGGCACCGGAACCCTTGCGCGATCCTTGCATTCCTTCACCTTGTGGGCCCAATTCCCAGTGTCATAACGCTTACGGTCAAGCGGCGTGTACTTGTTTACCTCAATATTTGGGAGCGCCACCAAACTGTCGGCCAGAATGTTCAACAAGCTCCGAATGTCCGTTAAACATGGCTTGTTTGAATACGCATTGCGTCGACCCTTGTCCTGGATCCTGCGCTTATAACGCATTATGCACTGTTCATAGTCATATACCAAGTTGCAGTTGCCCTGAAGACTACACAGGTGACCCGTTCGCAAACTGTCAAATTGTTCACAAACGTAAGCTTTTAAATTATAAGGTTTAAAACGCCCATTTAATGAGTTGAAAACGAATCTCTAGACAAACTTATTTTAAATAACGATCCTTGCAAACCCTCACCTTGCGGACCAAACGCTGTATGTAAAAATGGTCAATGTTCCTGTCTTCCTGAATATAGCGGAGACCCTTACATAATCTGCCGACCAGAGTGTGTTTTAAATACGGAATGCCCTGTAAACAAAGCCTGTATAAAAAACAAATGCAAGGATCCTTGTCTTAATATCTGTGGACATAATGCTCGATGCGAAGTTTTCAACCACATACCCATCTGTAGTTGTCCAGAAAAACTGACGGGCAATGCTTTTGTCCAATGTAATCAAATACCAAGTATGTTCAAAGTAATTTAAACAGAAACATGCATTAACCCAAAACTACTCTTATAGTTTCTCCAATAAGCAATCCTTGTCAACCTTCACCGTGTGGTCCTAATAGCAGGTGTAAAATATACCAAAACAATGCCGTATGTTCTTGCATTGAAAACTTTCTCGGAAATCCTCCTTCATGTCGCCCTGAATGTTCCATCAATTCCGATTGTACTCCGCAGAGAGCATGTCAGAATCACAAATGTATCGATCCCTGCCCAGGTACCTGCGGGTTAAACTCTCTTTGTAATGTAGTTAACCATTCTCCGATATGTGCATGTTCTGAGAGTTTCACGGGAAATCCGTTTGTCAGCTGCCAACCGATGCCTAAGCTTCCAATTAAAGAAACGGATAAGTCCCATCCTTGTTTGCCAAGCCCATGTGGACCCAACTCAGAATGCCGAGTTGTTGGAAATTCGCCTTCCTGCTCTTGTTTACTTAATTTCGTAGGCGCGCCCCCAAACTGTCGCCCAGAATGCGTAGTAAATTCTGAGTGTCCTTTGAACCGTGTTTGTCTTAATCAAAAATGTGCCAATCCATGTCCCGGTGTGTGTGGACGGAATACCCGATGTAATGTTGTATCTCACGCGTCAGTATGTACGTGTACAGCCGGATTTATCGGAGATCCTTTCACTGGTTGCACATTACTATCCATGCCTTTGAAGGATATTGTCTCGCCCTGCGAACCCAATCCATGTGGCGCAAATGCCATATGTCGTCAAGTGAACAATGCGGGATCCTGTCAATGTTTGTCTGAATATTTTGGCAATCCCTATGAAGGTTGCAGGCCCGAATGCGTTTCCAATGAAGATTGTCCTTCAAACAAGGCTTGTTTAAAACGAAAATGCCGCGATCCTTGCCCTGGAGTCTGCGGATTAAATGCAGTCTGCGTTGTTATCAGTCACTTACCAACATGTGAATGTTTATCAGAATTTATTGGTGATCCATATCAAAACTGCCAACGACCTGAAAAACGTAAGATTAGTATATGATTTAAAGCTTCTTTCTACGATACACGAAATTCTACAACATACATTTTGCAGCTATTACAAAAGAGATAATAAACCTTTGTCAACCATCACCCTGCGGTCCCAATTCACAATGTCGCGAGGTTAACAAACAAACAGTTTGCTCTTGCCTCCCATCTTATAAAGGAGTACCGCCTACTTGTAGACCAGCATGTACTATCAATTCAGAATGTGCTCAAGATAAGGCCTGTGTTAATCAGAAATGTGTTGATCCCTGTCCTAACTCGTGTGGAGCAAATGCTGAGTGTGAAACTCGTAACCATTCTCCCATATGCAGCTGTCGCTTAGGATACACTGGTGATGCTTTCATCCGTTGCTCTCCTATTCTACTGAGTAAGAAAATATTCTTAAAATGTTAGTGTCACAATTAGCACACGTTTGTTTAGCATCAGCACCTCCAGACCACAGCATTTCTTCAAATCCTTGTGTTCCATCACCATGTGGACAGTTTTCTGAATGTCGCGATATCGGTAGCAGCGCCATTTGCAGCTGTTTACTTAACTATGAAGGATCGCCCCCAAATTGTCGTCCGGAATGCACCATCAATTCGGATTGCCTTAGCTCAAATGCTTGTATTAATCAAAAGTGTAGAGATCCCTGCCCCGGAGCTTGCGGTCTGAACGCTGAATGTTACGTTATTAACCATATGCCGATTTGCCAATGTCGCAAAGGATTGGTTGGAGACCCTTTTGTGAATTGCAATCAGCCGTTGCCTACTTCCACACCACCATACTTAGATGACCCCTGCCACTATTGTGGAGCAAATGCGGTTTGCCGTGATGGTCAATGTTTCTGTTTATCAAACTACCAAGGTAATCCAAAAGTAGGGTGTCGTCCACAATGTGTTCTGAGCACTGAATGTCCACTTGACAAAGCCTGTATACAACAAAAGTGTCAAAATCCTTGTCAAGGACTATGTGCTTCAAATGCAATTTGTGAAGTTCATAATCACGTGGCTATGTGTCATTGCCCGGATAAAATGTCTGGGAACGCCTTTGCTTTATGCCTTCCTGTCCCACCAATTAAATTTACGCAGCCATGTCGCCCATCTCCTTGCGGTGCCAACGCTCAATGTCGAGTCATAAATAAACAGGCTGTGTGCTCCTGTCTAGCCAACTATTTTGGAACCCCGCCAAATTGTCAACCTGAATGTACAACAAACAGCGAGTGTACGTTAGATAAAGCCTGCTTACAGCAAAAATGCCAGGATCCCTGCCCAGGCGCTTGCGGGTTCAACAGCGAATGCTTCGTACATAACCATAGCCCAATTTGCCGTTGCATGTCTGGCTACAGCGGCAATCCATTTATTGATTGCCAATCAATTAAAAGTAATTGAATCTATTAAGTTTGATTTGTTACTCAAGTTTAAAGTTCGCTTTATCTTTAGTTTTACCACTATTGTCAAATAAAGAGAAAGATCCCTGCCAACCATCACCCTGTGGAGCAAATTCTGAATGCCGTGCTAACGGAGAAAATCCTTCCTGTAGTTGCTTAAAAGAATTTATAGGAATCCCACCAAATTGTAGACCAGAATGCGTTAGTAATGCCGACTGTTCTTCATCAACAGCTTGTATTAAACAAAAGTGTGTCAATCCTTGCTCTGGAGTTTGCGGCTCAAATTCGCAGTGTCACGTTGTAAATCATACTCCCATGTGCTACTGCGATACAGGATTTACAGGCGATCCATTTACCAACTGCATTAAAGTAGTTAACTATCCTCCAGAAGATATAAGGCCATGCGATCCCAACCCTTGCGGTCCCAATACCGAATGCTTTGAACGTGATGGAGCAGGAGCTTGTTCATGTTTACCAGAATTTTTTGGCAATCCTTATGAAGGTTGCCGCCCTGAATGTGTATTAAACTCAGACTGCCCTACAGAATTTGCTTGCATACAAAATAAATGCAGGGATCCCTGTCCTGGTACATGTGGTATCAACGCCGAATGCTATGTAAGAAATCATCTTCCAACATGTAATTGCTTACCAGCTTTTTCTGGAGATCCATACAGCTATTGTGTGAAGCAATCTGAAAGTGAGCTTAAACTAAAAATAGGTAGAAAAAATTACCTTGTAATACGAGTTCTTCCTACAGCAATTTACGAAATTCGAAATCCCTGCCAACCGTCCCCTTGCGGATCTAATTCCGAATGCCGCGAGGTTGAAAACCAAGCTGTTTGTTCTTGCTTGCCTTCCTATATAGGCTTTCCACCCGCTTGTCGTCCAGAATGCACTTTATCCTCTGAGTGTGATCTCAGTAAAGCTTGTATTTATCAAAAATGTATAGACCCATGCAACGGAATATGCGGGTTGAACGCTGAATGTCGCGTCCACAATCATAGCCCGGTTTGCTCTTGCCGACCTGGTTATACTGGGGACTCTTTTGTACGATGCTTCCGCCAACCTTTGGAGCGTAAGACCAATTGAGTTGTAAAGATGTACTGCACGCTATATATAACTTTTTTATACAGCTCAAATTCCTGCTAATGATGACTACCGAGATCCTTGTCTTCCTTCCCCATGTGGTGCGAAAGCGCAATGTCAAGTCAAAAACCAACAAGCCTCTTGCGTTTGTCTTCAGGGTTACATTGGTTCTCCTCCAAATTGCCGCCCAGAATGTACTATCAATGCTGAGTGCCCTTCCAACTTATCTTGTATAAATGAAAAATGTCGAGATCCATGCCCCGGGTCCTGCGGACACTTAGCTTTATGCTTCGTGAACTTGCACATTCCCATTTGTACCTGCCCTGAGAGATATACCGGAGATCCATTTAAAAGTTGTCAAGAGGAGCTAACTAAAGAGCAAAGTATATATTAATTATTTCGCCAATTGACATATTTCATGAGATCACATTACACTTTTAGTCCCTCTGAGAGACTCTTGCAACCCTTCCCCTTGCGGTGCCAATGCCCTTTGCGAAAATGGTCAGTGCACATGTGTAACCGAATATAAAGGGAACCCTTATATAGGCTGCCGACCGGAATGTGTTCTTAACGTGGAATGTGGCCGCGATAAAGCTTGTATTGAGAATAAATGTATAAATCCGTGCCCTGGCACGTGCGGCAAAAACGCAATATGTGAAGTAAACAACCATATTCCGATTTGCCGCTGCCCCGAGGGAACGTCAGGCAATGCTTTTATACAATGTCAAACCATAAAAAGTAAGCTAGCAAAGCAAAAGCGTATATTGTATATACAGAAGTATATATTGTATGTGGTATAATGATATTAAACACCTTATTTCTAACTTCAGCGGAGAAGGCGTCAGAAAATCCATGCCATCCTACGCCGTGTGGACCTAATTCACAGTGCCGTGTATATAATAAGCAAGCCGTTTGTTCTTGTCTATTTAATTACATAGGGATACCGCCTGGTTGTCGCCCAGAATGCACTATTAATTCTGACTGCCCCCGTCATCTTTCTTGCATCAATCAAAAATGTATTAACCCATGTTTAGGCGCTTGTGGTATTAAAACTGAATGCCAAGTGGTAAATCATGTACCGTTCTGCAAATGCATGCCCGGCTATACCGGTAACGCATTTATAATGTGCCAGATCTTGCCTCTTCTAAAGTCTAATGAAGTTGTTAATCCCTGTGCACCTTCACCATGTGGCCCTAATTCGCAGTGCACCAAAGTGCAAAACTCCGCTTCCTGTGCTTGCTTGCCTAATTACAAAGGAGCCCCACCTAATTGCAGACCAGAATGTTTAATATCTTCAGAATGCGCGGAAAACTTGGCATGTATTAACAATAACTGCCGAGATCCTTGCCAGAATTTATGTGGCGAAAACGCAACTTGCCAGGTCGTAAGCCACGCACCTTCGTGCACTTGCTTGAAAGGATCCTTGGGTGATCCTTACATACAATGCCTACCCTCATCGAAAATTACGCAAGAGCAAATTAATCCGTGTTCTCCATCGCCTTGCGGCAATAATGCAGAATGTCGGCAAAAGGATGGGGCAGGGTCATGTACGTGCCTACCTGACTTTTATGGAAACCCGTACGAAGGTTGTCGCCCCGAGTGTGTTCTTAATTCCGACTGCCCTCCGAATCGAGCCTGCCAAAACCAAAAGTGCCTTAATCCCTGCCCTGGAGTTTGTGGTCAAAATGCTCAATGTGACGTGATCAATCACTTACCCATGTGCAGTTGCTTCAATGGATACGGTGGAGATCCATATAATTATTGCAATGTTTTCCAAGATTGTAAGATTTTCGCTCAAATTAAGAGAGTTTTTCAATATCGCATTACATTGAAGTTACATTGTATGGTAGTATTATTAATCCATTGCATGCGTGGTTTAACCATATTACGTAAAGCCCGAAATGTCATTGTGTCCGATTTCTATCTTTATTTACATCGAAAAAGAAGGTATTTTTCACCGCAGTAAAATCAAATGTGCTCATCAGATCCTGTAACAGGGCCAAGATAGCCGAAATCCAACAACAATTAATAGACCTGTGATTATTATCTTCAGTAAAAAATTATAACTTGAATCGAACTATTTACCCAATATTTCAGATTGTTACTTTAAGGAAGCAGACCATTGTAACTTTCTTAAAAAAGAATTTTCCTAACAATATATTTTCGGTGGAAAGGAACATAATAAACTAATAATATATGCGGAGGTTATTAAGGATAAGCTTAAATGCTAAAAAAAAATATTTAGAAAAATTGCAACTTTCAAGTCATTCCCTTGAGGCATCTTCAGGACAGTAGCATTGGCCTAGTCATCTTTTCATGCAAAATTGGATACATTTCTGTCTAATAAACACAGTTTTTGAATGTAAAAATTCAATTTTCTGCCAAAAAAAAAAGTGACATTTAATAAGAAATGTTTAAATTAACTTATCAAAATATGCTATATATAACTCGAAAGAATATTGACTTATTTCTTTGAAAAATTCGAATGAAAAAGTGGAAACTGCTTGGTAACGACCTTTTTTCCTTGTATTCTAGAGGGTTCAAACCATTTACAGAGGTCTACCCAACATTTCGAAGACACTTCAAAAGTTTTAAATATTTTTCGACTTTCGACATTCGACTTTTTATTTTTCTTACAAATTCCTTTTTGCTTCCTAAGACTTACTTTCCGGAATACAGTTTAAAGTGAAACCAGCAAGAACATAATTTAAATGCTTACACAATTTCATTACACAGCGCAAACCCCCGTTTATTTGAATCCTTGTGATCCAACACCTTGTGGGCCAAATGGCCAATGCCGAGAAATTAACGGTGAAGCTGTGTGCTCTTGTTTGCCTGAGTATATTGGCCTGCCGCCTGCTTGCAGACCTGAATGCGTAATCAGCTCAGAGTGCTCTTCTTCCAAGGCGTGCATTAATCGAAAGTGCCGGGATCCCTGCCCAGGGTCCTGCGGCATTAACGCTGAATGCTATGTACGTAACCATAGCCCCTTGTGTTCTTGCAAGTCTGGTCATACCGGAGATGCTTTAATCGGATGTCAACCTTCGCCGAAACGTAAAGACGACCCAAATCCCAAAAACCCATGCATCCCCTCACCGTGTGGTCCGTATTCACAATGCAGAATAGTAAATGATGATGCTTCTTGTAGTTGCTTATTACAATACGTAGGAATTCCTCCAAATTGTCGGCCTGAATGTACCATTAATGCAGAATGCCCCAGCAACACGGCATGTATAAAGGAACAGTGTAAGGATCCATGCCCAGGCTCCTGCGGTTTTAACGCTTTGTGTAATGTTATTAATCATACACCAAGTTGCTCCTGCCGAACTAGTTACACTGGAGATCCCTTTACTTCTTGCCACCTGTTGCCTTCACCTCCTCAATTCACAAGTATAGCCAAAATGTTGAATAGTCTAATCAAAAGTTCCGTTTTTTGAATATGTTTTTCTCCACAATTTTTTAGAACTTCATGAGACTGTCGATCCATGTAATCCTTCACCGTGTGGAGCCAATACAATCTGTCAAAAAGGACACTGTTCATGTCTAGCAGATTATCATGGAGATCCTTTCGTTGGATGTCGGCCTGAATGTCTTCTAAATTCTGATTGTGCTCACAATCAAGCGTGCGTACGCAAGAAATGTGTAGATCCTTGCACAGGAACATGCGGCCAAAATGCCTTGTGTTCCGTGCACAATCATATAGCTATGTGTCGTTGCCCTGATAGAATGACAGGCAATGCTTTTGTATTCTGCGATCATACACCCGAAATTATACCTAAAATGGCTTGCCAGCCTTCACCTTGTGGCCCTAATTCACAATGCACCGAGCGTAATAACAGCGTTGTCTGCTTCTGCATCACTGGCTATATAGGACATCCTCCGAATTGCCGTTTGGAATGTTATGCAAGCTCAGATTGTTTACCCACACAAGCTTGTGTCAACAATAAATGTATAGATCCCTGTCCAGGAAAATGTGGTATTAACGCCGAATGCCAAATCGTACAACACAGTGCACATTGTGAATGTTTGCGGGGATATGAAGGCAATCCCTATTCCGCTTGTACTAGAATAGGTATGCGATTCTATGAAGTAAAAGCAATCAGGCGGACTAAACACATTTGATTTTTTTCTGTAGAATTACGTCCCCAAACACCAGCTAAGAACACAGACCCCTGCCGTCCCTCACCATGTGGTGCCAATTCCCTTTGTCTTAATATCAATGGTCAAGCTCAGTGTTCTTGCTTAGCTGAATACCACGGTGTGCCACCACACTGCAGACCTGAATGTTCCAGCAATGATGACTGCCATAATAATTTAGCATGCATCAAACAAAAATGTCAAGATCCTTGTTTAGGTTCCTGCGGTTTCAATGCTAACTGCATAGTAACTCTTCACATACCAAACTGTCATTGTCCTTCAGAAATGACTGGAGACCCGTTTAGTAGTTGCTACGAACGCCGACCGAGTAAGAACAAACCAAAAGGCATTTTTGCGTTATATTCACGTACATTTTTTTTTGACTCCACGTTTATACTTTTACTATTAATTACATTTTCAGTTGCTCCCCCTCAACGTGAAGAACCTAAAAATCCTTGTCGTCCTCCTCCTTGTGGCAGTAACGCTGACTGCCAAGTGCGTGGTAGCAGTTACATTTGCGAGTGCATTAAAGATTATTCCGGCAATCCATACGAAGGTTGCCGCCCTGAGTGCGTGGGCAACTCCGAATGCCCAGCAAATCGAGCATGTATACAAAATAAATGCGCTGATCCTTGCCCAGGAACTTGTGGGATTGAGGCTGTTTGTTCAATTAATAATCATATACCTATATGCTCTTGTCCGGAAGGACTTACCGGTAATGCTTTCGTACAGTGTTCTCCTACTATTATTCCGGAAACTACATTTGACAAAGCGGATCCCTGCTACCCAACACCTTGCGGTCAAAACACCATTTGTAAAGTTCAGCGGGATCAAGGAATATGTGAATGCTTACCTGGTTTCTTCGGCAATCCATACGGTCATCAATGTCTTCCTGAATGTACATTAAGCTCGGATTGTGCAAAAGATAAAGCTTGCGTGAATTCCAAATGCATGGATCCTTGCCCAGGCATTTGCGGCTACGGGGCTCTTTGTCGCACAGTTAATCACAACCCTATATGCAGTTGTTCTTCATCCATGGTAGGCAATCCCTTCATTGAGTGTCATCCAGCACCCAAGCAACAAGAGGCATTCAATCCCTGTGATCCTTCACCGTGCCGAATAAAAGGCATTTGCCGCGCAGTCAACGATATTGCTACATGCATTTATCCAGAATGTGTAACCAACGAGGATTGTTCACGCGATCGAACTTGTATTAATCAAAAGTGTCGTGACCCTTGTATTAATTCTTGCGGTCTCAATTCTATATGTAATGCCGTCAACCATAAAGCCGTTTGTATATGTCCACCCGGATTCTATGGTTCACCCTACAGCCAGTGTTTGCAACAAGTGGATGTTATGCCAGTTTCAAAACCAGAATGCTTTTCAGATAGCGACTGTACAAACGATAAAGCATGTGTTAATGGAGGATGCAAAAACCCATGCGAATTGGGTCGCGTTTGTGGTCTAAATTCAAGATGTCATGTACAATTTCACAGACCACTTTGCGTGTGCAACGAAGGTAATATAAGTATAAAAAAAATTAAATTGCCCAGTGATATAAAACTTTTCGTTGTGATTTTTCGTAGGCTATACAGGCAACGCCTTAAACAATTGCCACTTAATTGGCTGTCAGTCAAATAAAGAATGCTCTCCAACGGAGGCTTGCATAAACAACGAATGTACTAGTCCATGTCTCTATACACAATGTGGAGCCAATGCCGAATGCCGCACAGACTATAGTCATAAAGCGCGTTGTCATTGCTTAGATGGATATAATGGCAATCCATTAGAACGTTGTATACGTCCGGAATGCAATCACGATGAGGAATGCGCATTTAATTTAGCTTGTCGCAATGAGCGATGCGAAGATCCTTGCAACTGTGGAATCAATGCTCAATGTCGTGTTAATAGCCATCGAGCACAATGTCGCTGTCCACCCGGTTACGTAGGTGATCCCCTAATAATATGTAAAATTGAAGAAATCAAAGTTGCACCACAGTGTAGCTCAGATGCTGAGTGTAGTAGTAAATTGGCTTGCTTTAGTGGCCTATGTAAAAACCCATGCTTAATTACTAAACCATGCGGAAACAATGCTGTTTGCTCAGTTGTAGACACTTTGCCACTACGGACAATGATGTGTGAATGTGAACATGGTTACGTAGGTGATGCGGACGTTGGGTGCCGAAAAGGTATATTTTTCATATTTAAGCTTCTCAACTTATTATCAAGTAGAAATGGACATGATTTACTTAAAGTTTCTTTCTCAATTACAGCAGTCATATATGTGCTTACAGTCTTTAGTTTTAATATATTTCGTTTTGTTTTTTTATAATATCGCACTTCAATGTATTTTACAACACATTAGCTAACTGCGCACTATATTGTAGCCTAATTTCAGCTTATAAATTACCATATATGCTTCAATTTTTTAGAACCTGTTCATGATCATGGCTGTCAAACGGCTGAAGATTGCGGACTCAGCGAAACTTGCCGTAAAGGCAATTGTATAAATCCTTGCGTCAATTCTTCACCATGCGCACGAACAGCCGAATGTTTCGTACAAAATCATCGGGCTGTATGTACATGCCCACAAGATACTCAGGGCGATCCTTTTGTTAGCTGCTACCAACCACGTAAGTAATTGATGACTAGTAATCTAAAAATATGCATCCCCACATTTTGTTGAAATAATTTTAGCTCAAATCACAACTGGCTGCAGTCATGACTCTGAATGCGCTCCTACTGCTGCTTGCATTAATAAACAATGCCAAAATCCTTGTGCCGAAGGTAACCCTTGTGCTAACAATGCGGAGTGTAGAGTGCACTCCAACAGACCAATTTGTTCTTGTCCAACCGGTTGGGGTGGCAATCCGCAAGTACAATGTTTTAAATGTAGGTTGTGCTTACTATGTCAACTAGCATGGGTTATAACATTCGATCATATTTCAGCTGAATGCAAAATAAATGGTGATTGTCCTTATGATAATGCCTGCGTCAATGAGCATTGTGTTAATCCTTGTACACATGGAAGTATTCGTTGCGGCACCAACGCCTTGTGTGAGCCCCAAAACCATCAGGCAGTTTGTATATGCCCGGCCGGTACTCAAGGGAATGCTTTCGTGTCCTGCATCACTGGTCATTGCCAATACAACGAAGATTGTGCCGATTACGAGGCCTGTGATCGCCTTAACCGCGTTTGCAGACCAGTTTGTGACGATGACACTTGTGCCATAAATGCCTTATGTTTAGCTAGACACCACCAACCTCAATGCCAATGTAAAGTCGGGCTAACTGGTAATCCTTATGAAGAATGTTTGCAACCAAACCAGCCATTACCTAAAAAGCCACTACCTGAATGCTCACAAGATGCCGATTGTTCTCCGCAGTTAGCTTGTATTAACCAACGTTGCTCTAATCCATGCACATTATCCCACGTGTGCCCACCACAGCAATCATGCGTCGTACTCGACACACTGCCCTTACGTACCATGATTTGCAAATGTCCACCGGATACCATAAGTGATACTACAGGGAATTGCGTACCCATTCGATATGACACCATCACTGGATGTCAAAGCAATACCGAATGCGCCAATTCAGAAGTTTGTCAGCAAGGTTCTTGCATAGATGCTTGTCGATTGGAACATTGTGGTCTAAATGCACAATGCCATTCAAAAGATCATTACGCGGAATGTTTATGTGCTAAAGGTTATCAAGGCAATCCTCGAATAGAATGTAGACCTGTTGAGTATGAGGAACCAAAAGTATCAACAGCCGAATGCATCGATGACGATGATTGTCTTAATGAGAAAATCTGCCTCAACAAACAATGTCTTAATCCATGTTTAGGTGACGTCTGCGGGAGCGGGGCCTATTGTTATGTAGAGCAAAGAGTAGCCAAATGTCGCTGTCCTCCGGGTTACAACGGCGATCCAAAGTTGAGCTGTACACCACGTAAGTGTTCAATGTTTTTATGAAAATAGGTTTTTATTGCCCAAGTTCTCTGTTGCAGCTCCAGATGTATCTGTACTAGAATGTAATTCTAATAGCGATTGCCAATCGACGGAGTCTTGCGTTAATGAACGATGCGTTAATCCTTGTAATTGTGGTTTCAATGCTGAATGCAAAGTTCACCGTCATCATCCAGCCTGTTATTGCAAGCGTGGTTTTTCAGGAAATCCCCAACACGAATGTATTCAGATTGGTTGTCAATCAGATAATGATTGTCCATTAGATAAGATATGTATCAACCGCGAATGTGTTGATCCCTGTCTAATTAACGATATTTGCGGCGCTAACGCGGAATGTTATGGTCGTAATCACGTTTCAGCTTGCCGTTGTCCTAATGGTCTAGAAGGAGGTCCGTTTGAACGTTGCATTCATATGCAGTGTACTTCAGACAATGACTGCTCTTTCAATGAAGCTTGCATTCGAAACGTGTGCATTGATCCCTGCAAAGACGTTGAAAATCCTTGTGCACACAATGCCTTATGCCAAGCTATGCAACATCGTGCTGTTTGTCGCTGTCCTGAAGAATTGCCTTTAGGAAATCCTTATAGCTTCTGTGAGCGTCTGCCAATCAGCCCGTTGTGCCGGAGTGACAGCGATTGCTCCAGTGGCTTAGCTTGCATTAACACTAAATGTGGAAATCCATGTACCGAACTCTTACCTTGTCATAGTTCTGCTCATTGCAATGTTCTGGACAGCGTACCCGTTCGGACTATGGTTTGTGAATGTGCGACTTCTTATGTACCGGACAACAGGGGTGAATGCAGGCAATTGCCATTGCTAAGTCCAATAGGTTGTACCACTAATTCTGACTGTACTGATCAGGAGGTATGTATTAATAGACAGTGCCGCGATCCATGTAACTGCGGCGAAAACACCATTTGCCAAGTGCAAAATCATCGAGCTACTTGTTCTTGTCAAGATGGCTTCGGTGGCAATCCTTATACGTCGTGTCACTCAATTGGATGTCGTTATGATATTCAATGCGGTTCCGAAAGAGCGTGCGTTAATAGCATATGCATAAATCCTTGCTTAATCCATGATATCTGTGGTACTAACGCTGAATGTTACGTTCAATCGAACCGAGCCATGTGTCGTTGCAAGAGCGGTTTCCGTGGTGATCCTTACCAATTATGTAAGGTCATTGGCTGCCAAACTAACAGTGATTGTTCGTCAGATAAAATCTGTCAACAAGAACGATGCATTAATCCGTGCATATATGAAAATATTTGTTCACCGAGAGCAGAATGCAAGCCTCAAAACCATATGGCTGTTTGCCGCTGTTTACCGACGTTCGTAGGAAATCCTTACATAGATTGCAGACCAGAACCTGAGCCCACCTGTAAAGCAGACACCGATTGTCCAGCCCGTTTAGCATGCATAAATGACGAATGTGTTGATCCTTGTTTGACTTTGGAGCCATGCAACAGACCAGCTGAATGCGAAGTTACGCCGACTGCGCCAGTCCGGACTATGATTTGTATATGCCCTGATGGGTATGTCAGCAGCGGCAGTGGCACATGCAAACCCACAAAGACTGTCAGCGAAGTGGGTGGGTGTATAGCAGACACAGATTGTTCAACTGACAGATCATGCGTTAACGGCGTGTGCCGCAATCCCTGCAATTGCGGACTAAACTCTGAATGTCGTATCAAAGATCATAAACCAGTCTGCACTTGTCGGCAAGGTTTTGAAGGAAATCCAGAATTTGAATGCTCCAAAGTGGAATGTTCTATAAATTCAGATTGCCCAAGTACCCATGCTTGTCGTAATCAACAATGCATTCCAGCTTGTCAAAGACAACAATGCGGAATCAATGCCAAATGTTTACCAGTTGATCATAAAGCTATCTGCGAGTGCATATCTGGTTTCCGAGGTAATGCACGCATATCATGTTCCCAAGTGGGATGTCGAACAGATATCGATTGTCCTTCAGATAGAGCGTGTATCAACGAAAAATGCGAAAATCCCTGTGAAACTACAGCTTCCTGTGCTATAGACGAAATATGCAAAGTTTATCAACATCGTCCGCAGTGCGCATGCCCACCAAACACATCAGCAACACGAAATGGTTGTGAGCCGCTAAGAGACTTCCCATTATGCCATTACGACGGTGATTGTCCCACTCAAATGGCTTGTATAAGAAGTGAATGCATTGATCCTTGCAACGCTACAAAACCATGTGGGGTTAATGCTAAATGTCGAGTGCTTGATACACTGCCGGTTCGTACTATGATTTGCGAGTGTTTAGAGGGTTACACCGGCAATGCTGCAGTTCAATGTGACAAGAGATCGTTGTGCTTCATTGAAAAAGGCTTTGTGAGAGACACAGATGGTCAATGTGTGTGCCCTCCAGGAACGGCTTTAGACATTTATGAATATTGTACACCCTGTTTGGTGGAACAAGGCTTTAAAATAGATGAAACAGGTCATTGCATTTGTGCATTGGAAAGAGGTTTCGTTATAGATGAACGCGGTCGCTGCATATGTCCAACTGATTACGGATACACATTAACAAACAATGGCGATTGCATACCGCAAGACAAGCCCGAATGCCAGACCAACGATGATTGCGCCGATAACCGTTATTGCAACTTAGACACACGAACGTGCAAAGATCCTTGCTTATCGAAAACGTGTGGTGTGAACGCTTTTTGTAATGCGATTAATCATCGAGCCCAGTGCCAATGCATAGCTGGATATACTGGCAACGCAGACACAATTTGCAATCATACAAACTTTCGAACAGATTTCCCTAGGCCCGATATGGTGGTTAGTTGTTTGGCTGATGGTGTACAGGTTGAAATACACATAACTGAACCAGGATTCAACGGTGTTTTATACGTGAAAGGCCACAGCAAAGATGAAGAATGCAGGCGTGTTGTTAATCTGGCTGGAGAAACCGTACCACGTACAGAAATTTTCCGTGTTCACTTTGGTAGCTGCGGTATGCAAGCGGTTAAGGACGTAGCCAGCTTTGTTTTAGTCATACAGAAACATCCAAAGTTAGTGACTTACAAAGCGCAGGCGTATAATATTAAATGCGTGTATCAAACGGGCGAAAAGAATGTAACACTTGGATTTAATGTGTCAATGTTGACAACGGCAGGGACTATAGCGAACACGGGACCGCCACCCATTTGTCAAATGCGTATAATTACACATGATGGCGAAGAAATTAACTCCGCTGAGATAGGCGATAATCTCAAATTGCAAGTTGATGTGGAACCAGCGAGTGAGTTGCTTGCGATTTTAAATTATACGAAAAAAATCGTAAATTGTACATATTAATGATATAAAAATGTCTTCCTTTCTTTAAATAGCTATATATGGAGGATTTGCTCGTTCCTGCATAGCCAAAACAATGGAGGATAACATAGAAAACGAATATATAGTAACAGACGAAAACGGCTGCGCGACAGACCCGTCAATATTTGGCGAATGGGAATACAATCCGGATACGAACAGCTTACTAGCAAATTTCAATGCTTTTAAATTCCCCTCGAGCGATAACATACGCTTTCAATGCAATATACGTGTTTGCTTTGGCAAATGTCAACCGGTCAATTGCAGAGATTACAACGCTTTCGGTAGACGAAGGCGACGTGCCATTGCTGACAATTCAACGGATGATGCCACAGCCATTGCGACTAATACTGGTATTGAGGGGCAATTGCGTGAAGAAATCACTATATCATCGAATGCAATTTTAACATTTGAAAAAAGAACAACCACGAGTACGAACGACTCAAACAGTAAGTAAACATCTTCAAAAGCATTATTTTTATACGAATTGCTGTAAGGTTGTGGGTATAGGAGGCATATTCACTTCGTCAAAAAGAATTTTCGGAGAACTTATAAATTAAAAAGAGCTCGCAAAAAATGGCTTTATGTTCATTGCGCATAAACTACAGCGTATAAAAAAAACGATAAAATATTCACATATCTTCTATAGGTGATTCTAGAGTACGTGTACAAAAGCGAAAATGATCAGCAGTTCCTGCACATTATTCACCTTGTTTTTGACATTAAAGTGGTGGAAATATAATTTTCTTTCTTTATTTATTATTATTTTTATTAATAGTAATGTTACTATTTAAAAAAAATTATTCCTTTCAGTTAAACCGTCCGCTCAGCGGGTAGAAGATATTTGCGTCTCTATGGTGGGTTTGATTATAGCTTTAGTCATAACTGCTCTGTTGGCTTTAGTAGCCGTAGCAGTCGCTGTCTCTTGCTGGTTAATGGCGTACAGACGACGTCCTAAAACTTTAGCGCCATTACCGCATCCACCGGAATTCCCAAATCCACTATTTACCAATCCAGAAGCTGTGCCAGAACCAACACCCGATTACTTATCGTAAGAGTTAAGAACAATAAATACAATGAAAGTGAAACTAATCTAAATTAATAAAAAAGCTAGAATTTTTAAAATTAGTCCGAAATGAACAAAACAAAATTGCATAGAAAGGAAAACATAGTGCAAACAAAATGAAGAACAAAAGTATTTAGAGACAAAATTTTTGCAATTAAAAATGAAAAATATTTAATGCAAAATTTAAACTTAAGTAAATATTTCTCCTTCCGACTTACTATAGTAGGGATTAAATTGAAAACAAATGGAAAGCATACCACTATTATTATCATTATAATTATTATTATTATTATGTTAACACTTTTTGTTTTATTAGCAACTAACATGAGAACTTCAAATAGTTTTTAACAGGCGCTCGTGCATGTACAGTAATTTTATATATTATATAAACAAACAAACGTAGATTAATAGTTTTTGTAATTAAAACTGCCAAAGTTATAACAAGCGAAACCCTTACTGTAAACATTATAAATAGAGAAGGAATGAAAGGATATAATCGAATAGAGCACAACAGAATGCGTCTGGTACAGATAATTGAAGAACGGTATAAAAAGCTATTTCGAAATTCTCGTGCACTAACGACAACTTCTTCATTAGTCAGTCATTTAGAAAAAAGGTTAACACATTTTTTTTTTTAATATATTGCATACATCAACACAAACGAAAACTTACACGCATACGTACATAAAAAAGCGTTTGACCGTAAACCGAAAACTGCCTTTCAATGAATGCAAATCATTTAAGCGAAATACTCAGAACATAATAACTTAAGTTTGCGAAATTTTTTGATTAAAAGAGCTTTTTTTTAAAACAAAATCCACTTTCGAAAATGCCATCTTCCCTCAACGACAATTTACACGTCAACACATACGCATACACGAGACAACAAAAGTTCTTCAGCCAACCCTAATAACTATCTTAGAAGACTTTTGTTTATGTTATTTATGTTATTAGTTTATTATCGAAAAAAACATTTGCAATATTAGTACGGGACTAATGGAGGATTTGATAACGTATATATTTATTTAAATTTCTTCATTTTCTTTTTTTTTTAACTAACATTTAAGTTCTTTTTCTCATTTCTCTCTTAAATGTTAACAATAATCTTAATATGTGATTTTTTTTCTAATGCTTAGTTAACGAAATAATTGGCTTCCATTAGGTAGAAAGAAACCAATAGAAAGGGTACGAGTGAAAGTTTCTTTAACAAAATGCCTTTAAAATGTAAATGTTTTATTTATAACACATACTTTGACAAAATTTTTAAAAAATGCAGCAAAATATTTTAGTTCCAAACCTTTGGCTTCAAATTTACTAGAAAAAATTATATATATAATGAAATTAAACACAAAAACAAAAAACTATTTAGATACGCAATGTATAGTCACTACTTTAAGTCAATTTTTTTTTATTATTTAATGACATTAAAAAAAATAATTAGTTGTCTAAACCGAACGACTAGAACGTTTTCCTTTTTTTTTTTATTTATTTTATCACTTTTTTATTTTACTATTATATAATTATTATTTAAACTAAAAACACTATCCTGCCTCATTTTTATTGTAAATAATATACAACTTAAAGCGTTAAAATAAAGCAAAACGTTCTAAAGTAATAAATAAATAAAAACTAGTACTATTTATAAATTGTGTAAAAAAAATTTTTTTTTTGTATATTAAATATATTTCCTATTATTTAAAAAATAATTAAAAGATTCTTTACTTATAATGCCAGATTACATCTCAAAAAAAAATGTTTTTTCTTGAATAAATAGTCACAAATTTCCTTTATTTTTATGAACTTCGAAGCGCTTTAATAAAACTACTTTGATATTAACTTTTTTATAATTTGCTAATGTTATTTTCCCTTGCTCTTGTTTGGACTGGCATTCCTTTTTTTTTTTTATTTTTGTAAATTTTTCTCGTAGTTAAATTTAAAAAAAAAATGATGAATAGAGAAACAATTGTATAAAATTTGTATTCTTTAAAAAATGATACACTTATATATAATATATACACTAATATTAAAATGAAATAATAATTCAAAATATAAAAATGTTTAAATACATAAAATTCTTTTTCATTTTATTTGTTATATCCGGCACCATTTGTGGAACAAGGGTATATACGGCTGTTTGCAACGCCCAGAAGCACTTGAGCTGGACCCAACTTTTAGTATACCGATCGATTCAGAACTACTTTCTGATTTGATCTAAGCTTGTCTTTCAGTTCTATTTTGTTGTCTTCAACCCACAAAGTAACCAAACATTCGGAAGTGGTGGTGATAGCAGGACTATTTTTAAAATAAAAGTTTTTTTTGTATGAACGTGTGGGCGTTGTAGGCGTATACTTTGAAAAGTTTAGATCGCTTCCAAATTCTCTTGCAAATTTGTAGGCGACATCTTCCTTTTCGCAAAGAGGAAAATATTTATCATAGATACTGCAGAAAGCTGACAAATGAACGAAGGAACAGATGGACAGGCTTAGTTGCATTTGAAATTTGAAACTGGCCAACAATTTGTGTACTTTTTGTGATTTTTAAAGCTTGATACATTGTATTATTCCATTTTGCGCAGAAACCACAGCCCATAGCAGATGCGTTCAAATTTTTGTGCATTTAAATGCTATAGTTTGAGTAATGAGAATAAAAAACTAATTTTTTGCTTTCATTTTACGTGCCCTTCGACCAATTCGGTCTATTTTCAATGCCATACCGCGTGCGAGAACTTCCAATGTTCTGCCAAGTGTGAAGCCGATAGTGTTATTCACTGAAAGATGATGCGAATGCGGAAAAGCGGAATGACGAAATTAATATGCCGGCGTTCATCCTAGTGTACGTAGTTTTGATAAATTCAAAACGAAGAAGAAATCAACAAAACCGATAAATATGTTACAGATAAAGGTAAAAGTGCTTGTAAACACTTACCAAAGCCGGCAATCTTATCAGTCTAGATTTAAAAAAAATTTTTTGTATTAAATATATTCTTCAAATCGATCATGTTTATTTTCGACAAGAGAGTAGACAATATTCAATTGTAAATTAGAACTAAAACAAGCTCTTAATTTCGATAATATAAATTTACCATAGCTCTGAGTAACAATAAAAGAGTAGAGAAAAAGCGAGAAAAAGGAAAAAGAGCACACATAATAGAGAATAGAGAAAAAATTTTCACTTAAAACTATTCTCTGCTTGTTTATTTACTCTTACACGCGTACACGTATTTCTAAACTTTCTTTGTATCAGCGCATAGGACACAAAGACAGATTATAGAAAACACCTACGTAAAGAAACTAAACTTAGTCTTTCGCGAACAAGAAAACGAAAACAAAAACAGAAAAAATTAAATGAAACCGAGTCACTAATTTGCGGTTAACTAGAAGCGCATACAAATGTATTTATCGTTTACGTAGACATAGATTCGTCACTATGTATCAATCTAGCTATCAAGTGTAAAGATCGTTCACTCTTAAATGCGTGTAAATGCGATAGAATGCATGCAATAAATAGCAATAAGGGTATCTTTTAGTTGTACAATAATAAAAATGAAACAAAATTGTAAACGATATTCTCACATTTTTCTAGATCAGTTGACATTTGACAGCCCGTGTGTGTACGAGACAAACATTTCGAGCGCAGTAAATTAGATAAATAACGAATAAAAAATATTAAAGTTTTAAGTGCGCTTTGTTTGTTTTGTTTTTTTTTTTTTTTTTTGTTCACTTGAATTTAAAAATTTGTGCGTTTATTATTCAAATAAAAGAATAAATAAATAACAGAGGAAAATCTTTAAATTTTTATTTACTTCGAAAAAACTGTATGGATAAAATTTATATAGTTTCACATGCTATCAATTAGTAAATACATATATATATCTAAATAGAATATAAAGCGAAAAATTAATTAATTGAAAAGTATTTTCAATATATATACATGATATGCGTGTCTAATTTCTCCGCTAAATAGTTGCCGCATAAAAAGTTTGTATAAAGCCAAATGCGGAGGAATTTATGTTCAATTTGCTGCTGAATGCATTTACGGATATTTATCTAAAGAATTATTCTAGATATAATAATAATTAAATGCTTTTCAATTAAACCCCGAATATATAATGTAATAAAAATTTCATAAATGATTTAAATGCATACGAATAAATTTAAATTTGTTTCACCAAACTTAGAAAAGGCAATTAAAGTGTAGTGAATCTTGGGTATCCACCATTTCATGCAAATATATATGTAAATCGATTGTTATTAATTGTTATTAATGGGTTACTGGTCAGAAACATTCAATTGGGCTGAACCTTCACCAGGCCCGCCTAAACATTAATATCAAATTATAGATCCATACGTTACCATTTACGCTGTTGCACAGTTACATGGCTTGTTTGTGGGCATCCGCGCCCTTCAACTAAAACCGTTTGTTTCGTATTTCAGTTTCTACCATAATAATATGCAAACGCAATTATCACGTTCGCTTTGTGATGAGCCCTCCAACCAACACACAAAAATTGTGAAATGGTTTACTATATGTGTGAGCGTGTGAGTTGAATCTTTTCCATAGTAATTACTCTAATTTTGATCTCGATGAAACTGTTATAGGCTAGATTTTCATTCATTGCTGGCACGTTTTTGGACTGACTGCGCTTATTTTTCTTCTCTACACCACTTGTGGTACGCGGATGCATTAAGTTTACACAGACATATGTAACACCCAGAGGAACATGGGATACATCTATCTTTTATTATACCGATCGCCTAAGTCAATCTAAGAATCTTTGTCTCTATCTCTCTCCCTACGCGTATCAGGGTGCCCATGTGTGCTTATGTTCCACCTACAGGTCGCAATATTTAAAATATTTTGATGATATTTTGTACGTTGATGTATTTAAAGACAAGGACGAACGCTATTGAAAATGGTTCGAGTTGAACTGCATTTTCGACCATCGTCTTGTTTTGAAAAATCGTTATATGAAAAAATGGCAATTTTCAAAGCTCCAATATGAAAAGCTTTCATGATGCCTTCATATGTATACTTTTCGGTGTATTAAGCGAAGTGGTGCAGAGTATTTAAAGACCAGCCTCGACCGACTGCAATGTGTTTACTTTTTATTCCATAAATTTAGAGGGTTTTTCTGGTTATAGTAGTGTGTGTCAAGTTGATACTTGTAAACAAATTGTAATCAAATTTTTTGTACTCTGTTAATTTTGACTGAGTTTGTAAGCGAGTCACACCTCTTTCTGGTTATATAATTACCGGTTTCACTATCTAAGACTTAATCACAACTCGTCAAGTTTCCAAGACAGCAGTTGGCCAGATAGACGGATCAACGGAAAGAAGGAGAGGCGAACGGACGCATAGACGGACCTGTACTTCATACATCTGTTTTATATGATTTCTAATCAATATTTCTGGATTTTTCAAGCCCACGGTCATGGGTGTACACCTAAACAATACGGTCATTTTTCTTTATATATTTTATTTCAAAGCATTCTTTTCCACCTTACGAATCAAGCATGACGATCAAAGTTAGTATTTCCCAGTTGCTTGGTGCGAAGTATAAAACAATCTTTCTTATTATCATCAAGTTGTAGAAATTAAGTCTTTTCAAAAAACAACTAATCCCCACCTAAAATAAAGATATATATATTTATTTTGTTGCGTAATTCAGATAAATATTTCGGTCAAATTTCGGCTATATGCTTTTTTTAGTTCACGAATTATTAAATAAAATAGTTTAGATGTTTTTTCGCTTGGAATTTCATTATAAACGTAAAAAGGAAATTATAACTGAATCTTAGTAATTCGAAAACCACCCAATGAAAATTACGTCTCGAGAAGAACTCGTTTAAAGTTTCCAAACGTGTCATCGGCATGTTTTTTTTTTTACAAATATTTTTATTATTTTTTCCATCAGTCTGCACTTCGTAAAAATCCTATTTGAAGTCGAAATCTTTTTCCCTATTCGCTTTTCTCCCTTCACTGCATTTGACAAATACAAAATCACACGTCTCCATTCGCGTTTCCATGGACGTTTCGAAATGGCAGAAACCGCGGCAAAAAAATGAATAATTCAATAGATGAGTTTGTATTCAGCACCAAATTTGTAATTTCGCGACGAAAACAAGAAAAGCTTTCAAATGTTTGAAACAAAGTGCCATCTACATGAAACTACAGCAGCACATTTCTGTTAGAAAATTCTTCTAAGTGAATTTCATTACTTTCCAAAGGCATCTGTAAAAGAGATGAGAAATAATCGGGTGGAATGCTAGGCTATAAGTTAACAACAAGGATTCAGTTGACAAAGTAATATTCCTCCCATCCTCCTTTCCTTGCGGTATGAAGTTTTTCCTCTATATTAGTATAGAAACTTCAAAGCAAGTATTCGACACTATAAAAAATTTCTGAAAAATTTTGCATTTACTTTACTCCCTTGAAATTAAATTTCTTGTTTTGGTTAAGATTTCGTAGAGATGTCAAAAATACTCCTCATTTACCCTCATTAGAAATCATTTGCAGATACCATCACAATCGAACGTTTTGACCTTCAAACTAAGGAACGAAAATCCAATTGTTGACTCTGACTCGATTGATTTCTCGATTGGCGCAAATGTCATCTTTAGCAACAAATAGAAATCTGAAGGCATAAAATTTTACTAATAAAGCGAAAGAAATTTACTAACACTGGCATGATTCTAATTTATGCAATAGTCAAGTACTTTCTTTTTCCTTTGTTTTCATTACCGGATTAATTTTGAACTAATTCTAGTTAATTGACGAAACAATCTTATACCAGTGAAGTGAAGATTACTGGTAACTGTGATACCCAGTCTTAGACAATCTTAAAACAGTAACTATTGTTGCAGTTAATCTTCAAAACTCTAATATCATTTCTCATGTCATTCGATCTGTCTGGTACATTGTTATATACTTCATTATTAGCTATTACATAATAAGTTCAAAACATATTAAAATTGGTACAAGGTTTGCACACTTGTTTTAATTGTGATACAGATATTTTGAACTTTGTAGAAAACATGGTAGAAAAAGTTAATTGTCTAAACGAAATTTTTATCTCCGCCATCGCTTGTGCTGCAGGAGAGACTAACTTTGTGAGGATGAATGGAGATAGACACAACTTTTATTATTCAGAATCGCTTTCTGAATCTTGCTAAATCTTGAAGACCGCCTGTTCGTCTATCCATCTTCTTTCACGTATTCAACCTCCAGATCACAATTTTTCAGATACTTTAATGAAATTTGGTATACGTGACGTATTTACGCAAAGAGGACGGACGCTATTAAAAATGGTACGGACCGTACCTATTTTTCGATCACTTGCCATATAACACTTTGTTTTGAAAAGTCGCTGCATGAATAATTTTGCGAAAACAAAATTGGTGGATGATATTAAATGGCGGGCCGTGGCCGACTATAATGTCTTTATTTGCTTAAAATTAATTTTCAATTAACATGTGCGATGTCATTTCTGAATGTCTCCTTCATATGCTCAATTTGCAGCGCCGGCTGGCTAGATAGGCACTGCCAACGTTCAAAAGAGACTCATGTCCTATCAACAGTTAACCGCTTGTCTAATAAATCATTCCTTTCGGTGCCGAACTCATTAAAGAAAGACTTGATCATTATTAACTGTCTTCTTTTTCTATTCTTCATTAGACGACAAACTTAGGAACATAAACATCGTGAATTATGAATTGCTTGCCGTAATAATAAATGTGTAATGATAGGTGTGTCAAGTATACTCATATGAAGTTCTAATTATCTTACCTTACCGCACAGTGCTAGTACAGGGTCTAACTACTAACCCACATGTGAGCCTAATACGTACACGTAGTAGTCACTAAGTGTCAATACAATATTTTCATTATACATTATGCTTTTATAACTAGTATATAGCGATGAAAAATGTGCATTTGAAAATGCATCTGTATACGCCATAGATAAAAACAACAAATATTTTTTTTTTTTTTCAAAATTTAGAATAGAAACATAATGTAACACAATTATACAATATACAACACTTGTAAGTTACAAAACTAATGTCAAGGTTTATTCAAAAAAAATAAAACTCCGCATGGCCCACATTTATTTTTCATATTCATTACCGAAGAATGAGGATTCATATTGTCAGCGTGTTTGCAACGCCGAGGCGGAAGCCTCAGAGGCACCGAAAAGTACATGCATTCTTGATCAAATTCCAAGTCGATTTAAGCCCGTCCGTCTGTTCGTCTAGCCATCTATCCATCTGGACAATATCTGTTGTAAACATTCTTCTGGCAGAAGCGTTGGAAGTTGTGGCCAAATTGGTCGAATGGCACGCCCAAAGTAATACGTAAAAAATTGGTTTTTTTCTCATTACTCACAAGCTAAATTAGACAAATCTATAAAAAATTTGAACTGTTTTCCATAGGCGCTGCTGTAGTTAGTATCTCTACACGCTTGCTCGATTTTAAAGTATGTCATAGTTTAATTTATTTTAAAAACCCTTACACAACGCAAGCTTCGAAAATCCCACAACGTATATAAATTCTTGATCAATTTTAAATTAGAAATGCATCTGAGAATGTCCGCCCGTTCAACTGTCTGCCTGTCCGTCTGCGCAACTATGTAAGATACTATACAGATATGTGGCGAAAATTTTCCGTTCGCAAAAATGAGGATATCGCCTACAAATATGCAAAACAATTTGGAAATGTCGCAAACTTTTCAAAGGGCACGCCTACGATGTCCGCATGCCTATGCAGCAAAAACTGTAAACACTTTTGTGTTTTCCGTTTTCCGTGTTTTTTGCTTATTACTCAAAAAGCACAACACATATACCATATAAATTTTCATTCTTATCCTGAAAATTGAAAAAATCGACCGCGCCCACCCAATATTGTAGGATATAAAAATTTCATTCCTTCCCTTTTTTTTAGGGTACTTGTTCCATTTCACTTTTGAAATCTCTTGAAGAATAAACGGATAGAAAGAAAATGAAAACAAATTTCTGCCTCATCCAATATGCAATTTATTTCCACGTCTCTTCGCACTTAATCACAGTAAAAGACATTTTTAATTTTAACCTAAAGGCGCACTCTTTAAACCGGGCACAGTCTACTACTATGCCCACAGCATCAGACTGATAACATCGAAACATTTCGAAAGCTTCCTTTTCATTGTTTTAATTAGAGCAAAAGTTATTAATCTTGAAAAGCAAAAACTAAATAAGTATTTGCATAAATGTTTGTCTTATCATATGTAAAATTTAATTGAATTAAAAAAAAACAACATTAATATAAAACTTCGTGTCACACTAATTTATGAGTAATTAAAGAGAATTTTCAAAAAAATGAAACCAGTATCAAGGTCAAAGGTCAATAAAACACTAACCAACAACAGCCATGACAACAAAAACAACAACAAGAGCAACAATTGATGAACAAAATACTAACGTAATAGACAGAAGAAATATTTCTTCAATGAATGTTAAAAGCAAAATATGAAAACAATACATGTGTGAAAATTTTAAATATAACAAGTAAAGATATAACACTGGGCCACGACGTACCGTTAAATATCCTACACCACTTCCCTTAGCACTTTTACTCCCACAACGACTTTTCAAAATAAGAAAAAAGTTGTCCAATCCCAATTATTTACAAAGCGTCGGTGCTCGGGTCAAAGCACGCCGATGTGACAGACATACATAAGGATAGGCAAGCTCGATATTATGAAAGGTGTTTCTAGATGAACTCCTTCTGGGCTGAACTCCTATATCCGTACAAACTGAATATACTCTTGTACTACAAGTCGTTTAGAGTATAAAAACTAATAATCAATTTCTCTTTTACTAATTATTCGTTAATCTATAGATGAATTAAAATACAAAAAGAATTTTTCGAAAATAGATTAAATAAAATATCAATAAGAAAGACTATAATACGGAATTCTCGCCGAAATGGAAGCAACCACACCAGCATCAGCCGTAGAAGCTATAACAGGAACAACGCCAACAACAACAAAATCGAAAGAAGATGATATAAAAAATAATTTTAAAGACAACGAACATAACGTAGTAAGACTTTCCAAAACTGTATCTACACCAACTGCTTTAAATTTAGGATTTCTTAACAAATCACCTCCTACTCCTACGCCCAATTTGGGGTCAGTCGGCAAGCAAGGCTCAGTTAATTTTCGTCATAGTTTGCTATACGATAGTGGAGCTGAGAGTTGCGATAACGATGATCAAACGCGCTTAATACGTACACCCTCTGTGCGGTCTCATAAATTCATTATAATACCGGCATCAACTCCATTGGGAACACCGCAACAATTATCGCCTACAAAATCCACGCCGTCATTAACAGGTTTACAAAAACTGCCTCTGACACGACATAGTACAGTCACTGATCAACGACCTATGCAAGCTAGCAATCCTAATCTGACAGATATTACTCACAGAGCAGCAATCAACATCGCAAGTTCAACACAAGCATCACTAGCACAATCGACGTCATCTCCGATCACAACAACTGCGCCGGGACTAATACAGCGTTATTCGCATAGCAAATATCAAACGCCGTTCATAACGCCAACACTGTCATTGTCTGGCGCGGATGTCATTCATCAAACTAATGGACACGAAGTCGGGGCGGTGACAACGGCAACATCAACGGTTTATAGCACAAAAGCGAATACAAGTGTTAAATTTACAATTGAGGATTGCGAATCAGATAGTGCCGCTGCCGACGATACGACAATAGCAACAACAACTACAATTACAACCGTTGTTGGTGCATCAAATTATACATCAATTCCCGCAATCAGTTCAATTTATTCCGCCAACTATTTCACACTAACGCCTGCATCAACGACAACACTTTCATCATCGTCGCCATCAGTGAGAACAACTGTGAGACCCGTCTCAGCTCTGTTAGCATCCAATTTAACGAACACATTAACTCCGGGAATTGATTCGCGTTCGCGTTACGACCGCAACAGCAGCATGCGTTCTGTAGTGTCAGGTGAGCGTGAAATTGTCGCCAGATTACATTCGCTGTTCTAATTCAATTAATCCAGCAGAGAAGAAAACACACAAACACATAACGTCACCTTAAAATGTACAAATTATAATACATGCAATAGATACACATGCGTACGTACTTACATTCGAGCGGGCAAATAAATAGATTAAAAATGTTTTAGTAAAATGAAAAATAAAAAAAAAAATTAACATTTACGAAAAGCACATCTCCCCTACTTATGCATACATATGTATATCGGTCCTTTATGTATTATATATTAAAAAAAAAACATTTTTTTCTCTTTATTTTAGCTTTTACACCAGATTCGAATGAGTTAACAGTTAACAGTTTGATACAGCCCTCATCATCCAGTTGTGGCGGTGGTAAAGACTTGAACACCAATTCCTACTTACTGCGTGACAATATCGTAAATCAAATTTTCTCCGATGTTACATCAGTACGATCGTTAGCTTCGATAGGCATTGGTTCAACCGATGGTCGGCGATTGGTAATACGTAGAGTACCACAAACACCGAATGAGTTGCTGAATTTCGCCACTCCTCCATCACCACAGTAAGTCACAACTGCAATTAGAGAAAAGGAAATGCTAACAATCGAGAAAAAGTTTTCTCCCTTAAAATATTACAATGAGGTTGATTTATTAGACAGATGTGTGAGAAACAATTAATATTCAGCGATTCAAAAAAAATTTTAAGTAAGTGTCGTAAGATCGGCATGAATAGCCCAGTAGATAAGACTCGCGACTACCCGGCCAATGTTTGTGGATTCATATCTCAATGCGGTAGCAACATATTTGGAGCATACTCGCAGCACCCTTGGAGCATACTTGTTCATAGTCGTAGTGAGTGCTCCGATAGTGAAGGCGTAAAAGTGAGGGATTAGGCACGCACCTACGAGGCTTGCGACCATCTCCCTATCTCTTTCTCATTTCTTTTTGAACATCAACGTGTTGTACGTATAGGTAACATCCCTCGAGTAATTGCTTATATAATATTAAAAAAAAAAAAATTTAAACGACAGCTAAAGGAAACTTTAAGCGACTTTAAAATTGACAACTAAGCACGATTTGGCAGACAGGCCCAAAATATAAGAAGATGGCTAAATCTTATGAGCCGTACTTTTTCAAACTCGCCACGAAGATATACGCTTTTTAAGATCGCTAAAATGCCCATTTACTGATTGTATTGCGAACGGTGATACAAAGTTAGTACATTTTTATCTTTCGATGACAGAGATTAAAACTCGGCCACTCTATCGCTATTTTAATAACTAATTAACATTGAAGTTAGCTTTAAACTATAAAGAGACGATTTTTCAGTTCTCAAAGCATAGAAATAGTTTCAGTATCTTTTTAACCAGCATTTGCAAAAATTCGAAAAACTCTTAAAAACCTTGCGGTCAAAATCTTTGAATTTTAAAAAATGATTGAACGAAATGCGTGAAAACATTTAGAAAGTGAAACCTCGCAAACAATCAATAAAAATAATATATATATATACATGAAAGGAAAAATTAGTAAAATTCAATTAAATAAAATCAAATTTAAAAATTAATAATACTATGTCGCATCGTCATCAAAATTCCGCTACATCCTCAAAGCACTTACAATCGACATATCTGCATTCACATTTTAATCGGATCGCCAAAATGTAAGTTTCCAAAGGTTTTTATTTATGATCACAAATTCAACTAAGCGGAGCTTTGATTGGAAATTTTTTACATTTCAAATCGAATGATGAACGCTCACGGTTTCAAATACTTCCTTCAAGAAGTCAGTTTTTATGATTATTTTATTTTAACCGATTATACATTACACCACCTACGGTACAAGGAAACAAGGATTTATTAAGTTTGTACGCAAGTACGCAAAACCAAGAAGAATTTGGGATTTAGCCAACTTTTATTACATCCGCCTATCGGTTCGTCCGCCTGATTTTCTTGTGTTCAGCCTACAGATCGTAATTTTCGGGATAGTTTAATGAAAATTGGTGCAACGATGTACTTTGGGACAATGATGAACTTTGTTAAAAATGGTTCGGATCGGACTAATTTTTCGAACACTTCCCCTATAGCGGCTTATTTTGAAAGGTCGTTAGATGAATAACTGTAGCCTTTTTGTTCGTTTTTTATATGAATTGTCTAAAATAAACATTACCGTCCATTTTGGGGCGAATCTTGATATACACATATACACTAGCAAAACTTTGTGTGAAGTGATACGCTTCATCTACTTATTTTGCCCGCGGATTTTTTCACGGACTTAATGATTATATATTGGTATCAAAGTTTACATTCAGATACAAGTTCTGAAATATCGAAAGTAATATTTTAAAACCTATTCTAAGACGTTTACAAACAAATAAAAAGCTTTTTACTTTGTAGCGCTTATGACTTTTTTAAAACCACTAAAGCAAGACTAAAGGATGTGCTGCGCATCTCCAGGCTTAGAAAAGGGATTCATCAAATTAGGTGGTCGAATTTAAAGCAAGTTATTTCACAGAAAAAAGAAAATTATTGTGATAAGATCACAATTACGTTACTGCACTTACTACAGTTTTCGGGAAATAAGTTGAACTGACTTTCAAGAGTAAGAAAAACTGAGTGTATTTCTGATCATTTTAATGGAAATAATATTAAAGAAAATTACAAAAATACCATACAATGTAAATAAAACCACTTATTTACTATTATTTATAGCTTCTTAATAGCTGTTAATTCTCTGTTTACCGTACTCCGTTCTGCTATTGATTTTTTCAATTTTCATAAATTTTAAAATCTAGTGTTAAAGGGATATAAAAGTGTGAGCAAATATTTATTTAACTTTTAATACATTAGCACGATATAAAATATTATGCAATGTAAAACAATTTTGCATATATTTATGGTTAAAAACAAAATAAAAAAAAAACAAATTTACTCTAATGGTATATTTGCAATGTAGCGACGTTATTGAATATCCATCAATTCAAGAAAATATTCAGATTCATAGCAGAGTGAGCTTGTAAATGCTTGCATACGATTACAATAAATGAAAGAAATGCACACACACACGCCCCTATATATGTACATGTATATATAATTATTTATACACGATATTAAGATTTTCCCATCCAACAAGTGAAAAGTCTGTAGAAGTCCGCGGCCCACCATGCACTACCTTGCACTAACCTACAAATTATCGTATAAGGACTTTTCAAAATAAACCAATATACGCCCGATCCAAACCATTTCCCGTAGTATTTGCTCTTGAGCCACAATACATCGGTGTAGCAAATTTCATCAATATATCTGAAAACTTTCGGGCCGACGGACCGACAAGCTTAAATCGATTTAGAAAGTTATTCTAAATCAAACATGATATATCCTCACACCATCAATGGTGTAATGTTTAAAAAGTAGCAGCACTGGAAAATCTGTAACTTGTAAATTAAGGCTTAAAAAGTCATCAAATTTTGGGCACATTTCGTCTAGAGGTTAGTACTATCAGAAAATCATATGCATTCGTCACTATCGTGTTATGGGCTTATTGACTGATGTATCATCTTCTGCTTTCACCAGTTAACAGCATTGAACGTGTATTTAACTCAAGCCATCTGATTCTGATTTTACTTTAGTCGACGCATATACATGTCGTGTGACGTAAAAGTTATCATTCATTATAAGTACAAAATATTTTAATAAGATCTTTATAATGTCAGTATACCTGCCCTAAATTATAAAACATTACCAGCACGCGTCTTCGGAACCATCAATGACAAGTTCATTTTGAAAATGTTTGTCGTCTGCTCAAAAAATTGCCACTAACCCACAAGGAGTTCCGTGACAGTCGATCTTTGAGTTTAATTAAATTTCTTCAATTTTTTTTTTCATGTTTCCTGTTTAAGAATTTTATTATTTTTAGAGAGTTTTCAATAATAATAGTAACTTATCTCAACAACAAATTATTCACTTTTTATTTTTCCGGAAGATTTAGTATGCGATCGTGTGTGATGTGTGCACACGTCATTCCACTACACAGGTGCGGGACATTTGATAATAAATTACGCAGTTAACTGGTTAAAAATTTTAATTTAATCCAGATGTGTATTTTATTTGCAACATCGACGATTGAGAGTTTGCTACTTATAGCATCCCGCTTACAGTACCCGAAAGGAAACAACAAAAATGTCATTGAGTAAATGCAAATCGATTTCCATTCGCTCAAACTATATCTGTCTGTCCGTTTGACTTACACCTACTCATCAGGTACTGAAAAAAACCGAAAAATGTGTACATAAAAGCTTTCGCATTTCCATCGCTAAACCTTCAAAATAGATAGGATTCACGTTCACATGGCTTCTTTCCTTTAAAATTTTCGGAGATTTAAAGAATAACCAAAAACTTACAGAGGAAGTAAACATTAAAATTACGACAAATAAAGTAGTATAGTAGTATATATCTTCCATATATATACGGGATATTTCAGGGAGGCTTATCCAAAAGGGTCTCGTACTCATTTACACTCATCACGTCACGTTTGCAACTATAGAGATTTTTCTTTGTTTATTATAAATATACATATCTTTTTTTTTTTGTAATTAAATTAATTATATAATTGAAAACATTGCATGCGCATTGTAATGTAATAAATAGTGAACAAAAAGTATTATTTACATTAAAAGTCAGAATAAAAAATAAGTAAAGAAAACAATGCATCTAGTAAGCCGAATCTTAAATACTCACCATTTCCAGTTGGTATAACAATATATTATGAATAATAAACGCGTTAAAAGGCGCCGTTCAGCACAAGATTTAGTTTGAAGTTTTCATTGCTTCTAAAATTCAAAACAGGTCATCAATCAGTCAATCAATGTTTACTGCAAATAATTAATTATTAATCGTTACGTATAAATAGAGATTAGAGAAAACATTAAAAAAAAAAAGCGTGAGAAAGAGAAAGAGAGGGGAAGAGTTTGCTATACGAATAAATCGGTCAAGAATTTCAGGATGATCCTTTGCGACGAGAGTCTCTTAATGTATTACAAATGAAGTAACAAAATTAATATAAAAAAAAAAAAAAAAAACACAAATACAGACCATCGAGATTACCGCATTCAAGTAACGAGAGGCAACAGCACCCCTTTAAAAATATTTATTAAATAAATAAATGTTGACAACAATTCAATGAGCTTTACTGAGGAAAAATATATGATTTGTTTGTTATACGTAATAGAAGGAAAACAAAATAATTTTCCTGTCTTTTTGTTTTTTATACATACATATATTTGTGAACTAGAGCGAAAAGAAAACAGGTTGCACCCGTTTTGTTGGTAACGTTTTTTATATCACTTGCTGTAGGCTGATATTAGATTTTGGCGGATGTATGCTTCACCCGGAAGAACTAGAGATACGCTTACTTACTATTATTATAGCAATAAAATCAAAATCATTTTCTAAATCAATTTAAGCATGGATGTCCGTCTGTCCGCTTGCTGTGTATCCATGTATTTTCGTGCTCAACTTAAAGGCTGCAATTTTGAAAATATTTTCATAGGTTTCGGCCAAACGATAAACGAAACGATTTGGATCGGACCATGTGCACTCAGAAGGGTCTATTGTGGAAAAATCATTATGCGAAAAAATTTCGCAATTCTAATATTGCTTGAACAAAGATAGTAAAATGGGGAATATTTTAATGGGATGGGAAGATAGTTCCAACCTTCTCCCATATAAATAAGCTCAGAAAAAGATAAGATGTTGTGCAGCAACAAAGATTGGTTTTTAATATTTTACGACGAAAATTGATCGGAAACAGTGATTTGAGTGTAGAGGACAAACGGACCGACAGTCTGCGATCATGTACATACACATGTTTTTTTGTCAAGTTACCGATAGGCATCTCTGGTTGCAAACGGGACGTCAAAATCAATATATATGCCGATGCTTTAGCAATGTCTGTATGGGTGTGTATGCGTGCACGTCAAATAAAATTTAAATATTTGTAGCTTCCGAGACCAGAATTTATGAATGAAATTTTAAAGTTATATTTATTGCTTCTACGTGAATGTTATATAATAGTAATTAAATTATTTGAATTGTATTGAATTTTAGATTACCCGGAGTTGATGATGATGACGATGATAGTTTCATGGATACATCTGATGAGACGGCGAATTTGAAACCACGTAAACAAAAATGGGGCAGTAAAATGCAATTTGTGTTGGCATGCATCGGTTATTCGGTGGGTTTGGGTAATGTTTGGCGTTTCCCTTATATGTGCTATAAAAGTGGAGGAGGTATCTATATAGCCGGTCAAGCCGGAAATCAAAAACTTTTTAAGCAAACTTTTCATATTCCCACGTTTTAAAAATCATACAATAATAAAATATCTTAAATACATGCACACGCCGTTCTACATCCATTTACTTAGATATTTATTATTTAAATACAAATTTCCTTTTCATTTTTTTATTTTTATTTTTTCTTTTTTCTTCACACAACACATCATAAGTAATAATTTTTGAATTTAAGAAACCTCATTTATTAGTGCATATGTATTAGTATTGAACAATTTGCAATGAGTTTTATGCAGCTGGACTAGCTATACACATGTATACATAACAGTCAGTCGGTCGGTCAGTCAGCCAGTTAGTTAGTTAGTTAGTCAGCTGATCACATATTCTTCAATGTTTATGCACGATTTCCGTTCCATTTTGAAAAGCAGTCCGCTAGATTACTTTATATATAAATCGAATTTGTTTTAAAAACATTTTTGATTGTTTTTTCCTTTTTTTTTTTTTTTTTTTTTTTTTTCTTTTTTCTTAAATAAAAGTATATATCAACCTGCTTTTTTCATTTACTTCAAAGCGAGAACAAAACTTTCTAAAGCAAATTAAAAAAATTAAAAAAAGCAAAACAAATTTAATTTTTAACTCAAATTGTGCTCGGTGTTTAAAATATTGCTTATTATTATCATTATTACTTTTATTATTGTAATGCATATAAATTACGTCAAAAAAAAATAAAAAAACTAGTTTTTGTCATTATATGTAAGACTAGATACCTGCTATTGAAAATGAAATTTTAATTTTAATTTTAATTTTATATGCAAAACTGAAACGTTCAACTGCAACTTCCGTTAATATATTCTGAAACATTCATGCATACATTATTACATAAGCATATTATTATCAAATATCACGTGCATAGTGTCACTATTTGTATTATTTTCATTTATGTTTTTTTATTTACTTTTCCAGGTGTTTTCTTGGTTCCGTATTGCATTATTTTAATTATTTGTAGCATACCGTTACTGTTTATGGAATTATCAATAGGACAGTATACGGGCAGAGGACCCATAGGGGCTTTAGGACAATTATGCCCACTATTCAAGGGTAAGCTAACAACTTTTCATAAATTGTTTCCCTCTTTACTCCATTAAGATATCTTTCTCAACTCTTCGCGCACTTGTCGATGATGTTTGTATGTCAAATGTATTTGCTTACTTACCTACGTAGAATAGAACTATTAACAGTTATGAGCGTGGCTCGATGTAAAAGTTACATTTAGTCCGGTATAGATAGTCTTTAATAATAAAACTACTACTAACTATGCTTAATTCATTTCTTTTAACTTTAAAATGATGTTTGTGAAGAGAATTCATTTTTGATGACCGTTATTTATATGCAAAGATCTTTAAACATGTACAACCAATTTTTTTGTTTTTTTGGTCGGTTTTTCCCGAAGCCAATGCCATAAAGCTATTTTAATCAAAGGCAAGAAATTTAAGGTAAATGAAAAGGAAACAGAGAATGTTTTCTTTTATTTTCTCCTGTATTTTGTTATATTTTTCTAAATTTGCTTAACTTACGATCCCTGACCAATACTTCCAAAAAAGTATTGCTTAGATATTTGCTCGTTCTACCCCATAATAAGCCTCCAGTCAATGGTTAAACAACGGCTTTGCATACATATCTTCTTTTAAGTTCATTAAATAACTTTCGCCTCTTTTTAAAGTCATTTGTATTGAGAAGAAAATAATACAATTTTAAAAAAAAGACAAGTAAGAATATTTTATACTCATCACTGTTCGATGCTGATCAATTATATGTAATCTTTATATAGCCTCTGCAGCTTAGTTCTGGTTGCTGCAAACGATTCGATAAAAGAATGAAATTTTAATATTTTATAACATTGAGTAGGCGTGACCGTTCTTTTTTTTTTCATCTTTGCACAGCCTCTGCACGATCGCTCATAAAATATAAATGCAAATTTTTATTGTTGTGACGAGAAAAAAACCGAGTTTATTTTGTTTTTGTTTTAAGAGGTGATATGATGTAGTCATGCCCTTCAACCCTGGGGGTTGTAAATGTGTGTAATGCACCCTCCTCTTTCGATAATCGTATAATAGTGCCTACATAATACTTATTATTAGATTTTCTTAAACCTTTGGCTTTCGATTTAATTTCAAGTGAGTCCATAAATATCGTAACAAAAAATTTGTATGTTTTTTAAATGCGGCGAAAATGGTGCGTCAAAGCTTATACATATGCTTTAGAATATGCGGGAAAAGATTCATTATGTTGAGGCAATAAGATCACTTGATTTAAACGAATCTTTGCTGGGAAGTTGTCACCTAATGTTTTAACGGTTGATTTACCTTTAGAAAGTATTTATATCCATTTATAAGCATTTCCAATAAAAAATATCTTAGCTGAGCTTAAAAGTGATAAGACGCTTAAAACGTTTCGAGATATTCCATTGCTTTTGCATTGCTTTGGCAAAAAATTTTAATTTTCGAACTTTTTTTTTTGTTTTTTTTTTTTAATCTTGCACATTAATTCTCATCCATATTACAATACAAGCCGATATATTGCTAGCCTGCCTTACTCCTATTTTCGCGGTCATCTTTTGTTTGTTCTGTGACTAGCGGCTGAACTGAATACTCATTCAGTTGTGCATAATCCAACATGAAATTGCTTGCATGCATCAACACCTTCGTAATCGAATCATGTCGAATCCTATTTGAATATGATCGCTTTGATGGCATTTGCTTTTTCATTTGCAATAAGCGTTCAAACATGAGTGGGCGTTGCCAGCTTATGATATTTGGATTAAGTATAAGGTTTTTTTTATTTACAATGAAAATTTAAGTGAAACTTTTACTTACTCTAATTCACGAAAAGCTAAACATCTGTCTAGACAGCTCATCTTTTCATTTTAAATTTCATTTATTTATTTATTTTTTCTTAAATTCACAATCAAATATTTGAATAATCATCCAATTGCACAATTAAGACAATTAATGTCGCAATTATAACTGCGATACTTGGGGTACTCTCACTCAAAGCTATTACACAATCTACACTTAGCTGCATATTTAAGTATTAAAAAATGCGCATATATTTGAATATTTGAATAACTTATTGATAAATATTTTTTTCAATTGTTAATATAGTCTCCCTTTTCCAATTTCCAAAAACCTACACGGTAAGAGATTATGGTAATTTATTAATAATCTACATACAATGCACATAAATACAGATGTCTTTAGAGGCTGAACATGGATTCCTGGAGTGAAGGCGTTAAATACAGGGTGTCCGGCTGCGTTTCCATGACCATAAGCGAGAACATCAATTGCCCCCTTGAAATGTGCAAGAACCTCTTGGGCCGTGTTATCTTTAAATATAAATACATAAGCAAATCTTCGTCCAAGGTTTACCATAAACTTTGTTGTCTTAAATTCAAGTTTCTAAACACGACCTTTAATTAACTAACATTGGTTTTCTGTCTTCAGTTTGTCTGTTTGTAAAATAACAAAAATATTTTCAGTACATAATCGAGTACGCTGTGACCCCGTCTTCCATAGAATCTCCTTCTTCGTTCGCTGTCCAACGTGTGGTAGAAATATGTACCGATTTTTCCAAAAAACATACATGCTAGGAGTGATATTTAATGCCAGTAACATTTTCTAACAGTGTTATTGAGTATCTGAGCGTAAAGTGCTTTATTTCTTACGACGATAGTCGAAAAAAATGCATTCTTTCGTCAATATCGTCAAAAATTCCCGCGACTTTCTTACACTATTTCATGTCCTATCAAGAAAACCAAGATACATGATATGTAGGTAACGATGAAAGGTGCTTACTTTGTAATTGTGGTGCAGGGTAGATTGTATATATTTGTACAGATACATCCAGAAGGATTTAAGACGAACGCAACATTTATGATTATTACACCATTCAAAGTATTTGCGCAAGTATGTTACGTAATGAACGACAAAGGAAAAGAGTTAATGATGATCAAAATATTTTCCTCATCGTTCATCATCATTCGAATCATTTTTTAATCGCTCTAATCTTGTCTGTCCGTCAATCTTCATCTACGTGTTTCCATGTTAAAGTTGTAGATCGCAAATTTTTGAGATATTTTAACAAAATTCGGTACATTAAGGTATTTTGGCGGCTCCAGGAAAATAGAGATTTTATTTTAATGAAAAAACAGTAAGAACTTATTCTCGCACTTAATTAACTGATAGTTGATTAGTTTTTTCTAAAATTTTTCAATGATTCATTTTGATCAAAAGTTATGCCTGTAAAAACAAACACAGAGCAGTTAAAAACTGATCCCCTTTTCATCTTCACGCTTTCACTCTACGGTAAGAATTCAAGTTTACAAAAATGACGGGCCCGCAGACTAATAAATTGTCTTTTCTAACACACTACAACAACCAGGTCTCGTTCGATGCTTACTTTGCACCTTTTTTGTGTTCAGGAAAGCAATCCACGGTTGTATATATGTTAATAGACAAACACTTCCTGGTTTAATTTGTGGTAATACAGTTTTTCTTTGCAGCGACAGAAAACCAAGTGTTTGAAACGTTGCTGACTGAAATGTTGTTACAGTTTATTAATTAGCATATGAATGAATTTTAGAATTTAGTTTCATATCTCATTCTTAATCATAGAGAGCGAGCGAGTCATACTTGTTACTTACAATACACATAAGTTAACCGAAGTAATTAGACCGTTCAGGAAAATTAACAAAATACGTAAACTATAGTGAGAACCGAGCCGCTCAGTACTTTTGACCATGTGACTTGTAGGCTTAAATAGAGAAAGTACACTTTTGAATTGCTTGGGATTAAGAAAGTAAACGTAGAAAACTGGCTGCAACTGTGCAGCTTACGCCGATGCTCATTATGATGGAAACTATGTATAGATCAGAGAATGCAAGGAGCGCTAGATAGAGTCGGTCTCTTGAGATCTCCTGCACTGAAGATAATCAGGGATAGACTCAAGTACGCAGCAAACATCAAATATTTAGAGGTCTGCATCAACGCGTCTTGACCAGGTGGCAGTCACGGAGGCAATGCAGTAGAAATGCTGGGACGACTTGCCAGTCCATCCCGGAATCGCGTTGGTTGAAAACAACCCCCACTTTATGTTCCATCTCTATGTAGGTTATTTACTAACTAAGCACGGCTCATTGAACGACTATCTTCAGAACAACATCCACATGTTGTGTGAATACCCCACATATGCTCACTTCAGAAATGTGGAGGCGATGAGTATAAAGTGAATAACTAAAGGCTATGAGTTAAATCGAACCATTGGCCCGTCCGAGACAACGGGTTCTTAATGGGGTTACGAGTACGCTGCTTTCAGCACACGTAAAGAAGTAAATGCCCGGCGCGACAACTCTGTCTGATAAAGGTGACCAACGTAACGTAGACTGGGGGACTGAGTGCACCATCTCCGAGACATATGGGTCACTTATGAAACTGGCTTCGGCCGCGGAATCTTACCCGGGTGCTTATCTTTCTTTTACCACGAGTGTTTGGAGCCCCTAGAAACATCCTCTGTTCTGGGCTGTGGTTGTCCGAAATTCGTGAGAAGAGCTTTTGCTTGGTGTGGAGTTGCACTGCAACAAGGTGTCTGAGACGTGACGGATCTCGACCCCTCCAGAGGGGGGAATACGTCTATATAACATGTACCATATAACACCCTCGGGGACATGAGTAACGCGATCTCACTACGTGTGCCATCGGGCACAGTGGGGTTAGCTTTCACGGCAGATATCCACGTTGAACACCCCGGTACATCTGTTCACATGAGACTACATATAACACCAATGGTAGATAACGCCTCATACTGTAAAAAAGCACACTTTTGGCTTGCTCTCTGATTAGCTCAGTTTTTCGCTTTCTTTTTTCCTAGCAACTACTCCACATACTTTATATAAGTGCTGACCTATTTTAAAGGTGCTTTTGTATTTCATTTCAATTAGGTGCTGGCCTTGCCAGTGTCGTTGTTTCATTTCTGATGTCCACATACTACAGTGTCATTATTGGTTATTCAATTTATTACTTCTTCACATCATTTAAACCGGAAATGCCGTGGGTCGATTGCAACAACAGGTGCGAACAAGAATATTAAAAACCGTGGGCTCTATTTAGTTGTTTCTTGTTTTTCAGATGGAACACACCGGATTGCTGGGTACCTCAACGTTTTAGCGCCAATATAACAGCACCTGTTATGTCACGGACACCAACCGAAGAATTTTTCGAGTAAGTTTCGATAAAATATTTAGATAGAAGCACTTATTTACTGTACTTGTGGATGTAAGTATGAAAAACGTGATTAGAAAACTGTATTGGCTTTTAGAAATAAAGTGCTACAAATTAGTCCCGGAATTGAGTTTCCGGGCTTAATGCGTTGGGAGCTGTTCGCTTGTCTGATCTGTGCCTGGTTAATGGTTTACTTTGCTACTTGGAAATCAATAAAATCATCAGCAAAGGTAAGGCCAGTGCTTCGAATCTAATTTGAAATAATTTTATTGATTTTTTTTTTTTAATCTTCTTCTTCCTCTTAAGGTTCGTTATTTTACTGCCACTTTTCCATTTGTACTCATTGTAATATTAATGTGTCGCGCTGTTACACTAGAAGGTGCCAGTGACGGTTTACGTTATTTTTTTCGTCCCAATTGGGCGGAAATTAAAAACGCCAACGTCTGGATTAATGCAGCCTCACAGAATTTCAATTCTTTGGGAATTACTTTTGGTTCCATGATTTCATTTGCCAGTTACAATAAATATAATAACAACATTTTGCGGGATACCGTAGCAGTTGGTATCGTAAATGTCTTAACGAGTTTACTAGTGGGCATCTTTGCTTTTGCCACTTTGGGAAATTTAGCTTTGGAACAAAATAGCAACGTAAGGAATGTCATTGGCGATGGTCCGGGCTTAATATTTGTAGTTTATCCGCAAGCTATGGTTAAAATGCCTTACACTCAACTATGGGCCGTTATGTTTTTCTTTATGCTCTTGTGTTTAGGTTTAAATTCTCAGGTGCGTTAAGGTATTTGTTTTACTTTCTCTTTTCTCTCTAGTAAATACTAAAAAATTTCATTTATATATATATGTAGTTTGCCATAATTGAGGTGGTGGTTACATCCATACAAGATGGTTTCCCTAATTGGATAAAGCGACACTTGGGCTATCATGAAATTGTCGTTTTGATCGTTTGCGTGATTTCGTTTCTATTCGGTTTACCTAATCTAATACAGGTTCGCTCCTTGAAAATGTAAAAGTGAAATGTTTTAATGCATTATGCCCATAGGGTGGCATATACTTTTTCCAATTGATGGATCATTATGCCGCATCGGTAACCATAATGTTTCTGGCTTTCTGTCAAATGATAGCGATTGCCTGGTTTTACGGTATAGAACGGTTGTCGAAAAATATTAAACAAATGACTGGAAAGGCGCCTTCGCCATATTTAAAATCTTGCTGGATAACATTTGGACCTTGTTTACTTTTTGTAAGTACGAAGACACTTCAACTTTTTTTTTTTTTTTTTGTTTTGCAGTATCATGTGTGTGATTATTAGTAATATTGTTATCATTATTATTATTATTAGTATGCTTACAAATGTTTGAAGTATAGAAATACGTTCTTATCTGCCTCCGCTCAGAATAAAAATTTCATGCATTAAGGACTTCCTACCTACCTATTGGAAGCATTCATAAAAGTATCTAAAAGTATCGCAATAAGACATTCCTTATTGCTGGCTTATCGCATAAGACTTGACATTCCCGTCCATCCTGTCCTGTCCTTTCTTATATCGTCTACTTGTTCTGTAAATGAATCCTGCTGCTCTTATAGCCATTCTTTACTCCCAAAAGAGCGATTTCAAAGCAAGATAACAAACTAATCAGAATCTATTATTAACCTATACAATTAAATTCATTTTCCATATCATTTTAATTTAAGAAAAAAAAATTGAAAATCGAGAATGATTTTCATATAAAATAGTCTTAATTAATATTTTGGCAACTAAAAGATAAGTCATGAAATGTTTTTGAAGTAATACTTTCAAAATGTGTATGCGCTGTTGAAATGTGTATTGCCGTACATTGGCAACAAAGCGACTTTGAAAAGCAACTTAGCAGATATTGTAAAAGTTGATAGAATAAAAATAACACCAACAGTAATATCGGCATTGTACCAAAATGATTTATTTATGTGTGTTCTCTTTTTTTTAATTCTTTCAGGCAATTTGGATTTTAAGTTTAATTAATTATAAGGAACCTAGCTATCACAACGGCCATTACAAATATCCGAATTGGGCATTTGGTATTGGTTGGATGTTTGCATCGTTTTCGTTAGTATGCATACCAGGTTACGCTTTAATAAATCTATTAAGAGCACCTGGACAAACAATATGGGAGGTAATGGAGTGATGGAAAATGTAAATATTTTTTAGTTCTCTGAAATTTCTTTCCTTTTACTTTGCTGCTACTAAGTAGCGTTTCAAGGTGACGTTACATCCTAATATTTACGAATGTAAGATCTGTGGTGAACATCACTGCGAACATGATTACCCAGAGCAAGAGCAATATATGCTGCAACAGGAATTGGCTGCTTTATATAAACCGCAGACACAAGGCAGTCCTCAACACACTTATACCATGAAGACAGGTCAAAAATTCGGCTACAGTCCAATGCATTTACAGACTGCCACAGAAAACACAAAAGAGAGGCATGTAGTGGATATGCAACAGAAAGAAGAGCAAGAAGAATTGGCAGAGGCACCAAATAATTCCCTCAATGCAACCAATAATGAACAAAGATGATTCTCATTATAAGAGTCATCATTAGCTATAAAGATAAATATTTTTAATAAAATATAAAAATTACTTCAAAAATAAATGAATTAATAAGAAATTCTGTTCCATTATTCTGTTGAACGCAGTTTGTAAATTTTTAGTCATTTTTATTTAATTTATTGGTTCTGCTTTAGAGCATTAAAATGTAACGATGAAGTTGATTGAATTCATCAAATTTCGGCACAGCATTAAAATTGCGCGGTATTATACAGTAATCGGCATAAATACGTAAGCTTTTTTCGCTAACAACTGGTGGCTTAACCGATAAGTACGAATCTGTACCGTAATCACTAAGAGGTTTTAAATTGATTATTGCCCCGGCATTCACGGTAGGACGAGGTCGACTCAATTGTGCATTTGAATTGGCCGAAGCCCCCAGTAATGCCGCTGTGGTCGTCAATGTTGATAATTTTCCGATTTGTGCGTAACGCTTGTAAATGCTCATGCTGTCTTTCGGAGGATTACTCACTTTACACCCATACACCTCGTTCATGGGCGGTAACAATTGCTCTAGCGTTCTCGGATTTATCGTTACATGTTGTAGTTTCTTCTGTTGTTGTTCTTTTAACATTAAACTGGCGCTTAAATCTTCATCTGTAGAGGAATCATCACCTTCTGATGAACTCGATTCGTTGCTATTGGTAGAACTGGTAGAACTTTGTCCAGTTAATGAGGGATTTTTACGTGCCTTCCCTTCTTGTATTTGCCGTTGAAACGGTGAACGGCATGTGGGTATAGAACGGCTCGCCAATTCATATGAAATATGCTCGCCAAAATCAGTCCATTTGAAGGACTGATAGTAATTTGAATAGCCATCAATCATTTCGAAATCTTTACTAACCACTTCAATTAAATTATTAACAATTTTGTTCAAATCTGAACAAGAGTGTGGCAAGCATTTGCGTATTTTACTCCTTACCCAGTCAGTAATGGGACGAGTTTCTTCGGTTAATGAAGAAGGCTGATACACGTTATGCATGTAATAATCTGTTTGTTGTTCCCAAATGGGTTGATTTTCTGCATATTCATAAAATTGATGAATATATGATTTTAAGAACATAAAACAAAAAAAAAAAAGCTTACCCATGTTATGGCCCTTGCTGGGCATGTAATAGCCTAAAAATAAATTAATGCTGTGCTGTTTTTCGGTATCATTGAAAGTATTGCTATAATAACGGCTCAAAGTCTGCATGATATCATTTCCCTGAGACGCCCAAGCTGCAGTCTTTCGATACGTCTTAATACGATGTACAAGCTGAGAACCACCATACTGCAAAGCCAAAGTGTCACCGTGTTCTTCGTACAAATTTTCCAACATAGTAACACACTCAGAATCGAATTCTAGTTTAGCTGATTTGAGAAAGCCCAAACGTTCTAGCTGATGACCTAAAGCACACTTGCCTATGGCAAATTGAGCGGTATTCGTACGATCCAGACAATCCACGCAATTCGTTCGTACAATACCAGTTTGAAAGGTTAGAGGTAAGCCACGTGCTTTAAGAAACATTCCAGTTTGTTGAAGTACGCTCTCCGCTATTTCAGCCAACATTTCCATAACATTGTCACCACCACGACTTTTACGCGCCATATCAAAGTGTATATATTTCATACGATGCGGAGGTGGAAGAAATTGATTTAAATAACGTATGCTGTTAACTAATTCTTTCGAAAGTATAGACTCATGTTGTCTTTTTTCTCGTTTTTTGACCAAGTTCAGCATAATTAATGGTGAGCCATAATGGAAAAGTAAACGTTCAAAGTGGCGAGCCGACGTCTGAGCAAAAGGGTCAGTAATATCTAACTGTATAGGTGGTTTGGGTACCATTTTGCTTATGTCCTGCGACCAGTGTGACGGCACTGATCCTCGCATTTGAGTAAATGAACACATATCATGATCACTACTAACTATTTGTTCCGTCTCTACTTCATTCGCCACATCGCCTCGGAAATTAGCACCTCTTTTCAAGAATCGAGTGCCTGCAAATCTTGTGCTGCGACGAGCAATCAAACAAACATTTATACGCCGTCCAAATACACTAACGCACGATTGACTAACATAGCCATGAGTAACCTCCAAAAGCCAATCCTTATGTACGATGTCTTTCATGGGTTCCAAGAGAAAAGCGTTCCACACAAATCTCTTACGTGAACAACTACGAAAAGCATAATCAACCCGTCCGTTCGCCTGCTGAACATTGTTAGTTAATTTATCCCAGTCTGGTATAGGTTCTTCAATTTCAATATTTACTCCCGGCCCTACATAGCGTGGCGCCGAGGAATTATATTGAAGAGTCCGCGTCAAGTCGTACGAATACGAAAAATAAAAATTACTTCGCAAGTCGATGTTCTGAAACATCCTTTTGTAGCGCTCTTCATACGAATGAGGTGCAGTAGGCTCATTTACTTTGACCATCACTGTGTCCTTGATGGTGTAGATTAAATGCATACCCAAATGAGCGCAACACTTGCGTTTGGTTACCAAGAGTAAATAGTAGCCCTCCAGGAATCTTACAAAGCCCAAAACCCCATAGGCCGAAGTAACTTTTGGCGAACCCAAAGAGCTCAAGAATCGTCGTATTCCTAAAGCATTATATTCATTTGGGTCTTCAATAATATGCAGCCGGCTACCGTCTTCAGGTTCGAGAGTGCGATCTATGATTAAGACGCGAAAACGTGTCTCCCTATTGTTACTACCCACCAAATACATGAGCTGAAATTGAATAAATAAAGGGACAAAGTTGAGATATAGTTGAAATTTAAAATGTTATAATATTTTTGCATTGAGTTGAAGGAAGACAAATCCGTTGAATCTATATATGAACTTATATATGTACATAGAAATAAAACTTTAAATGAATAAACTAGGGCTTATGTCTGCAGATGATGGATAATTTAATCAACTTCAGTAGTCATATATAAAAATTTTCAAATGTACAGCTCAGGGCGGCATAGCGCCGACTGGGAATGTTGGAAGCTTTCACTGATTAGAAAGGAATATAAACAAGGGAAAACCCTGTAGTAGGCCGCAACCTACCATTAAACACCCTACGATATCGTACGGGAAGTGGTGGAAAAAGTGGTGCGATTCGAACGACGTTCGATCTTGCGCCAAAAATGAAAAATATTGAGCCCCATCGAATGAATACAAGAAAGAAAGAGCTCAGAACAATTTCTGAATCGAGTGATTTAATAAAAGGTGGGTCCTTCTTAAATATTCCGCAAAACATAGTATATCCTCCCATCACAAATCATAAGAAGAAAAAAATAAAAAAGTAAACATGAATATAACGACACTTTTACGAACGATTGCAGTAGCCATCATATAAAGGGCAAGCAAGTCGATACAGATTAAAGCTAATTGCTGAAACCTTCTATTTGATTGATGTTCAACAACTGAGAAGTTAGAGAAGTTATTACCAATGAAGCCGTCTGGACGTTTTTATATGAAAGTGGCTGTTATAATAAAAGTAGAGTTTATCCTGGCCGAAAGTATATGACACCGCTCTCATACAAAATTTATTTATTTTTTTTTTTTTTTTTGGTATGTTGAATGGAGATGGACTATATATAAAATTTATGAACATATCTTTTGAAAGGCAAAAAAGTGTTTAACTCCCGAATGCGATGGAGTGCATAAATCATCGAACAACTGAGTATGCGGTCACACTTCAAAGGCATTAATCAATCAATGTCAACATCACAAAAAATAAAATAAATAAATCATATTTCTGGCACTTCAACAGATGATTTGGAACGTTCTCACTCACGGTTTTTGTTTCATATAAAACGACCTTCTGTATTCCACTTATTAATGGATTGAAAACAATATTTGAGTTGCTGTTATTCATTGTTTAAGAAATTATTCAATATCTCTGATTACCCTTTTTCGTAAACACTGAATATTCTTCGATTGTAAGAAAATAGAAAAGATAAGAGCACTGCCAGAGATACGTTAGCATTTTTCACAATGTTACCGGATCGACGACTTATATGTATGCATGTGTGTATGTTTGTTGTTATATGCTTTAATTCTATACACTAGAATTAAAAGCAATCAAATAAATTTTTGGTGGAGCGTTATTCTAATAATTCTAATAATTATACTAAAATTTGTTTGAGATAGAAACTAATTTAAGTTATAAAATATATGTGCAATGGCTGCTTGGGGTAATATTTGTCGCGTATGCTCGTCACCGGCTGATCATGAAATATTTGCAAAGATTCCAACGTTCTTACATGCTAATTGTAATGAATTCTTAAAGTGGCAGAAACCAATCAATGAACTAATTGAAGAGACGACGGGAATAAAGGTTTGATAAGAAAACGAAAAACAATAAACATTTCACAGGATAAAAGATCGCTTCCAATCTCCTTCATTTCAGTTAATTTAATAAATAATAGAATTATCATTTCATTTCATTTGCAGATTGCTCCCGACGATGGTTTACCAAAAAATATTTGCGAATTATGCGTTTCTTATTTGAAGCATGCTGTGAATTTTAGAGAACAGTGTATAAATAATGCGCTCAGTTTTAATTTGGTATTGAAATATAAAAAACTTCAAAGGACTGAGAGTGAAACAAAAGAAAGCGATAAGGATAGTTATTTAATTAGCGAACAAGATTTAGACTATTCATCGCAACGCGAGTTAGAAATGGTTAACTTTTTATCAAATAACACTTTTCAAGAACAAAACAAGGTGAATAAAGCCATGTTTGATCAAACAATGCCTTCCAATTTTTGCCAACAACTGGATTACTTGAATACTCTATTCGATAAGAAATGCGGCAGCCGAAGAAAATCAAATTATCCAAAACTGTCAAGTAAAACTAATGCAACACGCGAACGAAACGATTTCCATACCGCAAGTTCCAGTGACGAAGCAGAAGATGGCACTGCTGTACCAATGCCAACGAAAGTGGATATTTTCTCGTATAAGGAAAAAAGTTTCATTGAAGATGATGTGCTAAATATATTAGAGGTTCAACAATCTGTTGCCATAAACGTACCAGATAATAGTCAGGAGCGAAAATGTAAAGCATGCTTAAGACGCTTTATGTTTAACGAATCGTTTGAGCAGCATAAAAACGAATGTATCGAACTCAGATTAGTCAAATTTATTGAGGAAGTCAATAATCTAAACTCTTCGGTGCGTATGGATATATCACCCCACGAGTTCATAAGACGCATGATATTTGCTTTGCGTAAAATATGCGAATGGTTAATGTCGTATCACAGCGATATAACGTTACCTGATTTACCTCAATACACTCAAGTACGACAAACAAGTACGGAAAGTCAAACAGATCAAACAGATAGTGACAGTAAAAAGGATTCCAGTCTAAAAGGTATATCTCCCATATTAGAGCCTATAAACACTTCTACTAAGAGAAGTGTGTTTAATAGCAGTCAAAACATATTATGCGAAATTGAACGTTGCGAAAGTCAAAATTCTCAAAAGTCTGCTTTAGCCAGTAATTCATCAGAATGTCCAGCTAACGTACCGCAAAAACTATCATATGCAGAATGCAGAACCTTAAAGGACCGGAACCGGGACCGCGACCGGACTTTAACAAATTTATTAAAAGATGATATATCGTCCAAACTACCACGAATCAACCCATTTAAATTGAATTGCACTGCCCGTTGCCAACCATGCGGCCTAGCATTCGAAACTTTGGTTGCTTTCGAAGTGCATAACGCGTTGCATCATAATTATAGCAAATAGACTAGAAAATTAACGGTAAAACATAATAATTTTTACAAAATATTTTTTGTATTTAATTATTAAATAAGTGTATGACAATCAGAAATATTTAGTGAGCAAAAGGATAGAATTGAATTCACTTATGCTTGTAAAACAGCGCAGATAATTTTTGCAATCCTGCGTCCGGCAATCCGGCATTATTTTAATATAATTGCCTTGATTTATGAACAGATAGGGGCGAAAATCTAGACTAGTTTATTAATATTCACTTCGCCAACTTCGGCACCTATCAACGTAGGCAGAATTTTTTGCATAATAACTGGTGGAAACGTAGGGAAACACGCATTGTTAAGCAGTTAATAACAAGCGGAAAAGAAACAACTGTTCTTAATTTTGTACAATTTATTACATACTGTTTCCATCTCTTTGTGACGCATTTACAATATATTATTATTTAATCCAGGTAAAAAATATTTAAAATTGATATAATTTTTTGAGTAAAATTAAGTAAATAATTACTAATTAATTGACTGTAACGTTAACTCGAAATTATTATAAACTATTTTAATAAAATATAATTTATATTCGAAATCTTAACATCGATCAAAGTTTGAAATTCGAACTTGGAATTTCAGAATTTAGTGGAATCATAATTCGATCATCAACATCGAAATCGAATCGAATTTGACCTGAATTTAATTCCTCGGAAGGACTTATGTAAGAGTCAAGTGCAATATTTCAGCATAGTCTGCCTAACTAATATAAACAACCTTTTCTACAAAACTTATCCCAAAAAGGTGCATTATTTATAAAATCTGCAATGGTTTTTAATGTAAGAGAAGTACACTAAAAAGATTAACTGCTCTACAAGACGGGAACAGCTATTGTGAAGACCTACAGTAAATCCATAATTTGCTTCTCCTATTTTAAAAATAGAAATCATCCAAGAAAAATAATCCACGCGACTGGATTTTATGTGATCAGAATTTATTACAACACCCTTCTATCCTTAAAATCTTTTTCTTCGAGAAATTTTTTCTTTATTTATTTATTCCAATTAATGCAACAGACAAAGCCCTTCAAGGACCAATGAATGTGTAATGCAGGCCAGTACCTAAATGCATGAATATAAGTACTATACAAGGTTAAGGATTATGAATTAAAAAATAGATTGTAACTACAGATTTATAAATAAGAAACTGCAAGATACAAAATGCAAGTACGAAATACAAGTTGGCTCCCCATCCACGTAGAAAGTCAAAGAAACAAAATGGAAGGACAAAGATTTCAGGGAATGTTAAGATGTATCTTTTTCTAACTTTGCCGTTGTTAACCCCCAATCACCGAAACTGTTGGCAATGATATCATAAAAGACGACGTCAACTGAGTTTTATTGCAAGCAGACCCTTTCACAAAGATTTTTGGCTTAATAGCTTTATTATCAAGGTTTATGGTATTGTCAAAAGTTGTTATTCACATAGTCTACCTTTATATCTGGGAATCCCCCGACGAAATACGCCATATGACTATTCCATGTCGGATTCATTCATAGTTGCCAGCATTTCAAATAAGAGTTCTAGTCAATTTTTCCGAGCTACTTTATTAACAGCGCTGAAAACTTATAATTATAATAATACGTTACAATTCATTTGCAGAATTCAGTTAAATTGTATAAAAAAATTCCATTATTTACGTTGATATAAATACAGTACGCCGATGTCTTGGTTTCCATACTTTCGCATTTAACATATTTTGCTTTAAATTCATTTTTCTTTTAAGGTATAGGTACAGTGGACCTTATCGGTAATAGTCACACGATTTGAAAAAACATTTATCAATTGAATGGTATTGCCTAATTTCCATGCAAAAGGATTAAATTCAATACACCCAGCGTGATAGCTAATAATGTCTCCAGATTATTACAATTTTTATTTTCCCTCAAAGATATATATATGGTTCTAGCTACCAGAAACGGATACATGAAAACGAGCTAATAATTCAACCGTTCTTTTGCATTAGTTGCTAAACCATTCACGTTTTATTTGCAATTTTTCTAATAAATTGATATCGAAAGTAGCATTGTTTTCCTCTTGTCTTAAAACGTTTTTCAAAAACCATAAAATTTCCAAACTTATTGGGGGACTTTTATAATTAAATAATTTATTCAAAAATCCGGTTAAATTTATTTGCCAAACGCTTGATAATTCTTGCAATAACTTCGCGTACGAAGAAGGTATGCAAACTATGTTACCAAGAATGCGTATCGCGTAAAGTACCATTAAATTTTCCTTGACGCCCGAAAGTTCTGCAGTATTATTGATATTACTAAGAGAATAACTAATTAAATATGTTATTAAGTTTTCGGGAAAATTTGCAACTGTTTCTTCTTGAGTGAACAATAGCTGAAAAATAATTTGTAAATGATATTCATTAGGTAGGCACGTTGGATTCTTTTCGTTGGCGTGTTGCAACAGAAATTCCATGTCCCTTTCGTTCAAATCAGCTGCATAATTTAAAGCAATTATTTGTAAGCATATTGCTGAGTCTTCTTTACAATCCATTGAAGGATCGGCTATTTCGTCACCTATGTAAAGCTTCCATAGTTGTGGTATTAATTGCATTTGTAAGCAAGTTTGTGCACCTTTAGAGCTAGTGGCCAAAATATTTGCGAACGTCCATAAACATAAACGTACTAATTGAATTTCAGAACTATGCAAATATGTCACCAAGTAACTGCCAGCTAGTGAAGCGATTTTCTCACATACTGGAGCATCGCCCAAGGAGAAATTACATAAGCATTCAGCGGCGCTAATTTGACATTCTGAACTCTTTCCTGAAGCAAGGTTGTGTGCATATAAAAATTAAACGTTTATTATACAAACAAAAAGATGTCTCGTTTATTTACCCGTTAGCTCTTTAATTATTATTTGTAAAGCCCCTGGTGTTTTATTAAAGACTTTTATGTTTTCTAAATCCTGTAAAAAGGCATGAGACAGACGATACATGTCCTCTGGTGTGGCACGTTTTCGCCGTTTAATACGTTTAGCGAGCCCTAAAACATCTTTTTCATTTAAGTTATCCAGAAATTGAACGCGTTCTTTGATTTCGCCCAAACCAAAACGAAGCGAATCGCGTGAATGTTCACGTTGGTGTTCGCGCTGGCCATTAGCGTAAATACGTATCCTCTCCCTAAATATTTCGGTTGGAACAAGCAGATTTTCATCCATGTTCTTTATAAAAACTACTAAACAATTTGTATCAATATCCTAATAGTGTTTTTTAACTGTGCCTGAACAATTGTTTTAAAGCGTTGCCAGAAGTTAGATATTCAAACATCATATGAAAAAACAGAAATAAATACTTGAAAGATTTTAATAGAGCGCTCGAATGAATGAATGAGTTTTAGTAACTGGGCAGATACGCGATATATTCAAACATATTCAAATTTTATCTAGCAGAATGTTAGCAATACACGTGAAAAATTAAAGAATACCGTAATTATCACCGTAATTAAAGCAATGCTATTTTGTGAATTGACGTTTAGCAACACTGTCAGTTTCCAAAAGTAAGTGAAAAATTTTAACAAAAAATTTTGCTGTTGCCCGGACATATATCGGAATGTCCTTTACGATAATGCAAAAACTTTCTTTACAACGTCTAATACCAGAACAACCACTGTTAAGTAAAGCGTTATCTTAAGCGAGCCTTAATGGTTGTTTATTACACAATTTATACCTTGTTCTTCAGCAATTATACGAAACGCCAAAAAGAAGACTGGTGGAAGTACTCGGAATAGAATCGGCCACACGAGACCTAAACATCGAGGCTGGAGAGTTCAAGATAGCCATTATGTATCTGAAGGTACGATATTGGCTACACAACGTACGACTAGATTTCATCCCGGCTTGAATGTATGCTTTCTCTGCAGTTTTTTTATATGCATTAACACTATTCTATCGCATTTCTACCAATATCCTATTAGGTTGGCTTTGGACGTGATGGTACTTTATTTGCAATGGAACATGGCAAAGTCTACGTTACTTGTGAAGTCGCTGATCCTAATTGGGACCATACTTGGATCCAAAAAAATTATGCCAGCCGCCAAGGCCAAACATTGTATAAAAAATATTTTAACGTAATCCCTGAGGAACAACATCAACGTTTTCGCCTAATAGATGAAATTTGAGTAAAATAACAATAAAGACTACAAGGAATAATAATTCGATTGGAACTTTACTTTTATTCAAAAGACTTTCAAATCCTTAAGTTTAACAATCCTCCTAATTCAGGATTTGTAAAACTAACCCTATAATTCCCCACTCTTCATTTATAATAATAATGACATTATTTTTCCGGATATTTTCCAAGGTATGTTTTTATTAAAAACAAAAGCATTTTCGACGATCTCAGAGCAAAAATTTCCTGAAATTGAAAAAAAGTAAGTTTATTCGTCTCGTATTACAATTGACATTATACTAAAAGTAACAAAAAACAAAACTCGGTTCAGTTATGGTTAAATAAACTAGAAATCACTCAGAAATTGTCTGACGTGCTAGATAAATCGTCACAGTTTGCTTCAGGTCTACCACAACCTTCAATTAACTTTATTTAGCTTCATTGGATTCGTATATACCTTACGCAACCAGTAAACAAGCGCCACCAACGGCTTTGATTCTATTTTCGGCTTTTTTGGAGAAGTATTTGGCCTTAACAATAAGTGGTAATTTAGGCAGATTTCCACTACCTAATAGTTTGTAGTATCCCTAAAAAGTAGAGGAGAGTAAAGAACGTTTAAAAAAGGCTCTGATCAAGTAAATAAAATATCAATAAATGGGAAATAAATCTGAAAGGCTTTCTCAACAGAAGCATGCGGTTGTACGGTCGCATTCAGTCCGCCCATCGCCTTATGTGCTGTCTTCATATTCTCTGTTTTCATTGATAAGTTATTTAAGTAAAATTTTAAAACTTACAAACTTCACCAAGTCAATAACGGGAGCCTTCGGTTCTTTCTCCTTCATTAGTTCCTCCACTTTCTCGAGGCCAACGAGAGACCATAATTTGTCCAAATTAATTGTGGGACAGAATTTATGTTGACGTCGCAAATGAAAATTTCTCATACCGACTTTGCCAAAGTATCCGGGATGATATTTGTCGAAATTAATGCGATGATGATGCATACCACCAGCATTACCACGGCCACCCGGATGTTTACGATGTTTACCAATACGACCATGCCCGTGACTTACATGACCGCGCAATTTTCTCGTCTTCTTCCTCTTAATATTCGACTAAAAATAAACAAGATTAAGCAAATTAATAAAAACTTGTAACACGTGTATGTCAAAATTGTTTATTGGCTAAAAACCACAACTTTCAAGAAACATTCAATGTATGTGAGGTTATGTTTGCTCACAGTTCAATTCCGCGTTAAATATTTAAACATACGTACTCCCTACATTCCAATAAATCCCGATTTTATTGTGATCATTCTTTTAATAACTTCCCAATTTTCTGAATTCTTCTTGGGCAGCAATTAAACAATTGTTTCAGCAACAGACAAACGCGAAATCAACTCACCATCTCAAAATTTTCCGAAAGAAAGAACTCAATGAAGTTTGCTGCGTTTTGACATTGTTAAACAGTTCGTAAGCTGCGTTCAATAAACAGACAGGGTTGCATTGAAGAAAAAGAGTTCATTTTCATCTTTTGCGCTCCACACAATTATTACATTTTGCATCGGAATTGAAATTTTAAAATATGATTTTTGGATGCGTAAATACATGCAACCAACTGACATTTTAAGTATATACTGTGCAAACCCAGTATTGAACAATCGTCCTACCAAAAAGGCATAAAGGCCGACGGCTTTGCAAAGCGACCAAGTCAAGGAAAAAGAATCGGAAACAATCAGGAAACCATTAAAACCATTAAAAAGATTAACAATTTGTTTTATATATATATATATATATATATATTATATATATGAATAAAGCTATTTTAAATATATAATGAAGCTATTAAATAAATAAAGCTTTTTATATTTAAATATAAATTATATAAATTAATATACAGCAACAGGAAATGTCAGTTTGAGTTTCCCAATGACAACACAAAGCGGTTGAAAAAGTGGTTGTTGCTATAAGCTCCAACTACACGATGGTTAGATTTTTATTTGTAGGTTTACACACCTTCAATTAGCAAAAATTTGTTTGTATCCATAAATATATACAGGGTGTCAATACGAGTGTATGGGTAAACAAAAAATGAAAATGGTACGTTTTAATGTACAAAACAAGAAGCCCTTGCCTTTCCTTTCAAAAATCATTTTTATTTAGTTACAATTCTTTCCACGCTGTTACAAGTATTTCTAACCACTCTATTTTTATCGATATTTCATTTACTAATTTTTATCGCAGTTTTTGGGACTTGGCTTTCGTCATTCGAAATTAATTTCAAAAAAACAATGGGAAAATCAAGCAAACGTACGATTTTGTAAAATTTTTGACGAAACAAAATGATATGAAATCGTTGCATACAACTCATACAATTTCATATTTTCATTTCCTAGGAAAACTTTCAATTAGTTTAGCGGTATTATATAGAAATTCGAATTGACTTTTGTATTCCTTGGGCATACGTTCAAATAGACGATTTTTATTATTATTATTGACTTGCCATTCTAATAATTCTGTATCGAATTGTTTGGTTTCCAATTGCATTTGCAAGTCCGAATAAAAATTACAAAATACGGTTGATGTTTCTCTTCACTGACAAGACTACTAAAGGATTTCCTCAAAACCTATGGTTTTTAAAGTATAATTAATCGATCGTTCTACTCATTCATTTCGATTTTAAACCGTATATACTTAACTGTCGTAATTCCTCTATTAGAAATACATTAAAAATATTGCTTTGCAGTTTTTCTCTTCTTTGTACAATGTTACCTATTATCAAATCGCCTTTCAAATTTACTGCATAAAATTTTATCAAATATTATGCTTTAAAAAATATTGAATTTTTCGTCGTTTATCAAAAATCAGTATCGCTGGAGTGTCCTATCTTAACATACCACATGAATTTTTCCTCACTAATACAAAATGTTTATACAAATGTAAACAACAATTCAACCAATCAAAACAAACCCTTTCTCTTTCGGCATTGTTATTGTTGCAGAATCTACTTTCTATATGATGAAATTTTCTGTCAATTAATGCCAACGTCACCACCTCCGACTGGTCGTTAACTTTTAGGCTTTTCATGCAATATGTTAACATTTTCTTTTTGTAAAACCATACAAAATTCGCTAAACAATATCGAGTGCAATTAAAGTAAATCTACTTCTTCTTTATTTTTAGCAATTCGTCATGCAAAGGAAATGGTAACTTTACTGTTTCTCAATATCCGAATACACTGTTTTAAACGTACAATTTGTTTGTTAATATTTTATCAGAAATACGCTTTCCTATGGACAAAGGACTTAAAAACGAAGCGTTTTGCACAAAGAAAAATGTAAACACAAGTTTTTGTTGCTTTCCGTTATAAGGATAGTAATAGTTATACTTATAAAAGGTTTGATAGTGTTTCAACAAAAAATAAATTTGACTTGCCCTATGATACGATTCTTTAATGAATGATGCAAAAGTTGAATGCTTTAGCAATCAGTTGTTTTACTCGTCTAACGTTTTGCTTGTTTTGTTTGGAGGAAGTTAATAAATAACCTTGACCTTGTTTGCGGCCTTGATATTCGAGTTGCTTGTAATTGCTGTTTTTCTTTGCGTGCTTTTTAAAAGAAAAGTGCTAAATAGCAACCCAAACATACTTCCTAACTTACATGTGCTTTAGCATATTTTTTGACACGTTTATCAGTCGTTATCGGTAATAATAAAATTTTATCAGCTCTGTCAAGAAAATCATTTCATTATTAATCGTTATTTTGTAGGCTTAGCAAAATTGCCGTTCTAGAACAGTGAAAGTGTAAAAATGGGTGAGAAGTTCAAAAAGGTGACCCATGTAATTTTTGATATGGACGGTTTGCTACTCGGTAAGTAAAATCAAGTGATTGAAATGGAAAATTATATTTTATATTCAACGTGAGAGAGACTCTGAACACGTGTTGCTTTTCTCTTTGCAAACGTACATACGTGTATACATTATTGTGATTTTGTATTATTACACTTGCATTCAGACACCGAAAAACTTTACAGTCAGGCTATACAGACAGTTCTTCATAGATTTAATAAAATATATGACTGGGAGATGAATGTTTCTCTAATGGGTATGCATCATATGGATGTGTGTACTCGTATCGTTGAGAACTACAATTTGCCTTTAACACCTGAAGAGTACTCCAAATTACAACGTGCCGAAAATGAAAAAATTTTATGTAAAGCTGAATTCAAACCAGGTAAATATAGCGAACGTGTCTGAACTGATGTGGTCTTTTTTTTTTTCTAACTCTTCAATGCAGATACGGAAATAATTTATGAGGAAATCATTCGGCAAATAGCTCAAGAATATGGTAAAACCTTGCCGTTCGAAGTACGTATTAAACTCTTGGGCACAACCAATAGACGTACTTATGAACTGGCCGTAGAGGAATTAAAATTGCCAATTAGTGTAGAAGAATTTGGAAAAAAATTTGAGAAACTAACATTCGAAAAAATGACCGATGTGAAGATGAAACCAGGTTAGAAATAATTTCTTTTACATAGTTTGGGTTTAGTTGATACGAATGAATTTTGCGGAAATAGTTATATCCGTCTATATAGTTCACTTTACTGCACATTTAACAATTTCTCTCAACTTTTTAACGTAAGAGACCTTTCTTAACCTTGAAATTTTCTATAAAGTTAATGCAAACCACATTTGGTTATTATTATTATTTTGTAGCCTTTAGCGAAATTTAAATTGTTAAATCTATTCTGTAGTTACTTTTGCTTTTAATTAAAGTAGAATTTGAGCTGTTGGCTGACTTTGATTTTCCACATAGCAGGTAATTAAAAAAGAAAAAAAAAAAAGTCAAGCTTATACTCTTTTTGCAAATCACCATTTATCCTATAAGATGCTAAATGGGTTCATGTTTTTTAGGTGCTGAACGCCTTATGCGTCATTTGCATGCTACAAACGTTCCTATTTGTTTGGCAACAAGTTCAGCCGAAGATATGGTTCAACTTAAAATTGCCAATCATCGTGAGGTGTTTAATTTACTTAGTCATCGTGTTTGTGCTTCCACCGATCCGGAAGTGAAGGAAGGTAAACCAGCTCCCGATATATTCCTAATTGCCGCATCACGTTTTCCCGACAAACCAAAGCCACAGCAATGCTTAGTTTTCGAGGATTCACCGAACGGGGTAATGGCGGCTTGTAAGGCTTGCATGCAAGTAGTAATGGTGCCCGATGAACGAGTCTCAGTTGAACAAAGCTGCCTAGCCACATTACGCTTAAAATCGCTACTTGATTTCAAACCAGAAATGTTTAGTTTACCGCCTTTCCCCAACTAATCATAGCAAAGAGAATTTCTAAAAAACTGCAAGTGCTTTATCATGAGTACCTTTTTTTATCACCTATCACTCTAAATGAATTTGTTTAGAACAATAAAAAGCTGAGCTTATACGTAGCAATAAGAGAACTTTTTCCCGCTCATAATTGAATTTTATACACGCAAAGCGTATTGAACTAAATAAATTTTTTGTGAATTCCCTTTTTTAAAGAAAAGCCACTCTTTTATTTATCAATACAATTAAGAAAAAAATCTACCTAGAGCTGCCCATAGCTTCCACATTTTTGCGCACATCATCAGGGCCTAGGTTTGTTAGCGAGACCGATGTTTCTTTGCCCATTCCTATGAGAAAAAACATAAGTAAGACGAACGAAGTGTTTATTTAAATTTCTTACCGTAACGCGCCCATAAACGTGGCTGAATCCCAGAACATTCACGTATCAGTATAGGCAAGTCGGGATTATCTTTTTTCAAGCTGGGATAATAACGTTGCACATATTCCCTGAAGTATCAATCCAATCACAAAACATTATGTAATCTTTTATTGATTAAATTATCATAATTGTTTACCTGGCTCCTTTCGAGGCTTCACCAGTTTGGCAGAAATGTAAACGCAATTCCTTTATATTGCCCGAAAATTTTGCAAAACGTATAACCGTTGTACGCATTTTACGAAAATTTCTTCAATAATTTTTATAAACAGAACGAGAGCCAACAGTGTTTACATTTCTGAATTGTCATAATCATATGTTAATATTAATTGCTATAACTAGGATTTTGGGGGAATTCTTATTCCTATAAAGAGTTTGAACTCGTTTTTAACCTCTCTGATTATGTTTGTTTATTTATTATTATTTCTATTATTAATAATTCCATATAATGAATGTCGTTGGAGAGAAAAAAGCAAAAGTTGACTACCCGCGTTACAAATGTGTTGGAGGCATTGAAGAAGAACCGGCGGCAAAATGTACAAGTAGCAACCCAAATAATTAGTTTCTCGCCGGCTTGCTACGAATTTATGAGGCCACGTCTGGAATCAAATAGTCTCGCTGACGGCTTATTGCTGTAAAGTTTAAAAAACTGACGGCTCTTTTTGAAAAATGACGTACGTTTTTTGTTTAATAAATGGGAAAAAGGCTTTTGAAGTTGAACTTGTTTGCTCTCAAGGAGATCCGCATAATAAAGGATACAATGGATCATAGCCACAGTAGTTGGCTGGAGAAAGTAGTGGCAACACATGACGAGGATAAAGTTTTCAGATCCACTTCGACGAAATATGTGATCTTATTACAGTGGTTATTATTATATTTTTTTTTGTTTTGAATCGTCTTCATTTAGAGTCTTTATATAAACAAAAAGGAAAAGAAACAATAATATAACAAACAATTAAATTTCAGTGGATTTAATATATATGTAATTGATTAATTTCGACTTCAAATTTTGAGCATACGTTAAGAGTATAAGACTATATGAAAAGCAGGTTGATATATGGTACTTTCAGTCTTCGTACTTCATCATAATTATCACCTAATAAGTTTACAGCTAAAATATTACGATGCAGGCTTACTCTGTTTAAGTAGTCACTGCTTTTTATTTCATTTTTACCAAGATATCAAGATATCAAGATCGGTATGTAGAATGCGATGGCAAACTGTGATTACTCTTAAGGTTTTTGACTGATATCTCTGTAATATTTCAAAAAAAAAAAAAAAAAAACAAATTGCTACTAACAAAAAATCACAAAAAATGTAAAATTATAAAATAAAATTTAATTGCATTAAAATACCTAGAGGCTGGGGACACCTAGGTGAGATTCACATAGTTTTCCTGGCAATCTGGTTGGTGTCTCCTTATTTGAAGAAATGCCGGAACCGTCGGTATGTATTCACATTTATGAAAAAAAAAATGTTTATAACTGATGATGATTTCACCTAATTACCTACTTTATTTCATATAATTTATTTATTTGTTACAAGAGTGTGCATAAACATGGTTAATCAAACGGCGTATCCATTTGTACCGCATAAATTTGTGGATATCAAAAATTTGAATACTTTTATTTTTTACATTTTTGGGATGGTTCGTATTATGTTATTTATGCTATCAAATGTTCTAAAACATTCTAAACGTTCAAAAACGTTCCAAAACATTCGCTTGATAGGAAAAAGAACAGATTAATAACACAAAACATCATCTTTGCAGACTGAAACCATGCATTTACAAACCTTTTTGATTCAATACATAATATGCATTTCCCTATGAGGGTTCAGGCCGTTTACACACGATCATTCGCATCAGATTAAGTTTGAAAACTAGAAAATTCCGTTAATGAGTTCACACCCAATCTCATTTGGGTTAAAATTTTTGGTTCAGATCTTAACGTTTATGATTAAGACAAACTAACACTTTAGTTGGTATGTAATGCTGTCTATCTATGTATCTATCTATTTAATTCATTTCATCTGGAACTTTGTTAATAAAATGAGCGACAGCGTTAGAAACCGGCGAGACTACAGAGAATTCTCTATGTATATACCTTATTAAGTCGATGAACTTTCCTTTTAAATCGTGCAATCATTTTGACAAAATGATGATACGCCACATCTCTAGCTAATCAAACTAATACGTCCACTGTTTTTCACATCTTGGCACGTGCAATCAATATCTCTTCAAAATGAGTCTTTTCTTCTTTAATTTTGTAATCACGAAATTATTCGAAATTGCTAGAAAGGAAGGAGGCATCAAAGAGATTCCAAGAAAAAGTATGGGAATCTCAGCTGGGTCTCCTTCTCAACACCTTACCGTCAATAGATGTAACTTTATAACTCTTTTAAAAAAGAAAATTTACAGATGTCTTTTTCGAATTTGTAGCCGCTTTTTTTTTGTTTCATTTTATAACTTTTTTAACAAAGAAAATTTACAAATGTCTTTTTCGAATTTGTAGCCGCTTTTTCCGAATTTTTTTTCAGACATACACTTGTTTACACTACTTCTTGCAAAATGGTTTTGAATCGCCGCCATCTTATATTTCTCTTTACATAGATTCCCAATAAGAATTCGCTTTTGTGGAGAATGGAGAGAGCAAAGTAATAACAGAGTCGTTTTCAATGAATGAAAATTGTAAATATCGTCTACAATGAAAAATATTCCCCGACATGGATTTCTCATCACAAGGTTTTACCGTTAATAATAAGAATTTCCATTTGCCGCAAAGTTGTAAATAAATGGTATGAGTTACTCCATTCCTAACAATTCACGGCTTTCTTAAATATAATTAGACAATGCGTCTTAACACCTTTTTAAAATACCAATTATGGTCTTAAAAAAGGTGATGTGGCGATGTCCTTTCAACAGGCACAGCCAAAGGAATCGATTCCCAATACCCCACCAAAAAAAATCCCACGCGAAAGTTAGATAATGACTACTTTTTATTTCCAACGTTGAATACCAGCGCTAAATTTTAAAGAAAAGTATTTTTTCAAAAAGAAGTCGGCCGAAGCAGCAGCATTGACGAATGGCAGAGAAGGAAGTTTACGCTATGTAGTAGTTGCCGCTGGCATACCTGCATTCGTTGAACGTAATGAACATAAATGAAGCCATTACGGCCTACAGGTCCTAATAGAGATTTAAATTCTTTATGTAAGGATAATAAAATTGCATTTCAATTTATGTTATGGCGAGAGGGGATTAGTCAATATAAAGATGGAATTATTAAAATTCCTAGAAACGTTCTTATTCAATTTAATGAAAAGTTAAAAATCCTTGACGAACGGTCAAAAGAATAAACTAGTTATCATTTTCAATTTAAGGATATAAAATTTTTATTTGATAAATTTGATTTGATTTGTTTTTTATATTAAAATTTTTTTATTATATTAAAAATTATAAATCTAAGTGAAAATAAAATAAATAAACTTAATCATCTAATATTTGTAAATCTAAATGAAAATAAAATAAATAAAGTTAATCATTTAATATTTATGGATTTAAAAAATATTAATAATTAATAATTTTAACTTGACAGGTTAAATTTTAACTAATTTTTCAGAGAAAGAGAAAAAAGGAATAGGAAGAAATTATATATTCAGTAGAAGTAATTGCTAGATTACTATAAAATGATTTAGCGGACAACTGAGTCTCTAATTGGTAAAATTATATTCGTGATGTAAAAATATATCCCTTAAATACACAATTCGACGTAGTCGACCTCGTGCGCTAATTTCAATGAAACTCTATTTTTTTAGATTGGATAAAATGAAAATCTTTTGTTTTTATTTTTTCGCTTTTAGTGTAGGTTTGATTTTTATTGGCTATCTTACGTTTAGCATTGTTTTATAGCATAGTTTTAGGCGGAGATTTGACTGTTTTTTTTTTTTTTTGTTTTTTAAAAATAATAACAATGAATGTTAACTTATTCCTATTGTATTGATCACGGCTAATAAGAAAAAAATTTAATAAATAAAAAACAAAAAAATTAAGATTAGGCGAAATCAAAGGTAAATAATGTATAAACAGATTGACAGCTTATTTTTGAATTTTAGTGATTTATGAAACCAAAAGTATATATAAGAAGTGGGACAAATCGTTCGAAAGGTATTTAAACCACATTTGGCGCATAGTGGAGACTTAGCTATCGCGTCCAGAAACGTATAGGTACAGCTTTTCAATTTTACAACTATACGTTTTCAACGAACATGTTCCAATTTTTATTTATGTATATACATAAATATACACGTGTACTTTTCAAGTGAATCTCGGGAATCCCCGTTCGTGGGAAAGAATGTGTGTATGTCTAAATAGATATATATATATATATATATACATATATGTATAAATATATAAAACCATAACCAATGGAATTAGATTTTTTCCTCTTCAGTAGGATCACAGTCCGCACAATGCCATGAGTAGCCACGTATTTTTGGCGATTTTTTAAGTGGTGGATCTAAACAGGTGAAATGGTAATGACGTCGGCATTCGTCGCAAGTTACGGCATTCCCGGAAGTGCCCGAATTTTGGCATACGCAACAAGTTAAATTTTGGTTTGCATTGACGGCTGCAGCTTTAGACGGACGAGCGGATATTGAGGTACGACGCTGACTGGGTTTACGAGGACTGCTTTTACGAGACGATGGCGTCGTTTTGACCGGTGAATTTATTGCATATTTACTGGAAGTAGAACGGGGCGAAGTAAGTTGGCCTTTATTGGTTGCCACCGTATCCTCTGTGACTTTTTGCACTGGTGTCGATACTCTGGGCATATCTTCGATAGTTTCCACTGAAGTAGGTCGCGAAGCTTCACCAGCCGAACGCACCATATTAGCGGGGACATAGAAAAATTGAGCCTCGGGAGTTACTTCTCCGGGTAACGGCAATGTTTTGAATTTAATTTTGATTTTCGGTATGCCAGCAAGAGTATCAGTGGGTGCTTCTGAATCACGCCTGCTTTTCTTACGTTTATGTTTGTGCTCTTTATTGGATATTCTTTCATTATCTGACAACGGATTATGTTTGTTTTTATGTTTATCTTTGCGTTTTTGCTTGCGCGCCTGTTTTGAGGAACTGCCAACCGTATCTGGCAAAGTTACTTGCGCATTATTAGCGAGTAGGGGGGCAGGTATAGCTAAAGGGTCCGCTTCGACATTCATTTGCATGACGCTGTCCATCACAATCGGCGGTTGCGTCGTATTTACGATTGACGATATTTCTTCTACCGCGAACTTTTCATTGTGAGTGGAGTTGGTTGCTGGTTCTTTAATTGAGACCGAGTGAAAGTCTGCACGCAAAAATAATTAAGAACATGAGATGCTATAAATATAAAATTTTCTTTCTTACCTTCGTTATTAAGCTTAGTTTTTTTCGATGCAATTTGTTGCTGCTGTGAGGGAGGCTTTCCATAATTTAAACTTGATTTAGGTTTTTTGCTTAATTTTGTTGCACTATCAGAATTTGCAAGTTTTTTCTGATTGTCTTCTACATCTTCAACCGTAGAGAATGATCTATTGTGCGATCTTTTCAAGGAAGGTGATGAAAGCGTTTGTGATACGTTAGTTTGTGCTTCGAGGGTACGCTTTTTCGTTGAGTTTAAATTTTGCTGCGTTTCATCACACACTTGTTTATCTACGGGTACTATTAAGCCGTCCTTATTAAAACGTGTACGTGATTTACGAGGTCCCTTAGGTAATTCTCTTACTACATCTGACTCATCAGATTTATCACATTCCGAGCATTGCCAACCATAAAGTTTCGATTTCTTGGGGTGTCTAGTTAACGGAGGATTCAAACAACCTAAGTGATAATGCAATTTGCATGTATCGCATTTAGCCAACAAGTGTTGGTCTGTCATTTTCTTACAGATACCGCATTCATATGTAGGCACTGTTACCGTGGGAGCGGTTGGAATAGTGGAAGTACTTGGATAAACAGGCAAATCCATTGCAGGAGACATCGGCATTTGCGTTGACGGCGAATTGTTCACGTGTGTGCTTAATAGACGATTGGAATCTACTTTGGAACCTGGTGGCCCCAGGTGAGACAAAGGAAAACCAACCCCCATTTTCAAAGCAGCTGCTGTTGGAACACTTATGGGTCTGGATGGCGGTGTACTTGTACTACATGGTTTAGAGTTCTCAATTGACGCTTGACAACCTATATTTGCAGGGTTTGGTAAATTTTTGTTCGGACATAATGATGATATTTGTTTTTGAATTTCATTAATGGAATCCATCAAATTTTCATTCTTTGTTTTAAGATCTTTATTTTTATCCAACAAGGAGTCATAGTCGTTGCGTAAGGTATCTTGGTCTTTTGTTAGTGCAGAGTTTTGCTCGAACATCTCCTTCAATTGTTGCTTCAATTCTTTTGTTCGCGAAATGCGGTCCAAGTAGTAAGCAATAAACTCTACGCTGAAGGCTGGAGCTACATGCCACTTTTTGCGTATATCAGTTAGGGCGGCTATTTGTGCTTCTTGCCTTTCCATAAGATCAACATCCACCGACATCACATCGGCCTTGGCTAACAGTCGTCGACAAGCCGATGCAGACGTGGTAAGCAAACGTGACATTTTTTGCGTAGGCACCCAGGGTTGGGGCCTCATCTGCTTATGAGCCGCATATTTACTTTGATATTTCTGTAACTTTCTCTGTATGCGCATTTGAGCCGGGCAGGGTTCTTCTAATTTAAGTAGTTTTCGCTCCTTTTGCTTCTGTTCTAAATTGAGACGCAGGGTGTGAAAATTTCGCTTACGCTTCTTAATCATTTCTTTTTCAGAGTGAACTTTGCAGTGAGCATAGAATGGATCGGCGACATCAGCCTCTTCGTGATGAGCTTCTGTTAGGAAACCTGCCGCCTGGGCACAAGTTACATGAAAGTAAGTCTTACACATACCAGCATCACAACCTATACATACGCCTGTGCGCGCAAAACGTGAATTTTCACATAAAGAGCAAGCTTTACCACCCCATTTATTATACTGCATTTCAAATAAGGTCACAGACGATAGTTGGTCCACTTCACCAAATGCTACACCCGGTACATATAGAGCGCAAACCAAATGTACCCATTTTCCTACATCCGTTTCTTTATAAATACCGCCTTTATTGGGGCATAGTTCACATGTAGGTTCCGAAACTCCGGCCCTGCAAGCTTCACAAAACCAAGGTTCTGTCGAGCACGTGGAATTCGTGCTCGATATGCTATTATTATCACTAACACCGTAGCATCCTTCATGTACAGACACACTGCATCCATCGCATTCTACTATTTCATTAGAATCATCGCTACGATCACCCAGGCAGACGCAGCATATGGGTTTAATGTTTACTTTAGATTGCTCTTCTAATTTGACGTCTTGTTTTTTTAATATCTCTTCTAGTTTGTCACTGGCAGGGCATGCGTTTTCAAGTCCGTCGCCCGTTTCCGCATCTACACCTTCGGCCAGCAATTGTTTCAATTGCATTGTAGAGTCTTCGGAATCATCTTCCGCATTGCTATCTTCTGATGAGGTATCAGCTGTGCTAGAGGAATTACATTCGCCATCTTCATCATCCTTAGAGTTAGGTGAATCATAATCATCGATGCGAAAATCACTGTCTGATGAACTTTCGCCTAAATCAAAATCTAACAGAGCCTGCGTTGTCATTTTCGGTTGGCGCTGGCGTTTAAACGGAGCCATTTTTTCCCAAAACTTGGTAATTTAAATAATTTTCATACAATATTTTTAAATTTTTTTCACGCAAAATTGTGCAGGGGTCGGTGAAAAAATGTATGCAAGCTAAATCTACTTCTTCTTCACGGTTGACAGCTTGTCAATTACAGCGAATTGACAACTCTTCTAACAATACCGGTTGTTAGTGTTTTCGAAATCTGCACGATTTCCGCAGTTATACTGTTACTGCAAATTGTAATCACTCAAATATTTTCGAAAAGGTACGTTTGAACGGGCCATCGTGAACTACACGGAGCAAATTGTACATATATTTTTGTTTACATTTTACACTTTCATACTTTACTATATAATATACATTTTTATATTTATTTTATTACCAATTGCCATACGAACACATTTTCTAGTGGATGACAGATGTAAGTAGATAATAAGCCATATGTTTTAAACATCTGTTATCTCGCTAGTCTAGAAGTCTTTAAATATATATCCAAAAACAAATAAATAACACAAATAATAAGCAAACAAGAAAAATGTTCATAAATGTGTATGCCTCAAATATTTAAATTCAACAAATTTTTATGCTCTTACAGTTTTTTCGCAGCAAAATGGTTTTTCTTAAAAGCTGACGACGCGATTTGGTAGAATTACGTTTGTATATTTGTATGTGCATCAAAAAATTTTAATAAATAAAAATATGGATGATAAAATTAAATTTTCCTTATTGAGAAATGAACTTGTGGATAATCAATCCGTATGGAATCGGTTGGTTCGGAACATTTTTCATTTATTTATCATCTATTATTGTGCATCTCTTTTTTTTGTAGACAAGAAAAACGAGTTTGGTTTATAACACTTTTAACAGGCACATGTATGTTGTATTCCACGCGGACCACTATGCCATTATTGGTTCCATCGGTGGCAGCAGAGGCAAAATGGAGTAAAACAGATTCGGGAACAGTATTAAGCTCCTTTTTCTGGGGCTATACACTTACTCAGGTGGTGTATTTGCTAGATTGAATTAATTGATTTTAATTTCTACGCCTTTCGAAGGTGGTTGGTGGTTATTTTAGCGACCGCTTTGGTGGTCAACGAGTAATTTTATTTGCTGCTATCGGTTGGTCTTTATTAACATTCCTAATGCCAAACATAATATGGGAGGCCCCATATTTCAAAAGCTACGCCATTCCATTTATAGTACTCGTTCGCATAATCAACGGAGCCTTTCAAGGCGTACATTTTCCCAGCATGATTAGCTTAACTAGCCAGGTAAGTGATTTGTAAAAGAAACAAAAAAACTTTGCTTGCACACTAAGGATTTTTCTTTTATAGAATCTTTGCTCAACAGAACGCACAAGTTTTTTCGGTTTATTAACATCTGGCTCAGCGATGGGTACTCTACTAACGGGCATTTTAGGCTCATTTGTATTGGATTATTTTGGCTGGTCTTACGTGTTTCGTGTTATAGGTTTTATGGGTTTCGCCTGGGCTTTAATACTACGTTATTATGCGATGGCTGGCGAACGTAATCGTATTATAAATGTGTCACGCTTGTGCGTTAATAACAAATCCAGCATTGATAATGTCCCGTGGTTACGTTATTTTAGTCGTTTGTCGTTTTGGGCTTGCGTTCTTACGCATGCCTGCGAAATGAATTGTTTTTTTGTTTTGCTCTCTTGGCTGCCCACTTATTTTCATGATGGATTTCCACATGCTAAAGGATGGGTGGTGAATATGATACCTTGGTTATCTTTACCACCGAGCACCTTCTTTGCCAAGTACTTGACAGGCCATTTATTGGCCCGTGATTGGTCCACGTCGACAGTACGTAAAATTATACAAAGTTGTTGTTTTGCTGCCCAAAACTTAGCCTTATTTACTATGAGCAGAACTTCAGATTTTTATACGGCGTTAGTTTGCATGACTTTAATTATAGGTAAATTTTTTGAAAGAAATTACATGCTGCGGCGAACTAATAACAACAAGGCTTCATCCTAAAGCCTTTATCTTACATTAATACAATGAAATTTAGTTCGCTGTTGCTTTTTGAAATTGTAATACATTCCATGTGATGTGTTTTTTCTTTCTGCTTGAACAGGAGGCACGGGCTTCCATAATAATGCAGTTACAGTTAATCCGCAGGATTTGGCTCCTTCACATTCGGGAAGTGTATTCGGTTTAATGAACACCGTGGGAGCGGTGCCCGGTTTTTTAGGTGTTTACTTGGCAGGCCATATATTGGAAGTAACACAAAGTTGGCCGATGGTATTTAGTGCGGCCGCTGGAATAAATCTCATAGGATGGTTTATATTTATAGTCTTTGGATCAGCAGAAGCCATAGTGTGACTTAAGACTTCTCGCGTACAATTGCTATAGAGAAATCCTACTTTCCTCCCTCCTTTGTTATTAATTTTTGTATTTTAATGTCATTTGATTTCTAAGTAATATTTTTAATATATTTTTAGTTAAATCTAAATACACACAAAAGCGGGAGATGTATAATGCTTCATAATTGCTTTGACATATAGGGGCCATCTAATTCATAGCCTAATTTTCGATAATAATCACGGGTGCCAACACCAGAGATAACTGCCAACTTGGTACTTCCATGCTCTTCGCGTGCAAGTCGTTCAGCTTCCTCCATTAAAAGCATGCCAAAACCTTGATGCTGAAATTTAGTCGGATCTCTGGCACTAACCGGAACCACGGAGCCGTAAACATGAAGTTCTCTCACTATGGAGCATTGTTCTTTCTTCAATTCTGGGCGAAAAGTTTCCGGAGAACATTTGCGTAATCGTAACAAACCCACAAGAATATCTTGAGTAGGATCTTCGTAAGATAGGAAGGTTTCCCAGCCACCGTTAGCTACATAATCACGACGTATGAGCTCGATTTCATACGGTCGTATCTTATTGTGGATTTCCTGTATACCTACTTCGCGGGTACGAACATCACGGCATTCTATGCCGAGGTCTTTCATTCGAGCTAGAGATAGTTCTCGTAAATTACCATATTCAACACCCGAACTGCGCGAGAAAATCGATATGAACTTAATATGTAAAAGTAAAGATTAACGTAAGATATTTCGAACCTCACGAGTGGCATTGGTATGTCACGTTGCACACGATAAACCCTAGTCCAAGGCGGTACTAGTGCTAAAATCTTAGCTACCAAATCCACTAACATAGATGGTGGATATGATTTATAACGGCCAGTTTTCCACAGTTCATAAAGCCCTGTACCACGTATCACCAAAGTAGGATAAATTTTTAACCCGTCCGAACGAAAGGCAGGATTTTCAAAGTACTCCTAAAATTTACCGTAACTTTAATATACTGTTTTGTTATTGCTAAATATATATATATATATATATATATAACTTACGATAAATTGGTCGATATCTCTTTCGAAATCGACGTTTGGCAAATCAGGCATCATATGAGCTACAATTTTATATCCGGAGTCTTTCCCTAGCTGAAAACTTTCGCAAACTGCCCTTACAGTGTGGCCTCGATTCGTATCTCGAGCTACATCCTCATAAACCGATTGCACTCCAATTTCCAAACGAGTGCAGCCGTAAGACAGCATATCAGATATATGACGCTTTAGACAATAGTCTGGTCGAGTTTCAATTGTAATGCCAATACATTTGGTTCGAGATTTCTCGGAAAACTTAACAGCTTCAGCTACATTCGCACTAGTATGGCCGGATAACGCATCATGTAGATTTCTTATAAAATAATCGCGATATTCCTCTGGCAAGCACATAAATGTACCGCCCATTACAATAAATTCAACTTTGTCGACCGAGTGTCCTAATTGCCTAAGTTGTTCTACGCGATGTTTAGTTTGTAGGAAAGGATTATAACGAGCTCTTATAGCACGCATGGAAGTAGGTTCATAGCCCGTATACGACTGAGTCGAATATTCAAAATCACTATCCGGACCGCCAGGGCAATATACGCAAATGTTCCCAGTCATATTTATGTGAGGGCATCGGTGTGGTTTACACATAACAGCTACCACAGCAATCTAAGCATGGTAGGAGAGTATATTAAAAAGTAGAATTAAACATTATAGTATTGATCTACTAACTCCACTCGCCGTGCGAATAGGTTTAGCTTTTAATTGAGGCAGCAGTATCTTTTTTGCATCTTGAGGTACGGCTGCAATAATATCTACCAAACGTGGTGAACTTTCTAAGCCGTACTTAGATGATATACGTGATTTCATTCGATTTATATTAACATCTTTCTTCTCCTCATGCGCTTTCAGCAGCTCTTGAATGATTTCGCCAATCACAATAACTTGGCGTTCTTCATAGCTTAAGCCAACTCCTGCATAGTAGGGCAAAAATAAATTATTTTTCATATGTTTTACATCATAAAAGTTTACCTAATTTTTTTTTCTGTTTCATCTAAACTTCTAAACGCGAATTTGCTAATAAACTGAAATACCTTCTACGCCGTAACACACTTTCACGTGAAAGAATAACAGCAGTGTATCTAAGCACTTTTTGCTTATAATCTTATACAGGGCTACTCATAATCTTCTTCCTCTTCTATTCAGCAAATCAACAACTGAAAATACGCTGAGATGTGTAAAAAAGGTTCAATGTGAACACTACTCATAATGTTTATTTTATTTGTTTATGACAAATTCCTGATTGAAATTAATAGTCATTTTCAATATTGCACTGGTTGGGTGTATTTGAGAAAGCAATTTTTTTTTTTGCATTGTCAGTTAGGATGGATTAAGCCAGCAAGACCTATGGTAATTCGCAATTGTGAAATTGCTATACGAAAGAGAACTACAAGAAGTGTGCACAACATAATGTACCTTCATTTACCTAGCAACTCTTATCCACTGGTTTTATGCAAACGTTATGATGTTGACAAATTTCCAACTAGTAGAAAGAACAATGTGGGGAATATCTATAGCCGGGGTTTCGTGCGGGGTTGTCCAGTGGTCCGTTCCAAGAAATTTATTGTATAAATTAAGGCAACCTTCGTGTTTTCGTGTAAAATTATATACATATTGGCAGAATTTAAGAAGAATACAGAATGCCGGTATTTGCGAAGTTACTTGTTGGAAAAGAAAAACCAAAACGTATTTAGTGGGCAGCCTCGTTTTTAAAATGAAATTGTCGCGTATGATTTATAAATTATTATTTTAGTGGTTCAGGAGGCAGTCTACCGGGTTCCTAAAGGGATGAGGGTCCTATGGTGTGTTTTCGGGTTGGGAATCCATAAGGTAATGATGCAGCAGCACGCCTGCTACCTAAAGAACCCCTTTCTGTATAGACAAAGTAACGGACTACTAGACTTTGCAAGGCTGGGGTGTGCTTTTGGACCGAGGCTCTATAAAATAATGGTGCAGGAGTACGCTGTTATTTTAAAGACCACGATCCGGACGGACAATACCTAATGTTGATCACCGGTTAGCTACAGAGCTAGGGTATCTTTTTCGATCACGGGCACCCAGCTCCAGACGGACAATATCTAACAGCTAACAATCTGTTAGCTACAAAGCTAGGGTATTCTGACCGAGAACCTACAAGGTAACTGCATTATTACGGACCCCGTTCCGGACAATAACTAGCTTCCAACCATTGGTTAGTGGTAGGGCTAGGGTATCCTTTCGGGCCGAGAATAATATAAGATAATGAGGCAAGAGAAGATTGTTATCTTGAGGATCTCGTTCAGGACGGACATGACGACAGACTACTACTATTTAAGGGGTTCTTGACTTAACTGTTAGTTTGACTGCTGCTGAAGAATGGTCGTTGTTTGCGCGGTGGTTTTATAACTGTTGGCTGCCACACCAAATTTTGATACCTAGAGCTTTCACCACGAGGTTTGTTTATTTACTCTACCACTTACATGCTAATGTTTACTTGCGAAAATAACTTAAGGAAAGCTGTATTAATACTTATGTTTCGCTTTTATATCATTTATGAAAGCATTATTAAATGTACTATAAAATAAAAATAAAAAAAGAAAGATTAAAAAAATTCGAAATAAGAAATTGTTTTTCAAAATCTTTCTAATACATTGTAAGCTTTGTTGCGCATATCCGGGAATTTTTCAATGTCGGGCAAATTTACAGTCTGCGATGTTTGAATTTGCATTTATTGAAACCAACTCTGTCTTATTTTTTTATGATTTAAAGCTGCAGACCGAGATTATGCAGCGTTGCATTACAATTTCAATCAGAAATAAATCGAGTGAAGATAATAAGACTAGACGTTTAATTGTAAGATTTTACAGTTCAATAAACTTAGGTAGAGTTAAATACAGATTTTATATTTAAATTTAACCAACAATTTTTTCTGCGTTCTTAGAAGGTAAGGAAGAGTGCTCCCTTACGACTCTTTGGCCAAAAATTTGATATATATTTGCAGTGATTCTTTAACAAAAACAGTGACTTCATCAAAGATGAATAAGCGAGTTCTTTTGTTTTCTATTTTACAAATTAGTATAAAAGTAAAGTAATTTAAATTAATTATTAATTCACAACATATTTCCTATCTATATTCTGAGCGGGCTTCTACTTGTGCTGCTTTTTACACCTCCATCTATGATTTTCATAAACTAAGAAGCTTGTGTTAGTGCAAAACTGATATTAAGAATTTTATTATAGTCACTTTTGTTTCGGAACACTTTGTTTGATATTAAGTGACTCAAACCTGGACAAGGAACACACAAGCACTAATTTTATGACCGGTAGTCAATAAAAATGTCAAAATAATTAATTAATTCAGTGTTAAGTAGAAAACGGTCGCTAAAAATAAAATATGCGTGCATCAGGTTTAATTAAATTTTTTCAATGCAATGTCTAAATATCCATTATTTTCGTCAACATCACTAAACAAACCGTGCATCAGCTCCTTAGGAGACTCTTTAGAATGTTTAAAAAAAAATTAGTTCCTTAAACATCCCAGTAAATGTATATAGCCATATAAGACAAGAATATTCCCATCATTTGATAGTGCTGAGAGTTTTTCTCGTTTGATGATTTATCAGAGACAATACTTACGGCTTTTAATCTAACTAACCGTGAAATTTTTATGCTATATAATGTTGAAAATCCAGGTTATCTTTATCTTTTACATTCATTACAGGCTTCTGCCGACAAATACTGTTGACCGCTTGGCTACAGCCAGTATCATTTCATTTTCCATTGCATCGTAGGCGCAACCTATACCTATTACACTCCAATCTTGTTCTTAACCTTTCTTTTGATGGGATATTGTCGTCCATCTCATCCGTCCGTTTCGCACACATTTATTTGTTCCTTTTTTTATTTCTTTTTTTAATGGGGTATATCTTTTATAAATTCTTAGATGGAGTGTTGGGACGGTATGTGCGGCAAACACAGTGATACAATCGCTACTTTTTATATGTTTTTGTATAAAATGCTTATCGCAAATATAATAAATTAATAAGATTAGCGAATTTAGCATTTTATTTGCAGATATTTTAAAAACCGACCTTATTCAACAGATCTATCTTTCTTCTAATTGATTTTCTGCACTATGCGCCGTTATGGATATAGGATACTAAAAGTATAACAATAATAGAAATGATAACGATGTAATACAAAAAAAAATCTTAAAGATTTCAAAAGTGAATGAATTTCTACTATTTATCGTAATTCTGAATACTAAAATAAGTAATGACAATTATAAAAGTTGTTTTTCATTCTGATATGCTTTGAATTTTTGATTACATTTTGAATAACAACATTTTGTTTGCTTAAACATATGTGCAAGAATCAGGTGTTTCAATTGTATAATCACAGATGTGTTTTACGTGTTTTATAAAAGTGAAATGAACGAATAAAACTAATTGTGAACATCAACCAGCTGTTTTTATTTACAGTTGACACTTTTCTTCAAATTATCGAGTAAGGAGTTGAATTTTTTGGGACAAAAGATGGCATTTTGTGTTCCTGATCATTTACAGCAACATCGGCAACAGGAATCTCGCGATATAAGTGATGATGAAGATATGGATGGATTAGAAGAAGAGATGGAACATCAGCATGATGAGGAACATTTTAATTTTCCCGTAAGTCCTTTTTAATAGGTATTAAAAAAATAAGCTTACGATCATTTTATATTTTGCAGAACAGTAGCACTTGCTGGGTATGCAATGGCTATTATGGCCCTAATTTCGGCGAGCCCTTATGCAGTACTTGTCACGCTTTTTTATACAATACCGAGCCGGTTGAATTAGTAACTACTATCTCTGACGATGAAGACTCTGGCAATGACGAGCCTCCGTTTAAGGATAAAACAGAGGAAGAAAATGAAGATGAAGATGAGGTTGAAGATGACGTGGTTGTCGTCGAACACGATGAAGACGATGAAGAAGACGTGGTGGATGATGTGGAGCTAGAAATGGATAATGATATCATTGAAATGCCGGCACCTGACATTGGTTTGCGGATAGAGAGGATAGAGTGTATGCCTAATGAAGTTTTGCCTTTGGAGAGACCCAGACCAGCAGCACCTAAATCTTTACATCAGATGGTAGATTTATTAAGTGAAGCCCGCGTTAATGCTACCGAGATGGCAGTCGGTGCTCTGCTTGCACCTAATAATGTCTTGGCTTTGCCTGTAGAAATGATGATTATAATATTCTCGTACTTGGATGATATGTCCTTGTGGAAAGCTAGCGAGGTGTGCAAACAGTGGCAAAATATTATAGCCCGTAACACGTCGCAACAAATGTGGCGAAAGTATTTAAAAGAACGTTGGCCTCTCTTCCAAAGCCTGGTGGATGTAAGTGATTGGCTTAAACTTTATGGCGCTTTAATGTCGTCTTGCTTCTGCCACACATGCCTGCTACAAATGGCTCTCAAGTCCCCGGCTCGTGGACGTCAGAACGCTATCCGTATGAATTTTCTTAGAAACGATTATCGTCTAGTGAATAGTTACGCCACCGAAGGTATCGATGCGATGTAAGTTTGGAAGCATTGCTTAAGAATGTTTAGTAATGTTTAACTTTGCTTAATTTTGACATGCTTAACAATGCTTAACAATGCTTAAGAATTTTTCATTTTGCTTAATTTTGACATGCTTAACAATGCTTAAGAATGCTTAAAAATGTTTAATGCTTAACAATGCCTAACAATCCTTAATAATGCCTTAGAATGTTTAATAAAGACTAAAGGTAAAAACGACAGGAGCTGCCACTGGGTATACCCAGGCGATGTTTCGTGCGACAAAATTTCAATCCTCACCTTTTCCTCTATCTGCATACATCACGATATTAAAAATTTTGCATGTCTTTCCAATTATAAACTCGCAAATATGTTTCGGATTTTTTGTTGTACACATTGTAAATAGTGGATTTTTAACGAAGCGTATGGATATAAAGTACAAAAACAAAAAAAAAAAACAAAATTTAATTTCTTATCTTTTTTTATTGCATAGACGAATGGATAAACAAAACACATATTGGCAAGCTAGTATTTTGGGGCCTGCTGGCAGCCCCTATGAAGGTGGCAAATTCTTTTTATTTATATTCTTTCCTGAAAGGTAAGCCCGCAGCCCTTTTAATTTACGAAGAAGAACGAAAAAATTCTCTATGATATTCATTCTTTTTAGATATCCTATGATTCCACCCACTGTACGTTTTTTAACTAAAATTTTGCATCCAAATGTATCACGGCATGGAGATGTAGGCATTGATATATTTCAACATAATTGGTCCTTGGCTTTAAATGTCTCAAAAGTTCTACTCTCAGTGCAAAGTTTGCTAACCGATCCATACACCGAGGTTAGTTACGATTATGATGTGAAAATGTAAGAGAGCTTACTTTTATATAAATACTATTGACAGGTTTGCATGGAACCCGAGCTGGGCTACATGTACGAACATGATCGTACGCGTTTTGAAAACTTGGCCCGATCTTGGACTTGGAAATACGCTATGTTTGAGTTAATTACACCTCGTTAAACGTTTTTCATTCTTCAAAAATACATTCTGGCAATTTCTTAACAATTCCTATAAATATGTATAATTAGATTTAAGATTTAATAGTATTTTTTCTCCTGAAATGTTTTTTTTTTTTCATTTTAATTCAAATCAACGAGCAAAATCAATTCTACACATTTGAAGTACTGTGTATATTTTTATATGCGTAATTGTAATTGAAATATTACATTTATTTAATTCACCGTGAAGTATTATTCGCAAAATAATTCTCATTTTCCTAATTAATTTTTTGTAACATATTAGTTGTGTGGTATTTTATTAATGCACACATTTATCAAATTTTAAAAAATGTCTGAACTGCACAAAAGAAATACAAAATTAATAATTTTTTTTTTTTTTTTAGTAATTCAGATCGAAACCAAAAAATTTGCTTTTCTTGTTAATTGTGGAAAATATGAAGATCGCGCGAGAAGTTTTTCTGGCGAATTGGTGACTGTTAAGAAAAATTATTATTATGTTGATTAAATCAAACTACATATAGGCGAGGTCTGTACTAATGCAAGCGTAAGCCCTAATAGTCTTACGTATTTTCCTTTTGCTGGTTGTATCCTCGTAATTACTGTATTCGGTAAAAAGAAAAATATCAATTGATTAGATTTGAATCATGTATTCGGTAAAATTCAACACACTCTTGTTGCGTGTGATGAATGAATGGAGCAAGTCATCTGGCCAATGCTACTCTAATGAATGAAAATAGCACATCTCAAATGTAAAGCTAACAAAAACTGTATTCACAACGTTATAAAGGCAATTATTCAAGTGTCTAATAAGTTCATCTTCCCGTTAAATGTGATTCAATTCAAATTCAAATATATGAACAGTTGCCGTAAAAGTTGGATCGAAATCAATTTTATATAGAAGATTGATTCCAATTTTAAAACAGTGTGGTAAAAGAGTGAGCGGTCGTAAACTGCGTATTTGTATAAAGTGGCGGTCAGACTCATTGACTTTTTTCACCATTTTCTGATAAAGAATTTATTGAAAATAACTATGTTCTCTCTCTATTTACAACACATTGTCTTTTTTTATCTGGATTTTCCGCAACAAAAGTGAAAACTCGTTTTGATTTGCTCCCATAACCTTCAATACACTATTGGTACCACAGACAGTGGTGTCGACATGTAGTATGTCCGTTTTAATCCTTTGCGAAGCTCCTTTTAGAAAATAATTCTTGGTACCAGTTTGAGTGTGATAGCCAAGGCGGATAAATGTATTGAATTCTTGATTAATATTGGAACGGTATGTGTCCATCGGTGCGTTGTGCGGTCCGTCCGTGTGACTACATCCTCAGTTCCAGTATCGATAAGTACCTATGGCTTGATAAAGTCAATTCTTTTTCTTCTTCATAATTAATCTGAGAGGCTTACCTTGACATAGGCTACTGGAAAGATGCTCTTTCTGTTAGCTAATCGACCTTCAAACCAAGTTTCGTCTACTCGTCGCGTTACAGAAACCAATTCTTCTTTATCAGCGATAAATCAATATCAGATTGTGCTTGAAAATTATACTTTGCCCGGGCGTGACCTTCTGATGGCTTTTGTCGCGTTTGTTGTTTTAAATATTGCATCTCTCCTCTGATGATGATCTATACGAAACCTATAATATATTTTATTAAAAAGAGAAAAAAAAAACAAATAAAATAAAATTTATTATCATCACTTTATAATTGCTTACCTCAACATAATTAGCTGGAAGGAGGCCGACCATGGCATTTAGTTCGCCCTCATACCAATTTATAGTTTTCACCCCAAGTGGTAAGCAGATATAATAAGGGCAATAGGTATATAGGTCCGCCCCGCATTTTTTGCACAAAATAATGAAAAAAAAACTTTATTTTAAATCGAAAATATGGTTTTTTTCTTCATTATTTTGTGCAAAAAATGAAAAAAAAAACCTTATTTTAAATCGAAATAATTTTAAAATGTCGCCTTTAATCCAAGTCCAACCAAGAATTTCAAATGGTACCTTGTTGACATATCTAGGAAAGTTCAGACGAGTGCATGAAAACAATTTAACAGTAAATAAGATTTCGTATACAAATAGATAAGTAAATAGATAAATAAATAGAACCTACCTCCAGCAACACTAAATGTGGGAGAAGTGCTTAAAAATGTTGAATTACATCCATATGATGTTGGCCACCATCGATCAACTACATTGTAATACAACATTTATTTCAAGGGCTGCAATATATTAACATGATTTTTCACATACTTCATTTGCGTTTCTTGTCCGTTTAGTTCGAATCAAATGCATCTCGAAGATTTAATTGTCCCACCTACGTTTGGAGCTGTCATGTTGTACATTATGTGGATCTAATTCCTCACTATTCATAAATTTGTTAATACAATTCACGGAAACTTGAGTCCGTTGATGATTTATATAATTATTGCAAATATTGAAATAAAATGTAAAGTATTGAAGAAAATTCGATATAAAACAGACCATAAAATTTCTAATCGTCAATATAGGGTTTGTTGAAGAATGCATAGCTTTTTCTAATATTGCATAATTTTAAATATGTTGTTAAACCAATAGAGAAAATAACATTGCACGTTTCACTTACCTAGGCAGCAGATATATCTAGAGCAGAATGATTTTGTCTGGCACAGAGAAAAAGCTGCTTTTGCATCAAATTAAAATCTTTAGTGCTCTATGCATTTATTTATTGTTACAAGAAAAAAAAAAACAAATGAGGTAAAATTCATCTTTCATAATTTTGTTTACATCCGATGTTCATATTTGTTGCTTACTAGCAGATGTATTTATCTGGGAGTAAAATTCCATTTCTGAGAGTAAAATTTACTTTGTTGTACTGCGTTTGAAAAAAAAAGAAAGAAATAAATGAAGAGAGAGCATCACCACTTGTTAACATTGCTTACATGTATATAAATCCATCCAAAAGATTTTCTAGATTTTTTTCAGTTTTTTTTGAAATTTTGAAATTTTTTTCCTTGTAGTAAAATAATTTCAATTTTCCCGACAAGAAGGAAAAAGGAAATGAAAACAGTGAGAAAATCTAATCTATCAAATATTGTCTTCTCTTTCTAATTCTTTTTTTTTCTTCAGACGGAGAAATTTTCTGTCAGAGTAAACCAAATTTTTTCGATTTCGTATGCTACAAATCTGTTCAACTGGACTGCGATAATAGTCTGTCTACATTAAAAATGGCGAATATTGATTCAGCGAAGGCGATCCGCGAGGAATTTGTACGTTTACGTATGCCTTGGTTACTTGTTGTTGTTCTAACGACTTCTTTACAACTTATCACTTAACAGCATTCGAAGCGTTGCAATTTATGGAAAGCAAACCTGTGCATATGGTATTTGTTTATATTTACATAAAATTAAAATTAAAAAAAAACTCAAAAGATTATAACATTAAAAAAAAAAAATTTGTGTATTAAAACATTTAAAAAAAAAAAAATAAAATGTATTAAAATACACAGCATTTAATAAGTCAAGTAAGTGTAAAGAATTTGATAATAAAAGATGAGAGTATTGTAGAAGCAATTGCATGAAACATAATGATGATAATAACCATAATGATGACATAATGATAATGTCGGCAATAAGTAAACTATAATTCATAAATTTACGTTAAATGGTCTTTTTTCTATTAAAAGTTTGCCCTTTTTTTGGTAAATAAAAGTAGATAAAAAATGTTAAAAATCCCAAAATACATAAACGAAATGTAAAAAGAGAAAATTTGGAAAAATTAATTTCTTATTCAGTTTGCTATAATGGATTACACATTTTTGAATGTAAAAATTGAGAGCGGCAAGGCAACTATATTTTTGATAATTTTATCTATTTTAGAGTATATTTCTTTAGGTACTTTCTGTTTTCACGTTACATAAAAAAAACATATTCTAAAACATATCGTTTTTAACTTTTCGCTGTGTTTTTATTCAATGTTTGTTGAATGTAGTAGTAGTTTTGTGTCGTTTTCGACATGAGCTCATGAGTCCATTTTAACATAGCTGCGGAGTTGTTTTTGTAGGACTGTATTTCATAGTTTAACATCTCTTTGGTTTTACGCGCTAACAGTGTTGCTACTCAACAATTTTTGCATAAATTATAATCAAAATACCATCTACAATATTACTACTAACCATACTTGCATGAATTATGATCAAAATACAGTCTACAATATGACTACTAACCACACTTGCATAAATTATGATCAAAATACCATCTACAATATTACTACTAACCATACTTGCATGAATTATGATCAAAATACAATCTACAATATGACTACCAACCACACTTGCATGAATTATGATCAAAATACAATCTACAATATGACTACTAACCAGACTAATACCCTTCCTTGGCTTATTTATTTAATTAAACAATATGCGATATGTTTTATAAGAAAATTTGCGTGTTGATACATCGCTCTGGTTGGTCGCCAGTTAGTGTTGATGATAAGTTATGTTTAATGTCTATTGGCTTCCTGTTGGGGTCGGCAGATGATGCCAAAAGCAAAGGTTTTGTTTTGCCGACGGCTTTTGTTAATTTGGTCC